TCTTCAGATTTTGACAGCTCTTCTTATGAACTCTCAAAACAGGTAAACATCTTAGGATAACTATCTCTGTGCCATCTTTATATTTATATATGCTATACGAACTTTTGCTGACTGGCTCTTCAGGTTGCAGGAAGCTATCTTGACCACTCCTCGCGGTATAACTCGACTCATGGATATGCTAATGGATAGGGAGGTAAGCACTTAACTATATCTTGTATGTAAGAGCTTGCTGTTGGTTTGCTTATGAGTCTTGTATCTTTAGCCTCCAGTTAATCTCAAATAGGAGGTTATTAGATGGTGAATTCTGGGAAGGGATGAATATTATAGTTCGTAAACTTCATTTTTGGTGTTTGTCTTACAGGTAATCCGGAATGAAGCCTTGTTGCTTCTTACGCACTTGACGCGTGAAGCAGAGGTAATACATCACTTTATATTTGTAATTTTTGTTCCTTTTCTGCTGCCTTGCGCTGGAGCAGCCATTGGATCTGATCGATCTCACCAGATGATTAACTACTTGTAGGAGATCCAAAAAATTGTTGTCTTTGAAGGTGCATTTGAAAAGATCTTTAGCATCATCAAAGAGGAAGGGGGGTCAGATGGCGATGTGGTTGTGCAGGTGACCAGTAGCTCTTTTTATAGATATTATATCACTTGTGTTCTGTAATAATTTGGTGGCATATGAAAAGGAAAAGTGAAGAAACCATTTCTTTAGATTTAGAACTAAATATTATTGGCACTTACACCTCCATATACTGTTCTCCTGGATGTTTTGCAAGCACTTTCAACATGCATTGGGATTGCTTGGTTATGCTTAAGTTCGAGTTCCTTATCCATTCATTTGTACTATTTTTTTTCTTTATTTGCAGGATTGTCTGGAGTTGTTGAACAATCTTCTCCGCACCAGTTCATCAAACCAGGTTTCGAAGCTTTGTTTCTGGTCTTAATTTTTCACTTTCATTTGTTAGATGCACATAGGCTGATATTTGAACTTGTATAGATTCTATTAAGAGAGACCATGGGGTTTGAACCAATCATTTCTATTCTAAAACTGCGAGGGATTACATATAAGTTCACCCAGCAAAAGGTTAGATCATAGAGTGCTTCTCGCTTTTTGGATGTATTCTACCAGCGCATGCAACTTTATTAATCTTTGTCCTTCTGAACGAACAAATCCCAGTAGACTGTTAATCTACTTAGTGCACTGGAGACAATCAATATGCTGATCATGGGAGGTGCAGACACGGATGCTGGAAAAGATTCAAACAAGCTGGCAAATAGAACGGTTTTAGTTCAGGTTTGTTATGATATACAAATGTTGTGATTCCTCATTGTGAACTGGATGAAATATGTTTCTTATTCTATCATATTTGATTCATTAACAGAAAAAACTACTGGACCACCTACTGATGTTGGGTGTTGAAAGCCAATGGGCACCTGTTGCTATTCGTTGCATGGTAAGTAAATCTTCTTCAAATTCTTTGTCCTTAAGTCCCTTCTCTTTCTTGTCATCATTCGTTTTTTTATTGTAGATCAAAATAGCGTTTCTAATTTGTGCAACTGACAATATGTCAGTAATAATTTCATATAGATTCTAGAATTCTACTGTTAAACCCTATTTCTAGGTTAATCGTGGAATTGATTTTACTTACAGTGCTCTATTAGAAACTTTTTATATATAGAGATTGATGATGTATTATCAATGCAACTACTGAGCAGTTGTCTGAAATCCAAGTTTCTTTTCTAAGTAAGGTTAAGTTTCTAATTGGTCTTTTTTACTTTGTGATTTTTTTCTGCTAGACATTTAAATGCATTGGAGATCTGGTTGATGGTCATCCCAAGAACCGTGATATCCTTGCTAGCAAAGTTCTTGGTGAAGATCGGCAAGTAGAACCTGCACTCAATTCTATCCTCCGGATCATTTTAAAGACGTCTAGTATTCAAGAGTTTGTTGCAGCTGATTATGTTTTCATGACCTTCTGTGAGGTTTGGAACTTTTGTCTTATATATTATATTTCATAGTCTAATATGCTTACAGATTCAATATACTATGTGACCAGTGCCAATTTTCCTATGTGATCATCTTCATCTAGAATCTCATTCTCTAAACGTTTTCAGAAAAATCGGGAGGGTCAAACAATGCTAGCTTCGACTTTAATACCTCAACCACATCCCACCCTCCGAGATCCTCTAGAGGATGATGTTAACATGTCATTTGGAAGGTGTTATTTTCTTTTCCTTGCTCCTGCAGCTCTCACAGTTCTGTCGTGAAGGGATCTCACTGCTTCATTCTCATTGCAATTTTGAGCTAATTCTCTTGTATCAAAACTTATTGGACTTCTATATTTATTTGTCAGTATGTTGTTACGAGGCCTTTGTTCTGGTGAAACTGATGGTGATCTCGAGGTAAAATTGTTTGCCTCTCTGCTGGATATTAATTTGAATGTCTTCTGTAACTTACCTCTTGTTTGTCTCTCTGCTGAATATTAATTTGAATGTCATCTGGAACTTAATTTTTATTTTATTTTCAAGCAGACATGTTGCAGAGCTGCGAGCATTCTTTCTCATGTTTTGGAGGACAACATTCAGTGCAAGGAAAAGGTAATGACTTCGATGTCACCAATACCATAACTTTGTACCTTATGTTCTGTTCACAGTATTTTTGGTCCCTGCACTGGCTGACTGTTTTGGAAACTCGACAGGCTTTAAAAATCGTTCTTCAGTCACCTATGCCTTCCATGGGAACTCCAGAGCCTCTCTTTCAGAGGATTGTCAGATACCTGGCCGTTGCTTCTTCCATGAAAAGCAAAGATAAATCAAGCACACTGGGAAAATCATATATCCAACAGATCATTTTAAAACTGCTTGTCACATGGACTGTTGATTGCCCGGCTGCAGTTCAGTGCTTTTTAGATTCACGCCACCACCTAACGTTTCTGCTCGATCTGGTAGCAGAGCCAGCTGCAACAGTTTGCATAAGGGGCTTGGCGTCTATTCTATTGGGACAATGCGTCATCTACAATAAATCAAATGAGAATGGCAAAGATGCTTTTGCTGTAGTTGATGCTGTGAGTCAGAAGATCGGGCTCACGTCATACTTCTCAAAGTTTGAAGAGATGCAGAGCAGCTTCATCTTCTCTTCCTCCGACAGACCTCCACGGGGTCATAAACCGTTGACAAGAACAGCTACGCCTAGTGAAGCCGAGATTGAGGATGTAAACGAGGCAGATGCGATGAATAAGGAGAATGAGGATCACCCAATGCTCCTGTCGTTGTTTGATCCTAGTTTCATAGGCTTAGTGAAGAGCCTTGAAGGTAACATCAGAGAGAGAATAGTGGACGTGTATAGTCGGCCAAAAAGTGAGGTGGCTGTAGTACCAGCAGATTTGGAGCAGAGGAGCGGAGAAAATGAGAAAGAATACATTAACCGCTTGAAAGCCTTTATAGAGAAACAGTGCTCGGAGATTCAGGTACGTGCCTCTTTCTCAACTACTCTATGCTACGGAGTATAATACAGTAAGTATGACATGTAGGTGTTTGATTGTAATTAAAAGAAGAAAAATCTGGAGACTCTTCACAAGTAACATGAAATTTTAAAAAAGAAAGAGAAGTTAAAGGAGTTCTGCTAAAGTATTGGGATTAGGAAGCATTGCATCTTGGTAACAACGAAATTTAGGAAGCATTCAAATTTTGCTAAAATGGGTTTAGGAGGAACATTAGGTTTTAAGATGGGATTATGAAGAACTAGGTCTTATGTTCTCAGTGGGTTCATAAAGTAGGTCTCCATATTTATGTGATATATATATATGTTAAAAGGTTAACCAAGAGATTTAAATCTCAACATCAGTTGTGCCTGAAAGATCTTCTTTTTTTTCTGCGACATCTGTGTTTTCCAGAACCTTCTTGCTCGGAACGCTGCTCTGGCAGAAGACGTAGCTAGCTCTGGCAGGAATGAGCAATCTCAAGGATCAGAGCAAAGAGCAAGTTCAGTAATGGAGAAGGTTCAGATGGAAAGCATCAGGCGAGAACTCCAGGAGACATCTCAGCGTTTAGAGACGGCCAAGGCAGAAAAATCCAAGATGGAGTCTGAAGCATCAAACTACAAGAACTTGGCTGTGAAGCTTGAATCAGACCTAAAAAGCCTGTCGGACGCATACAACAGTCTAGAACAAGCGAATTACCACCTGGAGAAGGAGGTGAAATCCTTGAAAGGAGGAGAAGATCCCATGGAGTTTCCTGATATAGAAGCGATCAAGGAAGAAGTGAGAAAGGAAGCTCAGAAGGAGAGCGAAGACGAATTAAACGACTTGTTAGTATGTTTGGGCCAAGAGGAGAGCAAAGTGGAGAAGCTAACGGCGAAGCTTGTGGAATTAGGAGTTGATGTTGATAAGCTTTTGGAGGATATTGGGGAAGAGTCAGAGGCTCAAGGGGAATCCGACGAAGACGACCATTAAACAAGTTGTAGAGATCAAATCCTCTCAACAGGTAATCTTAAAGCTAAGTCTCTCAAGTTCTTTGTGCGCATCTGTCTCTACATGGAACTTTGTACAGTCTTGGGTGGTTTATTTGATGTTTAATAATCCCCCCTTGCTTAACCTTTTTAGTTTTGAATTTTAATTTATCATCGACTCTGCAACTTCTTAGATTGTTTGAAACTTGTTACAATGTGGAATTTACGTTTGCAGATTCGTATACATTTTAACAATGAACTCAAATGTGATTTCAAGTTACTGCAGCTGTTGTTGTGTTTCGTCTTACTGAAACAACAAAATAGACATGAGCTCAAGTATGTGTCTCACAGATCTGGATTTGGGCAAAGAAATTAAAAAGAAATATCCTTAGAGAGATTTGACTACTCTTTTTCTTATCATTCTAATTAAATATCTTGAGGAAAAATTAAGTACATTGTTGACTTGAGCCTAAGACACAAAAATACGCTACGATTTGAAAACAACACACACAACCATGTACAGAGCAGGTTCTCTGATGAGCCAGAAAACGGTTTAATCGGCACAAAGTGACACCATTAGACTCGTTGGTGAGCTCCATACATCAAGATCAAAGAAAGACTGCTTCTTTTCTTCTTCTTCTTCCTCTCTACATATGTTTTCTGCAACTGGACACAGGTGTGAGACGTCGTTGATTATGGCTTCTTGTGCCTCTGCCTGCAAATTTTCAACAACAAAAAAATTACATTTTTAAATTAAATTCCTCATCCAATTCAAAACATGCACATGTGCTTATGAATCGATTCCAGACGTTTTTTTCTTTATGAAATTTTAGGACATTTGATTTTGATCGAATAGGTAAGAAAAGCCCTAATTACCATAGAAAGAAGTTCGTCGAGCACAGACGACGGCGTCGCGGAAGCATCTTCTCCGTCATAATCTCGAGCTCGAGACTCCGGAGACGACGTCGTTTCGCTGGCATTTAACCTCTCTTCTCGCTGCTGCGGCGTTTGAAATCGACCAGCCTTGTCTTGCATAGCATTTAAGCTGTTCGACAAAATCTCCCACTGCTCGATCTCCCTCTGGTACTTTCTCTTGAGCTTCACCAGTATTCTCTTCCTACGTATCCTTCGATTCCTCTCCTCTACCGCCGGATCTAACTCCGGATCCGGCGGTTTGGAAGTTTCCCCGGCGCCGGTGTTCTCCTCTGAGCAGAAGATACGGCGTCGCTTGTAAACGAACCCATCGTCGTTGCAAAGTTCCCAATCTTCGTCTCCGTCTATTGCAGTCGTCGTCGTAGTCGGAATTGGTGGGTCCATCCGCCTTGGAAATACACCGGAGCGGGAAATTTTCAGCAGCGACTTTGATTTGAGAGAGCAGAGAGGGACTTGGATTTGTTATAGAAGATCTGCAAATAGAAAGATTTACAGCTCACGCTCGTATTACTAAACTCGGGATTTCATAAAATGAGTTTGGGCTGATTGGTAAATAACTAAGGCCCAATAAAAGTTCCTCTAAATATAGATAGGCCCACCAACAATCAAGCCAATCGTAAATTCATAACAAATATTTTTGTAGTCCATTAGCAAATTTTCGTGTTGGAGTAAGAGGATTTCACCTCATGGCTGTGAAATGGTGAATTTCGTCAAAATTATTAAGAGAATTTTTGTAATTGATCACGTGGTAAGAAATTGACTTATCAAATAAAGTTATACAAATTTTGGTATTTTGGCAAACTATAACAAAAAATTGAATATAAAACTAGATATGTATATATAGCTAAGACACAACAAAACAACTATTTATTTATTTGAGATTACCATCGTCGACACTCTACACAATGTGAGCTGTCATGCCTATTGGCTTCTATTGAATTGAATTGTAGCAAGAACTAAAGAATTCAAAAATTGATAAGAATAAATCTTTTATTAGTTTAAGAAAATAACTCAAAATTTAAACTCTCAATCTGTTATAAGTTATACCACACATTGGCATCTCCTTATATAGCCAACAAATTACTCCTAATCCTATTAGAGAATGTATTAGATAACTCCTAAAGATTACTCTCTAATCCTAATTTCTTTAGGTATCCATAACTTGGTAAGATTAGGAAGTCTTGTATCTCAAGCTTCTTTCAAACTTGGTTCAACAGCTTCTGCCCTTGTTAATCAAAATCTTTTAATGTACTGTAACTTTCTTGTTGTTTTCTGGGATAAGGATTTTCTTCTGATCATATTTAATTTAAAGAATTAAAAAACAGGGAGATTTATGCTGACCACTTGGAGTTAGACGAGCAAAGATAAGATATTTTAGTCTGTTTATGAGTTAAGTTTAGATGACTTGATCGTGATTTTAGTCTGTTTATGAGTTAAGTTTAGATGACTTGATCCTGATTATGCTTATTGATATCGATTTTCTTTTATTTTTTGAATAAAAAACACAGACAAACCCTAAGTGGAACTTCTTTCTTACCGTTTTCTTTTATACAGTTCAGTATAGCACAAAAAAAGTGTGACTGGTTGACATGGAAAAAGTATTGGATTCATAATATTATAAGAACTCTCTTTTGTAAAACACTTAGCGAATAAATAAGATAAACGAAATATCATAATAAGAAAGACGAGAGTTCATGAAGGGACATTTTCTTTTCGTTCCTTAATGGAACCATAAGTTACATTAGTTAAAATCAAGTTGACATTTTATTAAATGTGGTTCTTAATATTGTGTGGCTTGAAGCTAATGCTTCACTTGCCTTATAGCAGGGACGGGTCTGCAGGTAAGAGACAAGGAAAACCAAAATCACGTGCAATATGGATTCATCTGGAAGGTGAGCTGTCATGACTTTCGCTTCTATCCTCGGTGATCTGATTTAGTACAGCAAAATAAAGTCAACTCTTCTATTTATTTCCCGGGTTAATGACTTGCCTGTTGGAGAGTTGGAGGAGCAAAACGATTAGAAAACTCATATGAAGCCAAAATCTGAGCGCTAATGTTCAATACCCGCAACAACCATGACTACGGTGGCTTTATGCCACGTTATTCTCATCCAACAGCCATTAAAATGTAACTAAAGAGTTTTCTAACCATTTAAAAAGAAAATCATATTATAGTTTAAATAAGTGTATAGAACATAATTATTAACTTTGACCAAATCGGTTGAGATTCTTTGGTTTGTTATCTTCCATCACTGTTGAGCACTAGAATTGAGAGGCTGAAGCATTACGGGTAGGCCGTATTGTGGATAGAGATTGAAGTGATCAACAGGTGAAAGAGGATGGGGCATGTGCCCCCATACACTTTTTTTTTTTAAAAAATACAAAATTGTTACCAAATATTAATAAAAATGATAGCTCAATTGGTTAATTCACTTGCTTAACTAACTTGTGCCCCAATCCGCTACTATACGTACCATCATCGACTCATCAATATGAGCTGTCATGACTTTGGCTTCTGTCTTCGGTGATCGCACTGATCTTGATTGGTACAATAATATCAACTCTCTACTTTTTCTGAATATCTAATTTTAATGAACTAAAAATGAAGACTATCCTTGCAAGTTGAGAGAATTAAAAAATGAAAATAAAAAAAGAAAAAACCCTAGCCGCCTAAAGAGAAAAAAAGTTGAGAGTTTTTGGCCGATGGCAGAATGCTTCTTTTATTTAATTTTCCATATTATTCTCTTTTGGTTTTTTTGGTTTTCCTTTTCTTTTTAGATTTAGAAGAATTTTTTTAATTGAAATAGATTTATATTACGTGTCAGATTTCTTTTCATTTTTTATTAGTGTTTTCTTTTTTCTTTGTTCTTTTGTCAGTTTGATTCATCACTTTCTACAATATATGTGTTTAGGTTGGTGTTGCGTTAGGTCTGTTCAGATTAATCTCTTCTACTAAAAATTATAACTAGATTTAGATTTACTTTGTTTCTTCAGTAGTACTGAAACTATGTTGTTCTCTATGGACTAAATTGGTCATAATCTTTAACTGTTTTAAATCACTTCAACTAAGGCTCTGTTATGCCAACTTGAAAAGCATATTTTACAATTACCAAAGTTACTCATTACTAAATAAGGATAAATTTGTTTGAAAATCTGTTCTGAATATTTTTTAAAACTCTTTGGAAAGTTTTGTTGATCGAATTTGTAAGAAATCTTATAATCATAATTAAAAAAAAATCTGACATGTAATGTGGAGAATATACAGTAAAAACTCTATAAAATAATAATGTTGGGACTTTGATATTTTATTAATTTATAGAGTTATTAATTTATCGATTTTAAATAAAATAAATTGTTTATTAATAATTAATTAAAAATAATAGTTTCTTTAAAAATTATAATATTTTCCAAAAAATTATTATAATATTAGAGATAAATAATAAAAATATTTTAATTTTAATATGAAAACAACAATATACTCATATTTTCATAATTATATAGTTATATAAAATTAATTTATATAAATTTATTAATTTATGATATTAATGAGACTATATTTTATATATTTTTTCAAAAAAATTATTATCTTATTAATTTGTCGATTTGTATTAAATTTTGAACCGGTCCAACTCGGGACTGAGCAAAATTATTGATTTATCGAGTTTATTACTTTATCGAATATTAATTTATAGAGTTTCTACTGTACTACTATAGTGAGTTGATTTTAAAAATAAAGTGAAGAAGTCGTGGGGACTAGTGAGTTGATTTTTGAGAATTTTACACTTAGACACAATATTTTAAATATGTTTTACAAAATAACACACTTTCAGCATGTAACACACTTTCAACATATAAAAATTATTCTACCGTTTTATTCTTTTCACTCTCTTAGTACATTTATTTTATTTTCACGCCTCGTTAAAAAAAATCAAAATACACCTCCGAAAAAAAAAAGTCTCTCTAAGAACAGAATCCTAAATTCTGCCGACTGCCGACATAAACTACTGCAATATCCTCCGCTGTCAAAAACCACCAGCAAAATCCTCCCCTGCAATTGTCTCGGGGACCAATCTGATTACCCAAACTCCATCTGTGCAGTTCTTGTTTCATCTGCTACCCGAGGCTTAACTGCCATTTTGAATCGACACCGTATATTTCTCGCCGACTATATCCTTTCCGATATTTAAGAAATATAGCATCCATTTTACTCTACCTGTTATCCATCCATCTGAGGCCTGTCCACTATTGATCTCCATGTTTAAAATCTTTCTATTTATAAGATTGATTTCAAGTTTTTATTTCGTCTATTATAATGTTTATTTTCACATCCATGTTCTCTGTAAAACATCAATTTCACATCCATATTGCTGTAACCGATAGTTAATCTTATTTCCAGTTTCTCTTAATTTTGCATAAATTTAAGACTTCTGTCTACGCTCCGGTGTCCACCTTCTGGTGTCCACGCTCATGCCATTCAATTTCTCTACGCATTATAGATAGGATTTTACCATCTATTTACCATTATTTGCCTTTGTCCATTTTTCTCTTCACCTTTGTGGTCGCTACACCAATTAACACCCCCTTAGTCAATTGAATTCTTCTAATACTTCTTTTACCGTTTACTCTACAGGTCCCTCAGATCTCAATCATCAGAGTAACATCAAATTGCCCATTCGCTTGTTTGCTTGAATTGATATCCTAATGCTAGACTGAATGTATATTCAAAACGAGACACCCTGAAACTGTTCAGCATGTATTCGAACATATTAGATTTACCATCATATATCCATGTCTCCATCGAAAAAAAAAAAATATCCATGTTCACATATCCACACCAACTGTATCCATGCGAGCTACTTACATCCAGCCAATCCATAAACATACATCCATGCACATGTATCCATGCAGGCAAGTTCACCCAAATATATCCATTTAAATTAAAAATTAATGTATCCATACATAGCTGCCGTACACCTTCACAATGTATTAGTACGTCAACGACATTGCACACCCGCAACCAAAAACAAACCTTCCCTATACACAAAAATACACTTTCTTCCCGATAAAACTTATCCATATAACTATATCCACGCTACCATATCACCATATACACAATTATAATTACATTCATTTGACATAGAAAATGTTCTCCACATTTCACCTTTCACAAAAAAAAAAAAAAAAACCAGACTACTACTAAAATTCACGAAAAGCCACACCAAAAAAACAATCTCATTCTCTCCAAATCAACAACTTCATATTGGATTAGTACAACTGCTCCAGTTGTGCCCTGTAAGCGTGCATCCACACCCGTCGTAAAAAAATGGTCGCGGTATATGAACAACGAATTTACGATAACATATATAAGCTACTACTGCCAGAACTTATAGATCCGTCACCATCAACCCATGCTGGAAATCATTCTCCAACTATGGCTGCAATCGAAACTTCACCTACTCGAAATCGGTTGGATTACAGTCAATAATCAGAAATCATACCACTAATTATCCTCTGTTTAAGCAATGGTTATGCCGGTGTTTTTTGAAGGTCCTCGTGCTTCAAAATATCTCATATCTCGGACTTATTCAGAAAAACTACAGATCGGGTTACATGTTATCTTTTGTGCCTAACAAACGCTTTCTGTTGGTGCCTTTTATTCTTCTCCGGTACCTGTTATCTTTTGCTGACTCAATGTCACGACGGAGTAAATAAATATACATGCGGCTAAAATAAGTAAAGATACACATTCAAAGTAAGGACAACATAGGGATTTAGGGGTACAAATTATAAAATGAAGTGTGCCACATGGAATAAGTGTCCAATTTGTAAACAAAATTCTAAAAAGTGTCCTTCTCTGTAAACGTCTTTTGATTTTTTAACCAAGAAATAATTGCAGTGAAGAAGTCGAAGAAAACTCACATGGAAGACAAAATCTGAGGACAATCGATTGTACGTAGTGTTTAAATTATACAAACGCTAGCTACTTGCTCACCAGTTGTATTTTAACGTAAATTTCTTTGACAAAAAATATGAATGCATATAATAAGACAAGTAGCATTGATTTAAGTATATAGATGAACATCAATAATGATCCTATTACACGAAACAAAAGCGCAATCACCCAAACATCATATCAGTTTGCATTCTCTCCACCTCCAATCACCGCAGCAACCATGCAGGTAGAAGGACACGAGCATCGTTTAGGACGCGTTGGAAATTTTCCATGTTTGCCATGCGATGCTTGCGATCGATCGAATCGTGATGGCATCTCTTGGAATCCATCGTATCGCGAGGGCTTCGATTGTCGTGAATGCGATTTTAGAGTTCACACAAAATGTATTTTCGTGTTCAAAATCCTAGAGACATCCGAGCATCCTTCTCATGATGGACACTGTATTAAACTTCTCACTACGGGGGCTCCTGATAACATCGATCCAAACTGCCATATCTGCGGTAAAAGGACCAAGCGCCTGCTTTATCATTGTTCCAGCTGTAATCTCAATTTGGACATCCATTGCGTGGTTGATGCCTTATCCCATCTGAACATTCCGTGGCACCATCATCCTCTGCTCATGCTTGACGTTGGTGATGATATGCTCTGCGCAGTTTGTGGTAAGCCTGGCGGATATGGCTACTGTTGCCCTCTTTGTTGGTTGGTGGTTCATGAGGAATGCATCTCCGTATTTGACTCACCAGAGATCACTGATCATTCTTATCATGCCAGACACTCTCTCAAGCTTCTCACCGAAGGAGCTCCTGCCTACACTGATTTGAAATGTCATATATGTGGAAGAGACACTGGAAACTTCCTTTATCATTGTGATATATGTAAGTTCAACATGGATATGGTTTGTGCGACTTACACTTCCCTACCAATGGCTCTTTCAAAGATGAAGGTCCACGACGAGCATACACTCGCGCTCATCCCAAGATTGATATCCTTCATTTGTGATGCTTGTGGGGAGAAAGGCGATCATTCTCCCTATGTTTGTCTTCAATGTGATATCATGTTCTTCCATCAAGGATGTGCTCGTTTGCCACGTGTTATTCATGTTAATCGCCACGATCACCGAGTTTATTACAAGTATCCTCTTGGTCTTGGAGAATGGAAGTGTGAGGTTTGTTTGGAAAAGATTGATTGGTCATATGGGGCTTATTCTTGTTCCTTGTGTCCTAGTTATGCCCTTCATTCAAGATGTGCAACAACGAAGGACGTGTGGGATGGGGAAGAGCTTGATGGAGTACCCGAAGAAGTTGAAGACATCGAGCCATTCAGGAGGAATGATGACAACACAATCACTCATTTCGCTCATGAGCATATCCTGAGCCCCAACGAAGACGGCAATATTGCTTTGGAGGAAAGCATCTTGTGTGGAGCATGTGTTCTTTAGAAAAAACCTCTTGCAACTAACCTTGCCTTATGCTTGATTTGATTCCCGTTTGTATCCGTTTTGATCTTGTAGATCCATTTAACGCTTATCACGTTTTTGTTTTCCGGCTTGGTTACTAGTTCCCATGTCTTGTTCTTCTCGATCATCTCTATTTCTTCACTTATGACCTTTCTCCATTCTTTACTGCTACACGCTTCATCATAAGTTTGTGGCTCCTCATGTGCAATAATGCATGTTTCGATCGTTTGAGCCGCTTCTTCGAACTCCACTCTTGGTGCTACTTGAAAGATCTCACTCATGGCTCTATACTTCTTTGGTGGCTCGGACATTTCTCCTTCTTCAATGTAATCTTGGTCACCATGTGAAATGAGATTAGGACTAGAGATGCTTACGGGTTGATCTTTTGGTGGTTGATTGTCGTCCAGGGATAAGACAATGGTTTTCTTGATTTCTTCTTGCTTATCCCAGTCCCACCTCTTGCTCTCTTCAAACTCCACATCTCTTGATACTTCGATCTTCTCATTCTCCAAGATAAGAACTCTATAGCCTTTGGATTGATTGCTATAGCCAATGAGAAATCCCTGCTTTGCCTTAGCGTCTAGCTTTCTTCTCTTTTGATCTGGAATATGCACGTAGCATATGCTTCCAAACATCTTCAAGTGTGACACATTTGGTTTGTGTCCACACCATTTCTCTATCGGCGTCGTATCATCTTCAATAGCCTTTGATGGTAGACGGTTTTGTAGATAAGCCGAAGTATACACCGCTTCTGCCCATAACTTGAGCGGTAATCCTTGCTCCACAAGCATTGTTCTTGCCATCTCCACCAGTGATCTATTCTTACGTTATGCTGCACCATTTTGTTGTGGTGAATAAGGCAACGTGACTTGCCTATTGATTCCTTCTTCTTCACAAAACTTGTTGAATTCTTGTGAAACGAATTCACCACCTCCATCGGATCTCAACGTCTTGGTGGTATAATCAGATTGCTTCTCCACCATCGCCTTGAACTTCTTAAATACTACGAAGGTCTCGGACTTTTGTTTTAAGAAGTATACCCAACACATATGGGTATAATCATCTAGGAACAAAACAAAGTAACGACTCCCATCAAGCGATTTGTGCTGCATCGGTCCGCATACATCCGTATGCACAATCTCAAGTTTTTCTTGAGTCGTTGTTTGAGATTCTCTTGGAAAACTCTTGCGAGATTGCTTTCCAAGATTACACGCCTTACATATTTCCTTCTTGACTTGAAACTTTGGTAACCCTTTTACCAACTCTTTGTCTTGCATCTGTTGCAAGCGACCGTTGCTTACATGGCCAAGTCTCTTGTGCCATGTCTCCATTTCTTCTTGCTTGCTCGCATTCATGGCTTCTTCTTGGACCAAACCCAACTTAACCCTGAAGCTATTGTAGATCATTGGAATATCCATAATCTTCTTGCCATATGCATCTAGAATGATGCATCTCTTGTCTCGGAAACATACTCGATAGCCGCTTGAAATTATTTGAGGAACACTCAACAAATTTTTCTCCAAACCGGGGACCAAAAAAACATTTCTGATTGTTCTCTTGCCACAATTTGTCATGACGGTGATATCTCCTTTACCGGCTGTCATGACTATGCTTCCGTTTCCGACCTTTATCGGAACTTTGATACTTCTATTGATGTTGGAGAAGTATCTCTCGTCGTTGGTCATATGGTTAGTGCACCCACTGTCTACTAACCATATATCTTCTCTTAATGTTGTTGTCGATTCTTCACTCGCACTGAACAACATGTGATCTTCACTTGAGTCTTCTTCTTCGAGACTTACATGTACTCTCTCCTTCTTCTTTGAGTAGCACTCTGTTGAATAGTGGCCGATTTTACCACAGTTGTAACACTCTTTGTTACTCTTTTGACTCTTGTCATAATCGTTTTTCTTCGGTTTCTTCCAACACTCACTTACTGTGTGGTTGCTTTTCTTGCAAAAACCACACCATTTCTTGCCTTGATTCCCATGGCCTTTGGTGTTGTCTCGTTTGAAACCCGTATCTCTTAGTTTTGAGCGAGCATTGAATGCTCCTTCATTGTTGCTTTCTTCTCTTACGGACAGTCTTGCTTCATGAGCCTTCAAGATACCGATTAGCTCCGTCATCGTTGTTGTAGTCAAGTCGCGAGTTTGCTCCAACACGCTAACGATGCTATCGAATTTGGCAGGGAGAGAGATGAGTATCTTTTGTATGAGTTGAATGTTGGTCTTCTTTTCACCATGATAAGTTAACTGATTTTCTAAAACAATTAACTTATCGGTGAAAGTCTTTATGTCTTCGTGATCATACATCTTCAGATTTTCGTACTCCTTACGCAACGCTTGAAGTTTGATCAAGCGAACTTGGGGAGAACCTTCGTACTCAGCCTTCAATGCAACCCATGCCTCTTTTGATGTTGTTGCTGCCGCAATACGTGAGAATATCTGATCCGTCACAGCAGTTTGCAAAATTTGCAATGCCGACGTATCATTTGAGATCACTTCTTCTCTAAGCGACCTTGTCCTGGCTGTTTCAGGAGTTTCTTGTGCTGGCGCCGGTTCGGTCGGAACGCCTTCTTCAACAACGGACCATAACTTTCTGGTCCTTAGAATAGTTTTCATCTTAATGCTCTAGAAGTCGTACTTCTCCCCATCGAATATAGGGATCACTTGATGTGACGAGCCTTGCATCGTCTCGGCTTAACTTGCGATTGACGTATGCAAAATCTTCTTGTTGCTTATTGCTTGTGTGAACTTGTGCGTTCTCTCTTTGTTCTCTCAACCGTAAAGCTCTAATACCATGTTGATGTTTTGTGTTTGATGTGTTTACGGAAATGAAGGAAAAACAAAGTATCGAATATAATCGAAACTTATATTGATACTTTGAATGTATTACACTCATTAATTTTTGTGATATTTGATAACAAAGACTCGATCTACTACTTATACATAACGAAGCATTGTGTTTAGAAGACACAACTCTTCGTATAAGACACAAGTACAAACGTGACTCTTAGTTTAGTAACTAACTTATACAATGTGTAACTAACTTATGTAATAAGACCTTATCTTATACAAATGTGATTATAGTTCTAACAGTCCCATCGGTTCTTACACATTTTATAACTGTTCGGATTGCAGTTTCCTTCTCCATGAAACGTGTGCTAATCTTCCTAAGAAGAAACGACATTTTCTGAGCCCAAGACCCCTCACTCTTTGCCACAACAGAAATAAGACCGATACAACATGCGGAGCTTGTCTTCAGATGTGCTGCGAAGGATTCATGTATATGGATGGAGGTGAAACCTATGATATACTCTGCAGTTCGATTACTATGCCTTTTATCCATGGAAGTCACCCTCATCCTTTACTATACCTCGACAAAGGTAATTATGGTGACAGGAAGAAATGCCAGAGTTGCGACATAGGTGGAAATGATGTCGTCCTTGGTTGTATCAAATGCAACTTCTTTTTGGACTTTCGTTGCGCCACTCTACCATTGACGGTGAGACTTCACAGGTACGACGATCATCCACTTACTCTTTGTTACGGTGAAGAGGCAAGCAGCGGCAAGTATTGGTGTGATGTATGCGAAAGAGAAACAAATCCAAAGACTTGGTTCTACACCTGTAAAGATTGCGGAGTCACTCTGCATGTTTTTTGTGTCGTCGGGAATGTCAGGTACGCCAAACCAGGAGGAAAGATCAAAGGAGGCGTTGAATTGATGTTTAACAATGCATCTTCAAGACTACTTTGCAACTTCTGTCACTGTCGTTGCCCAGCTCCCTTCTTTCTTATTAAGGAGATGGATTTTTTTTGTTCTTATTATTGTCTGATGCGTGTTCGAACGAGGGCGTCCTGGATTTTTAGCATTGTTATACGTCCTCCGTGGGCCATATGAACCGAATACTTGAAGATGTTGTAACATTTCGAGTCTGAAACTGATCTACTTGATTGCTGTTTTTGCATTTTTTTCTTTCTTTCTATGAGGTTAAATTGATTGTTGTTTTGACCATTCACTAAATAATGAAACGATTGAGAATCATCTGCTTACGTTAATACTCCATTAATTTGGGTTTTAAATATGATAACATTTTTTTTTTGTTTTTGTTTTCAAAAAATTTATTGGCAAACAATATATAACACACAATTTTGAAAGAAACAAGATATAGCCAAGAGAAGAGAAACGAAAAACCACGTGAAATATTTGTTTCTGTATGGTTAAATTAATATGGAAGGCACCATATCATCGACTCAATCAATGTGATGATTAGCTGTCATGAATCTGGCTTCTGTCTTCGGTGATCTGGGTTGATAAAATGGAATCAAGTCCTCTTCTATTGTTGTATTTTTTTTTTCTTGGGGTAATGATTTTTTTTGATGTTTTATCAACTTAGATGAATTATATATAAAAGGAAGAAAACTTGCCTGTTGACAGCTAGAAGAGTAAAGATGAAACAAATAATGAAGTGGAAGAAAAGCAGACAAAATCTTAACGGGACAATCGATAATCAATACAACAATAACACTACTTTCCTAAAAATGACACTTCAGTTTTTTAAAACTTTATAAACATGATACCTCAGCAAAAATAATCACCAATCAAAATATTTTATTAATAAAATTCATTTACTTATTTTAATTTTTAAACTTAAACCCATTAAAAATCCAAATATTTTTTTACTAATTTTTATTTTATTTTTTACTAAACTCAAGCCCAAATAATTAATAACAAAAAAAAAATCTTTATTTTATTTTTTATCAAAGCCAAATCCAAATAATAAATAAAAAATTAAATCTTTATTTTTCTTTTTTTGCCAAATCCAAACCCAAAATAATAAATAATAATAAATTTTTTTAACTATATATTCGTTTGGTAGAGACATATATGATTGAAACAAATGTAGGTTCAACATCAACTATGATTCAATGACAACAATGCAAAAAGCCTTAAGAAGCTCACACATCAGAAAAAATTTGAACATATAAAAACATAACGATTTCTTAGTTTTCGCAGGAAAACACAATTTCATAGGCGATAATGCAATTTTTGGTTTTCGCGGAAAATTGTAGTTTATCTGTTTTTGTAAGAAAGCGTGATTCTTGGTTTGACGAGAAAATGAGTTCTTTTTTTGTTTTGGCGGGAATAGACGATTTTTCAGTTTTTACAGGAAAATAAAATTTTTGGTTTTGACGGAAAATATAATTTTTTTTTTGTTTTTGTAAGAAGATGAATTTTTTGGTTTTTGTGAAAAAAACATAATTTCTCGGTTTTGACGGAAAAACATAGGTTCTCGCGGAAAATAAAATTTTAGGTTTTAGGTTTGATAGAAAATGATTTTTTTTTATTTTGGCGGGAATATGCGATTTCTCAGTTTTTACAGGAAAATAAAATTTTCGGTTTTGACGGAAAATATATATATTTTTTTGTTTTTGTAAGAAAATGAATTTTTTGGTTTTTGTAAAAAAATAAAATTTCTCGGTTTTAGCAGAAAAACACAGGTTCTCGCGGAAAATAAAATTTTAGGTTTTAGGTTTAATGGGAAAATGATTTTTTTTTTTTTTGGTTTTGGCGGTAATATGCGATTTCTCAGTTTAATAGAAAAATGAAGTTTTTGGGTTTTGACGGAAAATGCGATTTCTCAGTTTTTGTAAGAAGATAAAATTTCTTTGTGCTAAATTTCCAAGTTAAAATATGTTTACAGTAACCAAAATTTAATTATTTAACTTCAACTAAAACGATATTTGAACAGTTCAAACAGAATTTTCTATTTTGTTATAAAACAGTAATAATGGTTTGATATGAATGTTATTGATTATAGTTTGATAGTTTTAGAAACATATGTTTATAATAACTATTTGATAAATAAATAAATTTTATAAATCAAGATAATCATATTAATTAATTAATAATTTTTATAAATAATATTTTGCTTTATATAATTACAAAAGAAGATCAAGTGATAATTTATTAGAAAAAATAGATTACATTTGCTATTAGCATGAAAGTACTAAAAATATAATGTTTTATTCTTATACTAGGTGGTCTCCCGCGCCTTGCGCGGATAAATCACTTTTAATATTATTAATACATTAATTCTGATATAAATATAATAAATTAATTATACTAAAATTTTGTGTATAAGAAAAAAAGAAAATTATTTTCATACAATTTGAAAATTATTCTTATAAAATTAGAGTACTATAAAAACATCAAAATGAATAAATAATCCAATAACTTGTCAATTTTCTATGAATTTTTGTTTTATCAAATTCAAAGAAAACAAACAAATAACAAAATATCAAAATTTATATAAACTAACCTAAATTTAAAAAATGATATGAAATAAAGTAGCAAATACATTACACTATTTATAGGAATAAAAATTTGGGGTTTATACCATCTTTCTTTTATAATCTGACAAATATAGATACATTTTTATCTTTACAAATAAAATAAAAATATTATTTTTGAATTAATCTAAATCAAGATATAACCATAAATATATATATATATATATATATATTCAATTTATTAAGATTAATTACTTTTTGGACAAAACTACTTAAAATATATTAATTTTTGTTATTTAGTATAATTGTTCTTAAACCAAACTTATTAAACATAATAATTTTCACATACAGTCTAATTTGCTTCTTAATTAATGATATGATGTTCTTGTTTTTTGAGTTTTAGTTTTCTCCAATGATTATAAGTTTTACAATTCAACAATAGTTGAAGTAAACCAAAGAAAAATATAAATCAAACAAACCTCATTGAAAGCATAAAAAAAAACTGAATTTGGGGAAGATGTATTCCTAAATTAACGAAACTTAAGAGTGGCAATCAGATTTTGATATCCATGCTAATTGTTTAAAATCAGAGAGAACAAAATAAATAACCCGATCAAAAAACCAAAATTTTATATACATTTTTTAACTATATAGTTAATTACACTTTCTGATAAAAAATAAGGCTATTTTCCTATCTTTCCTCTCAATCTTGCACTTATGAGAAAAACCTTCTCATTACGATAGATTAATGGAGCTATGCTCTGCATCCAAAAAGTAGTAATTCCCTTCTACTTTGAATCTCACTAACGACATTTACGTGTCTCGATAACGTATGTCTAAGAATTTCAGTGTCTTTGGGGTAAATGTGGCAAGCCAAGTCATCATATCAACCTCAAAAGTGTCTGAATCGGGTTGCCACCTCAGCTTGTGAATGTAGTGGCAAACAAACCAGTGGAGAGCAGCGTGGAGGCAACCACATCTTTCAAGATCATGTTCGATGCCTGGAAAGTGATGACTGACCAAATGAAACAGAGAGAATTAATTAGAAAGTGAGTAAAAAACAATAAGAAACAAAGAAACAAATCACAATTTCACTTGCATGCTCCACCGATTTTTCTCACATTCTGTTTGACATTCCATTCCCAAATAATGGGAAACACACATTTTAAATCACAAAATCTGTTTAGAATCAGGTTTATGCGAGAAAACATCATGAATAACGAATAACCATCAAATCAAAAAAGCAAAACACACATTAAAAAACAGTCATGATCAAACAAAACACAGTGCAAAGGTATTGAACATAAATCAAACACTCACTAATTATATTTTTTTGTGAGTAAAAAACTATTCCACCATGCAACCTAAAAAAAGATTTCAGATCAGATAATATAGTTTGAGTCGGGATTATGCGAACAAAGATTACAAAACGTCAACTAATGATTAATTGATTAGTGATTTGTTAGTATCTGCCTTTGACACTTAACTTTCAACAACTCTGTTTAATGGAGAGATAAAGAACGTGAACTGAAGTTCGAGGAAGAGAGGCGCGAAGATTAGCAGCAAATCAAGTGAGAGGCCTTTCTTTACAAAATAAGAAATTCAAATCAGATTTGAATTTTCTATACTAATTTAAAAACTTCATTATAGAACATGGTGATATAATTGCAAATAGAATCTTTTAAAATTATAAATACTAAGATGAACTCACATAAAGAAAAACTAAATTAAATACTCACGATTACAACTTTTGTCAGAGCAAAGCGAAAGAAATATCATAATATAGAAATAAATAAAGATTTAAAAGAAAGCAATGAACTAAATATATGAAAAAACATAGAAAGTAAACATTATCTAATGCTTCCAAGAGTGGAAGATATCAACAGACAATAGGGAAACGAAATAACATAATAGATAATAGATTGGTAATCGAAACATAATGATCAAGCCTAAGCGGGGAGAAATATAAAGTAGTAAATACCTTTTATGCAAATTACTTCAGCTTCATTCCTCATATTCTTCCTATTCAGCTTCTTTTTCGATTGGCTATAGATTAGATCAAACTAAACAAACAAATACAGACTCTCAAACAAATTTGAATCACTTTTTGAAAGTTTTTCATTCCGATTCTTTTTCTCTCTATGTTCTCGACACCTAATCAAAAAGTTAAGTAAAACAAAACACATGATTCGGAACCACTACGACCAAAGCCTTTAAACAAAAAGTTGAAGGCACACCAAAACTTTAAACCAAACACACGAAACAACAAAACCATAATTAAAGATTACAAGAAAATAAATAAGACGGATTACCATAGCCATGTTACATAAACACGGCTGTCTTCCCAAGAAACACAACGGCCAGACCATAGATATAACATAAATACTCAAACAGGTCGGAGGCATTTATATATAATTTATAATCTAAGGTTTTATAATCTAGGGTTTTAGTAAACGTAATGGCCCAAGTCACATATCATTTATCGATCCATTGAAACATATCAAACCATATCGATATTAAATAACACAAAACCAAACCAATCGCATAGTTTAATTTAATTAATAATTTTATTAAGGATTGTTAAAGTAAATTAAGATGAGGGAAAGTAGCGTGACCTAAAGATTCTAAATAAAAATATTTTATAATGTTGAATGGGTGAGAGATTATTTATGGCTTCTATGTTATCGACATATGATAGAGATTATTTGATAATTTTTATAATTTTCATAATTTTTATTAAAAGTATTAATTTTCATTAAGGGTAATTGAAGTCTTTTCATATGAGGAGCAAAAAGTAATCAACCACAATAACTCTCAACCACAGCCCAACTTGCTTGCTAATTAATAATATGATATGCATTTATAATAAGTTAGCTAAATAAATTTAATAGCAAATTATAATTTTGAAAAATAAAAAATAAAAAATATATAATATTTATTCAGATTTAAAATATATAAATACATAACTTAAGCTAGTAAAAAAATAAATATAATATTCATTTATATTATAAAAATAATTTCATTATATTAAAAATATATATAAAATTTTAAAAATATCATATATCGTTGCGCGGGTAAATACCTAATAGTGTTTAAATTAAACAAAGACTAACTACGTGCCTTCTAGTTTGTATAAAAGATTTGTCAACGTTGATACTAATGCGTATTATATAATACTATACTCCAAGTGGCATTGATATATATTTAGTAAAGTTGGCCCTTCATTACCCGAAACAGAAGTGCAACTACCAAAACATTAATCTCACTCTCACCATCTCTAACAACCACAAGCGCCATGGATAAGGTGCTTTTCCCAAGACACTATCATAGTTTATCCGACGCTTACAATGAGGATGGCTTGAAATGCGATGCTTGCGATGGATCGTATCGTGCTGGCAAGTATTGCGATGGATGCAAGTTTACCGTTCACAGGAGATGTGTTTTTCTGTTTTATATAAAAGAGAAAGCACTGAAGCACCCATCTCATGTCGGACATCGTCTTAAGCTTCTCACAACGGGTGCTCCTGTTCACTCCGACCCGAGATGCCATCTTTGCGGTAAAAACACTAAACGCATTCCTTTTCGTTGCTCCACTTGTAAACTCAATCTGGACATCGATTGCATGCTTGATGCCTTGTGTGGTCAAGCACATGTGAATATGCCGTGGCACCCTCATCCTCTACTCCGACTTACATTCAGAGATCTTGTACGAAGACGGCATTGCTTTGGAGGGAAGCATCTTGTGTGGAGCATGTGTTCGTCCCATCGGTTCTTACACATTTTACAGCTGTTCAGATTGCAGTTTCATCCTCCACGAAACCTGTGCTAATCTTCCAAAGAAGAAACGGCATTTTCTAAGCACAACACCTCTCACTCTCGAGGTTGAAACGCATTATGACGTCGAAAAATGCCATGCTTGTCAGCAATGTTGCCTCGATGAAGGATTCATGTATGTTGATGGAAACGAGCGGTTTGACGTATTATGCAGTTCGATTACTGTTCCATTTATCCATGGAAGTCATCCTCATCCCTTATTCTACCTCAAACTCTCTGACCGTGGTGGCCCCAGGAAATGCAAGAGTTGCGCCATCCACGAAAGAGGAGTCGTCAAATGCGACTTCTATTTGGACTTTCGTTGCGCCACTCTGCCATTAACGGTAAGGCTTCACAGGTATGATGATCATTCACTCACTCTTTGTTACGGTGAAGAGGCAAGCGGCGGCAAGTATTGGTGTGATATCTGCGAAACAGAAACACATCCAGAGACTTGGTTCTACACTTGTAAAGATTGTGGGGTCGCTTTGCATGTTTTGTGTGTACTTGGGGATCTCAGGTACGCCAAACCAGGAGGGAAGATCGAAGAAGAGGTTGATTTGATACCCAACGATACATCTTCACGACCTCTTTGCTACCGTTGTCACTGCCGTTGCATAGGTCCTTTCATTCTTAAGAATTACGACAGCCTATTCCTTTGTTCTGTCTATTGCTTGTCACTGGTTCGAAACTGGAGAAAGTTACGTACTAAACTCAGATGCCCTCCATGGGCATTAGAACCCAATACTTGAACATGTGGTAATGCTCCAGTTTGAAAGTTCGAGGATTGTGTTTCTTTTTTCTTTGTGATTAAATTTGGTGCATTAATGGTGTATTCGTCAAATTTATTAAGAGTACATTTGTGATTGATTTCATAGAACTTACCGTCAATATACGTAACATTTTGACTTCTTAAATAATATTATAGAATTTTTGGTATTTTATATATTTTCCCAAAATTGATGGCAAACTATGACAATTTTTTTGAATATAAAACTATCTATAGCTAGCTAAGAGACAAAAAAATCAAGTAGAATATTTAATGTACTTTTATAAATTATCTTGAAGGTATTCTCGACTCAATATGAGCTGTTACACTTATGACTTTGGCTTCTGCTTCTGCCCTTGTTAATCAAATCTTTTAATTTATTGTAATTTTTTTTTCTTTCTGGGAGAGTGATTTTCTGTTATATTAATTTAAGAGAATTGAAAACAGGAAAAACTTACGTGTTGAGACTTGAGAGTAAACGATCATAGATATATAAGACAAACTAAAGAAGTCGAGACGAGTTTGATTTTTTTTTTTTTTAATTACTAAAAGGTTCGGGGCTGAAGCCCATAATTCCACAGTAATCCCGAGATCCAAAACCACAATATGTAATATTAATTTCGTTCCAAACGTTACTCAATTCTGTGATTTTTAAGCTTTACATAGGATTTCTTTACCATGAATTACTTGATCCTGAATTTTCTAATCGATATCGATTTTTTTTTTACTTCTTCAATAAAAGATAGACAACCCCTAAATGGAGCTATTTCTTACCGTTTTTTTTACAGTTTCGCATAAGCACAAAAAGTGGGACTGGTTGACATCGAAAACGAAGAAAGATGCTCGGAAAATTTTATAGTCAGGGAGGAAAATTTCACCACTCAATGTGAGCTGCCGTGACTTTGGCTTCTGCCTTTGATGATTTGGATTGATACAACGGAATCAAATATTTTATTTTTAGCTGCCATGACTTTTGCTGTCTTGCCTTCCGGATTAGTGATTTTCTGCTATTTAGTTTAAATATGAGAAGTAAAGAAGTCGAATAAAAAACGGGGTTTAGAGGTTTTGGACTGAACCAAGCCGAACCAGCCTGATTGACATGCTTAGATACAGATCTTCAAATCCTAAAAAACATGCAAATGATAACCAAATCGCTAAACCCTAACATATATGAAATGCATCCAATATTTTCAATCCGAATACACAAATAATTTTTCTTTTAGATTTCTGGAATTCAAACATAGACAAAAAAAAATGGAATTGAAGTAAAAGTAAAAGTTAAACTCACAATTTCTTACATCAAATTATGAGTTAAACTGGAATCAAACATAATCCTTGCTTTCTTGCCCTTCAAAAGTCTTATATTATTTATTTTTATTTTTATATTCTGATCTTGTTAAAGCACTCTTTTGTAAAACTTAGTGGAATACATATATTTTGAATTACATGTTAATATATTTTGGTATTTGATATATTGTTTCCGAATTTTTATTAGGACAATGATGAATTCAACTCAATTTTTTCTGTTTTGTTTTATGTGGTAGTGATATATATTTTTTTTTGGAACATTATGTGGTATTGATTTTTTGATATTTAATAGAGGTGAATTGAAAAATGAAGATAACTTGGCTGATGGTAATTTAAAGAAAAAATATAATAAAGTAAAGAAGGCGGGAAAATCGATGGCACGTAGTGTTTAAGTTAAACAAAATGCTAACTATTACTTGCTCACCAGTTTTATATTATTAGAGATTTGTCAACGTCAATATAAATGCACATTTTCTCTGCGCCAACTTCATTATTCATCTTCCTCAAGTCAAGCTCCATAACAATGTCTCAGGTTTGTTGATTTCTACTCTTCTCTTCTCTGGCGTTTCTTTCTAGACTTGTGCTTTAATTTCTCTGGATCAATTTGTGTTTCAGTTGCGCTCTGTCTCCGTTTTGGTTCTATCAACATTTCGATCTGATTTTGTTTATTGATTTGCAGTGCATAAACGATGTGGATTTTGTGTTTTTTTTTTGTTTTTTTTTGCAAAATTGATTCTGTGTGTTTGCATTCTTCTCAGAATTTGATTTAACCGCGGGGCCGTCAAACGAACCATAATCACCGCGTCCAAACGCTGGATTGCAGTCGCAGCCGTCAGGCGTCAGGCAAACGAAAATCTCTCCACCTCTGATAACCGCAAGCGCCATCGATATGGAGCTAAAAGGGCACCATCATTCTGTAGGACGCTACGGAGGTTATCCTGGTTTGAATTGCAGTGCTTGCGATCGGTCGTATGATCCCAATGGCTTTGGATGCTATGAATGCGACTTTAGAGTTCACACGAAATGTGCTTTTGTGTTCAACATACAAGACACACTATCCGAGCACCCTGCTCATGATGGACATGATGTTAAGCTTCTCACAACGGGGGCTCCTGATCACACCGACCCGAAATGCCATTTATGCGGTAAAAACACTAAGCGCCTCCTTTTTCATTGTTCCACATGTAATATTAATATGGACATCGACTGCATGGTCGAAGCCATGTGTTCCCGAGCCAATCTGAATCTGAATATGCCGTGGCACTATCATCCTCTACTCATGCTTGATGTTGGTAAACATATGCTCTGCGCACTTTGTGGTAAGCCCGGCGAATATGGCTACTGCTGCCCTCGTTGTAGGTTGATGGTTCATGAGAAATGCGCCTCCCTGTTTGACTCACCAGTGATCACTAATCATCCTTTACATGCCAGACACTCTCTCAAGCTTCTCACCCAAGGACCTCCAGACTACACAGATCCAGTATGTCATGTGTGTGGAAAACATCCTGGGAACTTTCTTTACCATTGCGATATTTGCAAGTTCAACGTGGATATGGTTTGTGCTATTGAATCCCACCAGCAGCATATATTGACACCGGTTGCTCTTTCAAATATGAAAGTCCATGAGCACAAACTCACACTTATCCCGAGATTGATCTCCTTCGTTTGCGATGCTTGTGGGGAGAAAGGCGACCGTTCTCCATATGTTTGTCTTGAATGTGAGCTCATGTTCTTCCATCAGGAGTGTGCTCGTTTGCCACATGTTATTCAGGTCAATCGCCATGATCACCGCGTTTCTTACACGTATCCTCTTGGTCCTGGAGAGTGGAAGTGTGAGGTTTGTTTGGAAGAGATTGATTGGTCATATGGGGCTTATACTTGTTCCATATGTCCTAGTTATGCTCTTCATTCAAAATGTGCAACAAAGAGAGACGTGTGGGATGGGATAGAGCTTGATGGAGTACCTGAAGAAGACGTTGAAGATATCGAGCCATTCAAGGTGAATGATGACAACACAATCACTCATTTCGCTCATGAACATGCCATGACCCTCAACAAAGGCGGTATTGCTTTGGAGGAAATCATCTTGTGTGGAGCATGTGTTCGTCCTATCGGTTCTTACACATTTTATAACTGTTCAGATTGCAGCTTCGTTCTCCACGAGACGTGCGCTAATCTTCCAAAGAAGAAACGGCATTTCCTAAGCCCAAAACTTCTCACTCTTTGCCTTAGTAGAGATAACGCCAATAGTAGTTGCTATGCTTGTGTTCAGATGTGCTGCGATGGATTCATGTATATTGATGGAGATGGGCGCCGGTTTGACTTACTATGCAGTTCGATCACTCTGCCATTTATCCATGGAAGCCATCCTCATCCTTTACTCTTTCACGATGTTCGTGGCTCTATGAGTAAGCGCTGCCAGAATTGCCGCGGCGGTGGACAACGCATCCTTGGCTGTGTCAAATGCAATTATTATTTGGATTTCCGTTGCGCAACTCTGCCATTAACTGTAAGTCTTCACAGGTATTACGAGCATCCGCTTACTCTTTGTTACGGTGAAAAGGCAAGTGGCAAGTGCAAGTACTGGTGTGATATCTGCGAAGGAGAAACAGATCAAGAGAAGTGGTTCTACACCTCTGATTGTGGAGCCACTCTGCATGTTTACTGTGTGCTTGGGCATGTCAGGTATCCCAAACCAGGAGGGAAGAGCAGAGACGACCTCGAGTTGGTGTTTAACAACAAATCTACACGACCACTTTGCAACAACTGTCATTTTCGTTGCCCAGCTCCTTTCTTCATTGTTATAGAGAAGGAATTATATTGTTCTTATTATTGTTTCCTACGTACTCAAATGAAGGCTTCCTCGATTGGCGGTGCTGCTATACGTCCTCCATGGGTAGATAGTGCCGATATGCACTGGTAAGTGGTAATATAATACTCGAGCCACAAACGTCATCTACTTTGTTTGCTTTTGCTACTTTTGGATTTTTGTATTGAATTGTTTTTGTGACTATTGGCCAGATTTATAATGAACCGATTGTCAATCATCTGCTTACAATTTACATTGCATAAACCGATTCAACTGTAAAATACTTTAGCCACTGTAAATAGAGTCTTATGACATAAGAACATTCTCACTGTAACTTTGTACCATATTATAATTTTACCTAAAACATCAAATTCTAGAACTACTAGTTGAAACTCTTTATAGATGATTTAACAGAATTTTTTATAGCTCACTGTAAAAACTGATATAAAGCGAAAAATGTTTATCTTTTTATTCTCTGGAAATCTGTCTCATAACAATAAAACATGATCTAACATGATATAACAGGACCAAAAAAAAACACAAAGAGAGGTAAAAGAAAAGGATAATGAATGCACTTGGAATTTTGCCCAACAACTTGCATATATAAATATGGGATTCTTGCAAAAATGACCTAAAATTTGATTTAAATTGCAAATCTAACCCACAAAAATCACATTCCCAACATTTGCCATTTTGTGTTCAAACAATCCTTCATAGTTTCAGTTATTCACGAAATTGCCATTATTTTTAATTAATTTTTTTTATTTTCGGAAATCCAAATGACCAACTAATCCTCATCTTCCTCACTTATTTACGAAAATACTCCGAAAGTAGACTTCTCTCAGTCCGAATGAAGTCTACTAGTCAACGCCCAAGTTAGTTTTGCAATTGACCGCATGAAAAAAGTAGACTTCTTTTGGTCCGAATGAAGTCTACTCAATTTCCTTTGATAACAAAAAAAATATAGTAGACTTCTCGAGTAGACTTCTTTAAAAGCAGGTCATTTTTGCAATTGACCAACCTTTGACTTTGTAGAGTAGACTTCTCTATGCAAAGTAGACTTCTCTGAGAAGTCTACTTTCGTAAGTAGACTTCTCGCAGGTCATTTTTGCAATTGACCAAAAAGTCAAATATTTTGCAATTGTAAAAATGACCTGCGAGAAGTCTACTTACGAAAGTAGACTTCTCGAAGAAGTCTACTTTTCATAGAGAAGTCTACTAATATTTTGGCAATTGCAAAACTAACCTGCGAGAAGTCTACTTTTATCCGAGAAGTCTACTTTTCTTGTTTTAAAAAAAAAATAATTTTATACAATATATAACGAATTTTTAAGATTTTCGTGATCCTAAGCTTCTGTTATTAAGTTTTCTTGCTTATGTATAAGTTTTGCATGTTTATATTTTATAGGTGTAGTCGAATGAGTTTTCATGTTTTATATGATACTTAGCTTATTAAGAGTAGACTTCTTAGTCTACTGTAGAAGTCTACTATGTAGACTTCATCCGACTTTCAGAGAAGTCTACTTATGCAATTTTGATGTCTAATGTGGTTTGGATTTTGTTCTTTTTTCACAGAGAATGGCTCACATACCCGCTGTTTATGGAGAATGGGTTAAGAGTGAATCAGTGTGGCAGTTCGAGGTGGATAATAGCAAAGGAGGGTGAATGATGTTCTTAAGAGATGGTTGCACACATGGTGAGCTTCTTGGTGAATGTTGGCAAAGGAGGGCAAATAGCAAAGGAGGGCGAATGTTGTCACCTTTAAGTTATGTAAAATTAATGTTTTTAAGAAGTCTACTCGAGACAATGAGAAGTCTACTTCAGAAGTCTACTCGAGACAAGAGAAGTCTACTCGGTTGACAAGTTATATGATATAAATGAGAGAAATGTCCCTCTGAATCACTTTTAAGTTATGTAAAATTAATGTCTTTTAGAAGTCTACTCGAGACAGGAGAAGTCTACTCGAGACAAGAGAAGTGTACTCGGTTGACAAGTTATATGATATAAATGGGAGAAATGTCCCTCTGAATCACTTATAAGTAATGTAAAATTAATGTCTTTAAGAAGTCTACTCGAGACAGGAGAAGTCTATTTTGTAAAATAGATAAACATAGATAATTTAGGAATTTGATACAAAACATTCAATGCAATTCAACATTACATAGAAAATAACCCTCTAAACAAACAAACATTTAAGGATCACTAATTATAAATCTTAAAATTGGCATAAAAAATGACTAGTAAACTAAAATCTCTGAAAACTATGTATGCAACTGAAGTTTGCTCGAGATCGAGAAGTCTACTCGAGAAGTCTGCTCGAGATCGAGAAGTCTACTCGAGAAGTTTACATTCAGATCTGCAAAAAAATCAACAAAATTCAGCTCTGCAACAATAACGAAAAAATTAGATCTAGAACAAAATCTATAAAATTTATACAACAATAAACTCAGATCTACAAATATAAACTTAGATCTACAACAATAAGCTCAAATCTAAACTAATAAGCTCGGATCTATAATAATAATCTACTATGTTTATAACATTCAGATCTGTACAAAAATCAACAAAATTCAGCTCTGCAATAATAACAAAAATTAACAAAATCTACAAAATTTACACAACAATAAACTCAGATCTACAAAAATAAACTTAGATCTACAACAATAAGCTCAAATCTATAATAATAATCTCAGATTTGCAATATGAACACAAAGCAAATAAAAAAAGGAACACAAAAGCTCAGATTTGCTTACCACTACCATAACCTGCAAGTGAGAGGAGGTTGAATGCAAGATAGAGAGGATGAAGAGGATATTGATAGCAAGAGAGGAAGGAGAAGAAATTCATGGCCAGAGAGAAGGGATAAGAGAGAGAGAGGCGTTTTTTAGATAGAGAGAGACTTTGTTGTTAATACAATTAGGTTAAACTTTCCTTATATATGTAGGAAAAAATTCGTGTAAGTAGACTTCTCCAAGAAGTCTACTCGAGAAGTCTACTCGAGAAACCGAGAATTCTACTCGAGAAGTCTCTTAGTATTGATTTTTATCCTAATTTATTTATGATGATTTAAATTGATTATTTTCTGTCAAATTTTATTTTTAATAGGTGTAAAAAGTATATATTTTTTGTTATGTATCTAATTTTTTTTATTAAATTATCTTTTATGATTTTTAAAATTAATTGTAAACATATTATTAAAGAATAGACTTCTCTGGTATAAAATAGTAATTGAGGTTGTCATTTTTTTGTTTGGTCATAAGGGTTAAAGTTGTAATTTCACTACTCCTGTGAGTTATTTTTGTCAAACATGCAATAGAGGGTCTAGTTTTGAATTTCAACTCAAGTTTTGAGTCATATTCAGCAATTTATCCTATAAAATATAGCAAGTTGTATTGAAGGTCATGCATGAGCAGTTGACCACAAGATGTTTATGATTTTTGCAATATTTGTTAAATATAGGCTCAAAATCATTAAAAGCTACACTATAAAACAAAAATGTAATAATTTGTTAAGGAAATAAATATTAATTCAAGATTTCGTAGTCATAGAAAATATTTTTTTGGGATCAACTATCATAGAAAATATTTAAAATTCAACTTTGTACCTGCTTTTTAGTTTTATATATCTCGGAAGGTATCAATGTATCAATATCATCATCGACTCAATGTGAGTTGTCAACTTGTCATGACTCTGCCTTCGATGATCTGGTTTGATACAATGAGATCAAATTTTTTATTTGTTGTTTTGTGAACAAACAGAAAATGATTGACAATTTTCGATGTATGCACAGGCCAAAACCAATTGATATATATACAATGTTCTTCTTGGAAAATAGGTTCAATCTATGAAGACTATGATCCTAAATCAAAGAAAACATGATACGTTGTATAATTTACAATCAATTTAGATAAATGCGCATAATTAAAATGTAATTTCAATCCCTAGTTACATTTTATTTTCTATGTATTTATAACTCTGAGTGTACATCAGTACAATAAATCAACTCTTTTTTAGTTTTGTTTTGATTTTCTGATTTTTAATTTTAGTGAATTTAAAAAAGGAAAACAGGCATATTAAGTGTGTATAGAAAAAATATAAGAAAATTTTTTTTTATTGGTCAAACAAGTCTTTCATTATTTTAAGAAAGTTTTATCTCCAAAGGAAGATGATACAACAAGCTGTAAAGAGCCAAATACAGTAGATTGGTGAAGCACAAGACAAGGAAAAGACAACAATAATAACTCAAACAGAGATAAAGAGATAAGTGAGAGCTAACAAGCTTAACCAAAAATAGAAAGGAGTTAATAAGCTCAACCAAAGCGAATATTGCTGTTTTGAACGACACCGCCAAGAAGAGGGAATACAGCCTCCATAGTCGAAAGGATGAAGCCATCAGCAATATCAATTACTGAACAAAAAAATAATAGTCTCATGACTTCTGTTCTAGCCAGAACAATTTTGACTCAATGCCCCCTGAAATACTTAAAATAAGTGAACAATGTGAAAAAAAAAAGCCTCCGTAAAGGAGAGAAGAGGACTATAGAAGTCCAAAGCCGGATTCAATGAAAGGAAGCTATTGAGATAAGCTTTCATCAAATTGAAATCGGGACAGAACCTGCATATTGCAGTAAATGGCCGCATTAAGGCAGGAGAAACCGAATCATTCGGTAATAGAAGCGATGAACTCAAAATCCACAAATCAGGCGTTTCCCATCCTGCATACTGCTGTTCCAAACTTGGAGAGGTAGAAGATAAAGAATGAGAGCAAACCTGGGAAAAGATGAGATGGTAACGCAGCCAGGTGATGAGATGGAGAGGCAGCTTGAGGACTTGCGAGAAGGAGATGAAACGAGGTGGCGGAGGCGACGAGGACCGAGAGAGAGTCGAAGCTTAAGGAAGAATCTGGCGGATCTGGTGGTTCCGGCGGAGCGCAGGGGAAGAGGACTTCGAAAAAATCCAGAGGAAACTTACTCGGCGGTGGTGGATCCGGCGGAGGCATGAGCCGCGACAGAGGAGAATCAGCTACCGAACCCATCGCAGAGAAGAGAAGGATAGAGAACTTTAGGCAGAGGGGGAGCAAACGGCGGAGCTGCGGCGGAAGGGGCTAATCTTGACTCGATGACAGCTATTTTGGAGATCGGGCCTGAGAAAGAAACTAGGGCGAACTCTACTCAGCTGAATAAAGAAAGTTAAGTCATAAAGAATAAAGAGTTAATCAAGTGGTGGTGATCTAGTGATTTTTATTTAAAGAGAAGTTATTTTGTTAATTTAGGCTAGGAATCGATTTCCCTCATACGTGAAATTGATTTAGCCATACGGATATAAATTTTTGTTTTCGGTCTATTTGAATATCTAAAAAAAAAATTATTTATGAGCTGCACTTCTTTAGTCGTTTAGTCTAGATTCTTCAATAGGTAGGTGTGTTATGTATCCTTAATTATTAAAAAAAAATAGTGAATTCATATTTTATATATTGTAACAAAAAAAATAAAGTGAAGAAGTCGAAGAAAACTCACATGGAAACAAAATCTGAGCGGGACAATCGATAGTACGTACTACGTAGTTTTTAAATTAAATAAACGCTAGCTACTTGCTCACCAGTTGTATTATTTATTATGTATATATTATTATATTTGTCGACATCAATTTTAATGGATATTACTTAGAGAATATATTAATTATTAATGCATATAATAAGACAAGAACTGATTTAAGTGTATATAGAGGAACATAAATACTGATCCACAATTACACGAAACAAAAATGCAATTACCTAAACGTCGATTAACGAAACTGCAATCCAAACAATTGTAGAATTCGTTAGAACCGATGGGACGAACACATGCTCCACACAAGATGCTTTCCTCCAAAGCAATATTGCTGTCTTCGTTGGGGCTCAGGTTATGCTCATGAGCGAAATGAGTGATTGTGTTGTCATCATTCCTCTTGAATGGCTCGATATCTTCAACTTCTTCGGGTACTCCATCAAGCTCTTCCCCATCCCACATGTCCTTCGTTGTTGCATATCTTGAATGAAGGGCATAACTAGGACAAATGGAACAAGCATAAGCCCCATACGACCAATCAATCTTTTTCAAACAAACCTCACATTTCCATTCTCCAAGACCTAAGAGGATACTTGTAAGAAACGCGGTGATCGTGGCGATTGACGTGAATAACACGTGGCAGACGAGCACACGTTTGATGGAAGAACATGAGCTCACATTGAAGACAAACATAGGGAGAACGGTCGCCTATCTCCCCACAAGCATCACAAACGAAGGAGATCAATCTTGGGATGAGTTTGAGTGTATGCTCGTGGACCTTCATCTTTGGAAGAGCCACTCGTAGGGGAGTTTGAACCGCACAAACCATATCTATGTTGAACTTACAAATATCACAATGATAAAGAAAGTCCCCAGTGTCTTTTCCACATACATGACATTTCAAATCAGTGTAGCCGGGAGCTCCTTCGGTGAGAAGCTTGAGAGAGTGTCTGGTATGACAAGAATGAGTGATCTCTGGTGAGACAAATACGGAGACGCATTCCTCATGAACCACCAACCAACAACGAGGGCAACAATAGCCATATCCGCCAGGCTTACCACAAACTGCGCATCGCATATAATCACCAACATCAAGCATGAGTAGAGGATGATAATGCCACGGCATATTCAGATGGGATCTGGAACACACGGCATCAACCATGCAATCGATGTCCATATTGAGATTACAAATGGAACAATGATAAAGAAGGCGCTTGGTCTTTTTACCACAAATATGGCATTTTGGATCGGTGTGATCAGGAGCCCCCGTTGTGAGAAGCTTAAGACCATGCCCAACATGAGAAGGATGCTCGGATGTCTCTAGAATATTGAACACAAAAATACAGTTTTTGTGAACTTCAAACTCGCATTCATGGCAAGAGAAGCCCTCGCAAGACGATGGAGTGCAAGAGAAGCCATCACCATATGATCGATCGCATGCATCGCATTCCAAACCTCCAATATATCTAATGCGTCCTAAAGGATGCTTGTGTCCTTCTAAATCTAAACGCATGGTTGCTGCAGTTATTAGTGGTGGAAGAATGTGGAAGTCACCCTCATCCTTTACTATACCTCGACAAAGGTAATTATGGTGACAGGAAGAAATGCCAGAGTTGCGACATAGGTGGAAATGATGTCGTCCTTGGTTGTATCAAATGCAACTTCTTTTTGGATTTTCGTTGCGCCACTCTACCATTGACGGTAAGACTTCACAGGTACGACGATCATCCACTTACTCTTTGTTACGGTGAAGAGGCAAGCAGCGGCAAGTATTGGTGTGATGTATGCGAAAGAGAAACAAATCCAAAGACTTGGTTCTACACCTGTAAAGATTGCGGAGTCACTCTGCATGTTTTTTGTGTCGTCGGGAATGTCAGGTACGCCAAACCAGGAGGAAAGATCAAAGTAGACGTTGAATTGATGTTTAACAATACATTTTCAAGACCACTTTGCAACTTCTGTCACTGTCGTTGCGCAGCTTCCTTCTTTCTTATTAAGGAGAAGGAATTATTTTGTTCTTATTATTGTCTGGTGCGTGTTCGAACGAGGGCGTCCTGGATTTTTAACATTGTTATACGTCCTCCGTGGGCCATATGAATCGAATACTTGAAGATGTTGTAACATTTCGAGTCTGAAACTGATCTACTTGATTGCTGTTTTTGCATTTTTTTGTTTCTTTCTATGAGGTTAAATTGATTGTTGTTGTGACTATTCACCAAGTAATGAACCGATTGAGAATCATATGATTACGTTTTACATTACATGAAGACGTGGCCGGCCTCGTACTAAAGCGGCTGCTTTAGGTCTCAAATATACCCACTTATTTTGGGGACGTTCTTTTTCTTCAAAATAGTCACTTGGATTGGTTCCATTTTTTCTTCTTCAAAAGGTCTCTTATCAAGCTTAGCATTATATATACTAGAAGAGTACCTTAGTTTTTAGTTATGATTAAGCGGGCGATTTCCAGAATTACACTAAAAATAAGTTTCAGAAAAATATAACAAGGAAGCTAAAAATTTTCCATCTCTAACATTTTTCATTTGAGTTTTCCAAGTTTACCCTTTAGCAAAGTCTTTTTAATGTTTTTTTCTGTTAATGTTGCATGATTTTTTAAGAAGATATTTCGTATACTATAATTTAACACTAGGTAATAACCCGCGCTCTGCACTGAGTGAAATATCTTTTATTAAATTAATATAAATTTTAAAATATTATATAACATAATATATTTAGTTTTAATTTTTGTTTTATATAATATAATTGTAAAATATATTAATAATATAATAGAGTATTTTTTATTTATATTAGTATAAAACCGCTGTAACGTCTAATCAATATACATTGTTTTACTCTAACAGGTTTAAATATAGGTTTGAATGATATAAAAAATGATATATATAAATAACTTAATTTGCGAAAGAAAAAACAAATTATTGCTTTCAAAATAATTTAAAACTAACGATAGTCGGAAATATAAAAGAATTATGCTAATAATATCAAAGCATCTATATTTAAAGCTACGTAAATGCTATCAAAGAGTGTTGATCGGAAAGTTGTTTATTTATGAAATATGTATTAGTAATATTTAATACACCAATGTATTGGGTAGATTTGTAGTAGTTATTGATTGATATAATTATAATAAATAATAATTTTATCTCTTTGAATTATTTTAGGATAAATAAATAAGAATTAAAATGGCTAACAAAAAAAAAGATTATAAACAAAAGAAAAAATAGAGAATAACATAAGTTGCAATCAAACCAACGTGGTGACATATGAATAAACAAATAATCACATTGTATATGATTCGAATTTTAGAACTTATTTTTTATTGTCTGATGAATATTAAGGTTAATCAAATGGAATATAGTTTGAAGTTATAATAATACAATGTACTTAAACTATATACAAAACAATATGTAAAGAGACCGAAGATTAAAAAAATAAAGGCTTCATTAGAATTTTACGGAAACAAATAACGAAACATAAAGGATTAAAATTATTGAAAAAACGGAACTAAAAAATAAAATTCAAACCCAGAAAATGATTGAAGCCTCTAGGTTTCAGATCAGTAGTAGAACTAAAAGATGCCATAAGAATGAACTGTAAAAAAACTTTAACCAGAAAATGCAATAAGAAAGTGATATGTGAGTGCATATAGCACACGTCTTATAAATAGTTGGGTGATAATTTAAATCATGATATATATGATAAGTATTTATGGCACATGTAATATTTAAAATATAAGACATTAAATAACGAAATGACTCAATTATAGATATGAAATTAATATTTAAGATACTAATCGGTTGAACTATGTTTTTACTAACTATCAAATGAACAATGAAATATGTCATTTCTTAAATAGTAATTAGTAGTATCGATTATGACCTAACTGTTAGGAAAGACGTATTAACTCTATTAATCATAGATTGAGAAAGACGAAAACACATCAATAACGTTATTAATCAACTATTAAGTTTGGCAATTACTCATTTAATGCATATATATGGAGTACTTGACATATATTGATCCCTTTTTAATTTATTAGTTCCTATATATTGATGCATGAATAATTTTAAGTTAATGCATATTGATATGCCTTTCTCAAGTTATCATTTAATACATATTTAGCATGTAAATTAATTTATATGTGATTAGTTTATCTTTCTATGCATGCGATTAATTCTAAACCTCTATTTCTAAAGTCAAGATTTAACAATCAAAATTAAAAAAAATTATTTATTAATTCATATGCATGCGATTTATTCTAAACCACTATTTCTAAAGTTAAGATTTACGAATCAAAATACAAAATTAGTATAAACCATTAATAATTATGTTGGATACAAATATAAAATATACTAATTATTGGAATGAATGAATCTACTAACTATACTATTTATTTTTTTAATATGATTAATGTATAATATTTTAATTATTTTTTTAGAACTATAATAGTTGAATACATTATAAAATTGCATCATATTATAATGAAAAATACATGTATATGGTGCATAATATGTCGATGAATAAATTTAAATACATGTGTAGATAGTGTTTTTTTAAATATAAACTAATATATATCGATGGATAGTTTATAAAGGTATAATATATGTTTGGTTATAACAATGCATAATGGCATAACATGTAAATATTTTAGTAACATAAGTCTTTTTTTATAAAAATACTGAGAAACTCTATGGTGATGACACATCAGCATAATGGCACTATTATAATATTATACAAATTTAAGGTTTCTCTCTAAAAATGCTTCTCTTTTAATATATAGGGGATTGTTTCATATGGTTTAAGAAAGCTTTTCTAAATTTTTGAAAATTTCTTGAATTGTGAAAAGGACTTTCTGAATTGTGGAAGGGTTTCCTGGATTGTGGTAATGCTTACTGGAAGGCCTTCTTGAATTTGAATTTTATAAATTAACAAAAAATAATAATCAATTATACGATTTAGGAATGCATTCCTAAATACATGTAATAAATTTCTTAATTTATACATTTTAGGAAAGTCTTCCTAAAACTATAGAATATCTTCATAAATTTACGCTCATCTTCTTTCTTACCTCAGCGACATCCAAACTCTAATTTTTGCCGATTTTCTTTTCATCATTGTTGTGTTTTTTCACTCAATTATATCAGATCTATCTATCACTATATGATTTTGAGCTTTAAATTCCGAAATCACATTTCCATAAAAAAATTCCAAAAATCTAAGAGATTCACAATCACAAATCACGATCCTAAATAAAATAAATGATTCAAATTTCAGATCAGTCTTGGCCATTGATACATTTGTTTGTACATTATCTTTCTTCTTTTTTTATTAACTAATGTTTTGTCTAACTAAGATTAATATGATATAAAATGTTATGGAATGAATTTTTTAGAGTGTTAGTATATATATGGAACAAGAATTTCTCTAAACTTTTTTATAATTTTTTTTTAAATTATATTTTGTAATAAAGTTATTAACGAGATCATTTTAAAAATTATCTCTTAATTATTTCGATAGGTATCAGTATCATCAACTACTCGATGTGAGTTGTTTGAATTATGCCGTCGGGATAACTTGCCTGCTGATAATTAAAAGAGATAATATAATAAAGTAAACAAGATCTGGGCGGGAGAATCGATAGCACGTAGTATTTAATGCTAGCTACTACTTGCTCACCAGTTGTATTGTTATAGATTTGTCAACGTCAATATTAATGCACATAATATAAACAAGTATATAGAAGGTGATTACATTATATAAAGGAAAATATCAGTATTGATCAATTTTGCATTCTCTCCACCTCTGATAACCGCAAGCGCCATCGATATGGAGCTAAAAGGGCACGATCACTCTGTAGGACACTATAGAGGCTATCCTGGTTTGGATTGCGGTGCTTGCGATCGGTCGGATGATCCCATTGGCTTAGGATGCTATGAATGCGACTTTACTATTCACACGAAATGTGCTTTTGTGTTCAACATACAAGACACATTATCCGAGCACCCTGCTCATGATGGACATGATGTTAAGCTTCTCACAACGGGGGCTCCTGATCACACCGACCCGAAATGCCATATCTGTGGTAAAAACACTAAGCTCCTCCTTTTTCATTGTTCTACATGTAATATTAATATGGACATCGACTGCATGGTTGATGCCATGTGTTCCCGAGCCAATCTGATACATCAAATGCCGTGGCACTATCATCCTCTACTCATGCTTGATGTTGGTAAACAAATGCTCTGTGAACTTTGTGGTAAGCCCGGCGAATATGGCTTCTGTTGCCCTCGTTGTAGGTTGATGGTTCATGAGAAATGCGCCTCCCTATTTGAGTCACCAGAGATCACTCATCTTTTACATACCAAGCACTCTCTTAAGCTGCTCACCCAAGGACCTCCCGACTACACAAATCCAATATGTCATGTGTGTGGAAAACATCCTGGAAACTTTCTTTACCATTGTGATATTTGTAAGTTCAACGTGGATATGGTTTGTGCTATTGAATCCCACCAGCAGCATAGATTGACACCGGTTGCTCTTTCAAAGATGAAGGTCCACGACGAGCATACACTCACGCTCATCCCAAGATTGATCTCCTTCATTTGCGATGCTTGTGGGAAGAAAGGCGACCGTTCTCCTTATGTTTGTCTTCAATGTGAGCTCATGTTCTTCCATCAGAGGTGTGCTCGTTTGCCACGTGTTATTCAGGTCAATCGCCATGATCACCGAGTTTCTTACACGTATCCTCTTGGTCCTGGAGAATGGAAGTGTGAGGTTTGTTTGGACGAGATTGATTGGTCATATGGGGCTTATTCTTGTTCCATCTGTCCTAGTTATGCTCTTCATTCAAGATGTGCAACACGGAAAGATGTGTGGGACGGGAAAGAGCTTGATGGAGTACCAGAAGAAGTTGAAGACTATTCGCCATTCAAGATGAATGACGACAACACAATCACTCATTTCGCTCATGAGCATAACCTGAGCCTCAACGAAGATGGTATGGCTTCGGAGGAAAGCATCTTGTGTGAGGCATGTGTTCGTCCCATCGGTTCTAACGCATTCTACAATTGTTCGGAATGCGGTTTCCTTCTCCATGAAACGTGTGCTAATCTTCCTAAGAAGAAACGACATTTTCTGAGCCCAAGACCCCTCACTCTTTGCCACAACAGAGATGACACCGATGCATCATGCGGAGCTTGTGTTCAGATGTGCTGCGAAGGATTCATGTATATGGATGGAGATGAGGACCAGTTTGACTTACTATGCACTTCGATCACTGTCCCATTTATCCATGAAAGTCATCCTCATCCTTTACTCTACCTCATAGAAGGTCCTGACGATGACAATGACATGAAGACATGCCAAAGTTGCGACGGTCCTGTATATCAAGGCTTTCTTGGCTGTATCAAATGCAAATATTATTTGGATTTCCGTTGTGCAACTCTGCCATTAACTGTAAGCCTTCACGGGTATTACGAGCATCCGCTTACTCTTTGTTACGGTGAAAAGGCAAGTGGCAAGTACAAGTACAAGTACTGGTGTGATATCTGCGAAGGAGAAACAGATCCAAAGACTTGGTTCTACACCTCTGCTTGCGGAGCCACTCTGCATGTTTACTGTTTACTTGGGCATGTCAGGTATCCCAAACCAGGAGGGAAGAGCAGAGACGGCCTCGAGTTGGTGTTTAACAACAAAGCTACACGACCACTTTGCAACAACTGTCATTTTCGTTGCCCAGCTCCTTTCTTCATTGTTATAGAGAAAGAATTGTATTGTTCTTATTATTGTTTCCTACGTACCCAAATGAAGGCTTCCTCGATTGGTGGCGCGGCTATACGTCCTCCATGGGTAGATAGTGCCGATATGCACTGGTAATATATTACTCGAGCCAGAAACTCATCTACTTTGTTTGCTTTTGCTTCTTTTTGGATTTGTTTTTGCTATGGATTTTTGTATTGATTGTTGTTGTCACTATTGGCGAAATTAATTAATAATGAACCGATTGTCAATCATCTGCTTACATTTTACATTGCATGAACCGATTTAGCTGTTGAATATTTTTAACCACTGTAAATAGAGTCTTATGACATAAGAACATTCTCACTGTAACTTTGTACCATATTATAATTTTACCTAAAACCTCAAATTCTAGAACTACTAGTTGAAACTCATTATAGATGATTTAACAGAATTTTTAATAGCACACTGTACAAACTGATATAAAACGAAAAATGTTTATCTTTTTATTCTCCGGAAGTCTGTCGCATAACAATAACATGATCGAACATGATATAACAGAACAAAAAAAAAAAAAAAAAAAAAAGACAAAGAGAGGCAAAAGAAAAGGATAATGAATGCACTTGGAATTTTGCCCAACAACTTGCAACGAAATAAATCCTTCTTCTTAATAAGAAAGAAGGGAGCTGCGCAACAGATTGATTGGCACAACTTTTACAATCAATTTTGGGAAAAGATATAAAATATCAAAAATTCTGTAATACTATATAAGAAGTCATTTTTTTTACGTATCCCGTTGACGGTAAGTTCTATGAAGTCAATCACAAATGACATAACTGAATAATATTTTTATTTTATTCAGTTTAACATAACATAAGTTTTTTTTTACTTTTTATTATAAAATGCTTAATATTGTGAATGATAGACATTTAATAAAATCACATGTTTACTGTAAAAAGCTACATAATTTTCAACCTCATAAACTAATTTTTTTTCTTAACAAAAAAATTTGAACCATTTTTCAAATTTGTGTGTATCATTTTTACGCAGAAAATCCTGCTAGTATTTTCTATATCATCCAGTTTTATCGGATATTCTAAAAAGGCAACATAGATTATTTATTTTGCGCCATCATAGACTACTGATTCACTGATTTTTGCACCGGTCATAAATGAATTCCAATCCAATTCTGTGTTTTGGGTTGACTTTTTTGTTAATATAATAGTACTCTTTCTGTTTTAATATGTAAATTGTTTAAAGTATCTACACAAATATTAAGAAAAGTGTTTTTTTATTTAAAATATTAGAAAATGTATAATATAATTAGTTACACAGTAATCAATAAAGCTAAAAATAATATTAATATAAGTAAATAATTAATATTGTAAAATAAAATAAAAATTCCATAACAATTATATTATGAAACAGAAAGAATATTAATTAAGAAAATCATAACTCGATGTTGATGTAAGATTGGATTGCTCTATATATTTTTGAATATGATCTTCAAGTTTAGATAGATGGAGGAATGGTTTGTTGATTGATTCCTTTTGTGCTTGAATCACCAGGATTTAGATTCTAACTCGTCAAGAGCTAATCCTCACAAGAATAGTCAGACTCTACACGAAATACAAATACTCTGATTTCACAAAGGGTTTAAATTCGCAGAGACATGTTTGATGCAAAGAAATCTTTTTTGTAAACAAAACAAAAAGGTTTTCTTGATTATTTCTTGGTTCTGGTTTAATTAAACTCAGCTATTGATTTGGTCTATGGTTTGAATCTTTTGGTATTTTCTGTGGACGTCAGGGAAGGCAAATGATAAGTAGTAATATAAGATATACTCATGTTTTCCTTAAATGGCTCTGAATATACACATGTAGGTCCATGTGTATATATGAATGTCTTGAAGGGTTTTTCCTGGTTATTGACGTGGTTTAATGATTCTGAATATCTTGAAATGTCTCTTGGTAGCTGAATATAATGGTGAGTCTAATAAAATGGTATGTGGTTCCTCTTTTCCTTAGATAACTCCAATATAGCTTAATTTGGTGGTTTAAGACAATTTGGTGGTTTAAGATAATTTGATGGTTTTTTTTGGTTAAGTGACGACTTGTATTGAACCAGCTTGTCTTTGGTTTGATCAAAAGGCTCCTTTTGATGATCAGAAAGATGGCCTTTTGATATATACTCCTTAGCTTCTTCAAACACAGCTATAAGCTTCTCCTTCTCTTCAGCTACAAGCAAGGTTATCTCTAGTTTGGTATTTGAGTATCCTCCAACGTCTGAGAAGGTTTGTTTGCTACTGATGCCCACATTAGATATGAGCTGTCATGACTTTGGCTTCTGTCTTCGATGATTAGGATTGATACAACGAAATCAAATATTTTATTTTGTTGTCTTGTTTTTCGGGGGCGGGATAGTGATTTTCTGCATATTAAACTTTGCTTGTTGAGAGAGGAAGTAAAGAAGTCGAATAAAAAACAGACAAAACCTAAGTGGGATAAATTATTAGTGTTTAAATTAAACAAAGACTAACTACGTTACCTGTAGTTCTATTATTATAGACTCACCACCTTCAATATTAATATAACAAGTGTAGCATCGATAATAGACTATTAGGATATAGAGAATAAGTGAATAACATGATAGATCTACTTTTACACGAAACAAAAAGGCAGCTACCCAAACACTAATGTACATTCATCTTTAATAGGGGGACAATATAATTCTAAACATTAAATAAAAATCCTAAATATGTGAATAAGATAATTTGACCCAAAAAAAAAAATATGTACGTGAATAAGATACAGATCTTCAAACCCTTATAAACATGGGAATGAAAACCAAACTAATCGCTGAACCCTAACATATGTGAAATGCACCCAATATTTTCAATCCGAATACGCAAATATATTTTCTTTTAGATTTCTCGAATTGAAACATAGACCGAAAGAAAAAGAAAAAAAGATGGAATTGAAGTAACAGTAAAAGGTAAACTCACAATTTCTTACTAGGACATCAAATGCTTGCTTTCTTCAGTTCTTGCCGCTCAAAAGTCCTATGCTATTAAAGCACTCTTTTGTAAAACTTAGTGAATAAATATATACTGAATCACATGTTAATATATTTTGGTACTTGATATATTGTTTCCGAAATTTTATTGGCAAAATATAACACAATTTTCGAAACATTATGGTACTAACAAACAAGATATACGCTAAGAGACGAACGAGAAAACAAAAAATCACGTGAAATGTTTTCTTCTAAAAGATTAATCTCGAAGGTACGTACCATCAGCGGCTCAACGTAAGTTGTCATGACTTTAGCTTTTGTCCTCGGTGATCTGTATTGAACTATTGATGGTACGTACCTTCGAGATTAATCATTAAGAAAAAGATTAAACATTAGGACAACGACGAAATCAACTCTATCTTTTCTGTTTTGTTTTTATGTGGTAGTGATTTTTTTACTATTATTAATTGAGGTTAATTAAAAAAAATGAAGATAGCTTGCCTGTTGGTATTTAAAAGAGAAAAGATAATAAAGTAAACAAGATCTGGGCGGGAGAATAATAGCACGTAGTGTTTAAATTAAACTAAATGCTAATTACTACTTGTTCACCAGTTGTCAATATTAATGCACATAGTACAACCAGTATAGAAGTGATTATATTATTTACACGAAACAAAATTTCAATTACCCAAACATCAATTGTGCATTCTCTTCTCCACCTCTGATAACCACAAGCGCCATATTGATATGGAGCAAAAAGGGCACGATCATTTGGTAGGAAACCATATGATGCAGCGTGATATTTGGAATATTTCTAAATATTTTAAATATTTTTATTATTTACTTATTTATGTATTTAGATAATTATTATTTATTATTTAGAGCTATCTAGAATATTTTAGAGTTTTTATGATCTATTATAAATAAGCCGTTCACGCATTTATTGTAATTCAGACTTTGATTAATTAATAAAAATGAGATTTTTTAAAAGAGGTTTGGATAAACCACTGTGAAGAATATTCACAAACCCTAGTTTCCGGGTATTCTCAGAATCAATGAATCTAGTTCTATTCGTAATAGCTTCCGCTTCATCACCATAGAGATTATCCTGGTTTGGATTGCGGTGCTTGCAATCGGTCGGATGATCCCACTGGCTTACGATGCTACGAATGCGACTTTACAGTTCACACGAAATGTGCTTTTGTGTTCAACATACAAGAGACATTATCCGAGCACCGTGCTCATTATGGACATGATGTTAAGCTTCTCACAACGGGGGCTCCTGATCACACCGATCCGAAATGCCATTTATGCGGTAAAAACACTAAGCGCCTCCTATTTCATTGCTCCACATGTAATACTAATATGGACATTGACTGCATGGTAGATGACATGTGTTCCCGAGCCCGTCTGAATCAGCATATGCCGTGGCACTATCATCCTTTACTCAAGCTTGGTGTTGGTGAACATATGCTCTCTGAACTTTGTGGTAAGCCCGGTGTTGGTGAACATATGCTCTGCGAATTTGGCTTTTGCTGCGCTCGTTGTAGGTTGATGGTTCACAAGAAATGCGCCTCCCTGTTTGACATACCAGAGATCACTCATCCTTTACATGCGAGACACTCTCTTAAGCTTCTCACCCAAGGACCTCCCGACTACACAAATCCAGTATGTCATGTGTGTGGAAAGCATCCTGGGAACTTTCTTTACCATTGTGATATTTGTAAGTTCAACGTGGATATGGTTTGTGCTATTGATACACACCAGCAGCATAGTTTCACACGGGTTGCTCTTTCAAAGATGAAGGTCCACGAGCATACACTCACGCTCACCCCAAGATTGATCTCCTTCATTTGTGATGCTTGTGGGGAGAAAGGCGACCATTCTCCATATGTTTGTCTTCAATTTCAATGTGAGCTCATGTTCTTCCATCAAGAGTGTGCTCGTTTGCCACGTGTTATTCAGGTCAATCGCCATGATTACCGCGTTTCTTACACGTATCCTCTTGGTCCTGGAGACTGGAAATGTGAAGTTTGTTTGGATGAGATTGATTGGTCATATGGGGCTTATTCTTGTTCCATATGTCCTAGTTATGCTCTTCATTCAAGATGTGCAACAAGGGATGACGTGTGTGACTGGGTTGAACTTGATGGAGTACCCGAAGAAGTTGAAGATTATTCGCCATTCAAGATGAATGACGATAACACAATCACTCATTTCGCTCATGAACATAACCTGAGCCTCAACAAAGACGCTATGGCTTTGGAGGAAAGCATCTTGTGCGAAGCATGTGTTCGTCCCATCGGTTCTAACGCATTCTACAATTGTTCGGACTGCAGTTTCCTTCTCCATGAAACGTGTGCTAATCTTCCTAAAAAGAAACGACATTTTCTGTGCCCAAGACCCCTCACTCTTTGGCACAACAGAGATGACACCGGTACAACATGCAGAGCTTGTGTTCAGATGTGTTGCGAAGGATTCATGTATATTGATGGAGATGGGGACCGGTTTGACTTACTATGCACTTCGATCACTCTGCCATTTATCCATGGAAGTCATCCTCATCCTTTAATCTACCTCATAGAAGGTCCTGACGATGGCATAAAGACATGCCAGAATTGCGACGGTCCTGTATACGAAGGCTTCCTTGGATGTATCAAATGCAATTATTATTTGGATTTCCATTGCGCAACTCTGCCATTAACTGTAAGTCTTCACAGGTTTTACAAGCATCCGCTTACTCTTTGTTACGGTGAAAAGGCAAGTGGCAAGTGCAAGTACTGGTGTGATATCTGCGAAGGAGAAACAGATCCAGAGAAGTGGTTCTACACCTCTGATTGCGGAGCCACTCTACATATATACTGTGTACTTGGGCATGTCAGGTATCCCAAACCAGGAGGGAAGAGCAGAGACGACCTCGAGTTGGTGTTTAACAACAAATCTACACGACCACTTTGCAACAACTGTCATTTTCGTTGCCCAGCTCCTTTCTTCATTGTTATAGAGAAGGAATTATATTGTTCTTATTATTGTTTCCTACGTACCCAAATGAAGGCGTCTTCGATTGGTTGCGCGGCTATACGTCCTCCATGGGTAGATAATGCCGATATGCACTGGTAAGTGGTAATATAATACTTGAGCCAGAAACGTCATCTACTTTGTTTGCTTTTGCTACTTTTGGATTTTTGTATTGATTGTTGTTGTGACTATTGGCCAAATTAATAATGAACCGATTGTCAACCATCTGCTTACATTTTACATTGTATGAACCGTTTCAACTGTTGAATACTTTAGCCACTGTAAATAGAGTCTTATGACATAAGAACATTGATCACTGTAACTTTGTACCATATTATTAGTTTACCTACAACATCAAATTCTAGAACTAGTTGAAACTCACTATAGATGATTATACAGAATTTTTTTACAGCTCACTGTAAAAACTGATATATATAAAGCGAAAAAAGTTTATCTATATCCTTCGGAAGTCTCATAACAATAACATGATCATCGATCTAACAGGGAACAAAAAAAGACAGAGAGAGGCAGAAGAAAAGGATAATGAATTGCACTTGGAATTTTCTCATTAGCAGATCAAATAATATAATTTTGTGTTCACATTTCATTAATTAAATAATAATATACTTTATGCTGAGATAATTAAATGTGAGACTCATTGATAAAGATGTTCTAACATTTCGACTCTGAAACTGATCTACTTAGTTGCTGTATTTGCTTTTTTTCTTTTTCTTTCTATGATGTTAAATTGTTGCATTACATGAAGATGTGGCCGGCCTCGTACTATAACCAACTTATTTTGGGGACATTTTTTGGTCAAAATAGTCAGTTGGATTGCATGGTTCCATCTTTTATTGGTATGTGTTACTTACTCCATTATCTGCTTTATTGGTATGTGAGAAAAGAAAAACCACGTAAAATATTTGTTTATGTATGGTTAAATTAATATCGAAGACACCATCATCGACTCAATGTGAGTAGCTGATTAGCTGTCATGAATCTGGCTTCTGTCTTTGGTGATCTGGGTTGATAAAATGGAATCAAGTCCTCTTCTATTATTAATGATTTTTGTTTTATTTGATTATTTTAGATGAAATATATAAAAGGAAGAAAACTTGCCTGTTGACAGCTAGAAGAGTAAAGATAAGAAAATAATGAAGTGGAAGAAAACTAAACATGTCAGACAAAATCTTAGCGGGAGAACCGATATTTAAATTAAACAATGACTAGTTACGTGCCTTGTAGTATGTGAAAAAAATTGTCAACGTTGCATTGATATTACTAATATTGGCCCACTATTACACGAAGCATTTACCAAAACATTAATCTCACTCTCACCATCTCTAACAACGACAACCGCCATGGATAAGGTGCTTTTCTCAAGACACGGTCATGGTTTATCCTTCGCTTACAATGAGGATGGCTTGAAATGCGATGCTTGCGACGGATCGTTTCGTGCCGGGAGGTATTGCGATGGATGCAAGTTTACCATTCACATGAGATGTGTTTTTCTGTTGTATATAAAAGACAAAGCACTGAAGCACCCATCTCATGTTGGACATCGTCTTAAGCTTCTCACAACGGGTGCTCCTGTTCACACCGACCCGAGATGCCATCTTTGCGGTAAAAACACTAAACGCCTTCTTTATCGTTGCTCCACTTGTAAACTCAATCTGGACATCGATTGCATGCTTGATGCCTTGTGTGGTCAAGCACATGTGAATATGCCGTGGCACCCTCATCCTCTACTCCGACTTACATTCAGAGATCTTGTACAATGCGAAGCTTGTCATCGGATACAAGAAGACGGCTACTTTTGTCCTCGTTGTAGGATGGCTGTTCACGAAGATTGCGTCTCAGTATTTGAATCACCAGAGATCACTCATCCTTCTCATGTCAGACACAACCTCAAGCTTCTCACAGACGGAGCTCCCGATTACACAGACAAGACATGTCATGTATGCGGAGACCACTCGGAGAACTTGCTTTACCATTGTGATATCTGCAAATTTAACTTGGATCTTTATTGCGCGATTAAAGAACCACGACCATTCGCTCTTCTGGATACGAAGGTCCATGAGCATACACTCACACTCATGCCAAAACTCATCTCCTTCGTTTGTGATGCATGCGGCCGGACGAAAGGCGAAGGTGCTCCTTACGTCTGTCTCCAGTGTGATTCCATGATCTTCCATCAAGATTGTACTCAGTTGCCACGTGTCATTAACGTCAATCGCCATCATCACCGCGTCACTTACACATATCCTCTTGGCCATAGAGGTTTGAAATGTGGGGTTTGTTTGGAAGCGATTGATTGGTCATACGGGGCTTATTCTTGTTCCCATTGTCCTAATCATGCTTATCATTCAAGATGTGCGACAAGGGAAGACGTGTGGGATGGGGAAGAGCTTGATGGAGTAGCCGAAGAGGTTGAAGATATCGAGCCATTCAAAGTGAATGATGACAACACTATAACCCACGTCGCTCATGACGAACATAACATGAGCCTCAACGAAGAAGGCATTGCTTTGGAGGAAAGCATCTTGTGTGAAGCATGTGTTGGTCCCATCGGTTCTAACACATTCTACTATTGTTCAACTTCAGACGATTGCAGTTTCATCCTCCACGAAACGTGTGCTAGTCTTCCTAAAATAAAACGACATTTTCTAAGCCCAAAACCTCTCTCTCTTGACTTCTATTCCCGAGGTGACGCCGACAAATGCCATGCTTGTCGGCAAGGTTGCTGCGATGACGGATTCATGTACAGTGGTGAAAATCATAATAGCTTTGACTTATTATGCAGTTCGATAACTGATCCTTTAACACACGGAAGTCATCCTCATCCCTTATTCTTCCTCGAGCTACCAAGTTATGGTGATCTCAAGAAATGCCGAGGTTGCGGCATGGATGCACAAGGAGCCGCCCTAGGTTGTAGCAAATGCGACTTCTATTTGGACTTCCGCTGCGCCACTCTACCATTGACAGTAAGGCTTCACAGGTACGATGATCATCCACTCACTCTTTGCTACGGTGAAGAGGCAAGTAGCGGCAAATATTGGTGTGATGTTTGCGAAAGAGAAACAAATCGAGAGACTTGGTTCTACACCTGTTATGATTGTGGAGTCACTCTGCATGATTTGTGTGTACTTGGGGATATCAGGTACGCCAAAGCAGGAGGAAAGTTCGATAACCAAGTTGATTTTCTGCCTAACGATACATCTTCGCGACCATTATGTGAGACCTGTGGTTGCCGTTGCCCAGGTCGGTTCATTCTCGACGATTGTGGCGACCAAATCCTCTGTTCTCTGTATTGCTTCATACTGGCCCGAGGATGGAAAGACTATTGGTGTAAACTGAGATGCCCTCCATGGGCATTAGCACTCCAATATATAGTCGACTGATCGAGTTTGAACTTCATCTATTAGATTGTCTTTGAAAGTTTTCAATTCGTTGTTGTTGTTGTGAGTTGTGACTATTCAAACCGAATATTGCCTCATGCAGATTTGGTTGTTTCTGCCATGTTAGCGTACAACTTCATCCTCCCAAGATAGCAAACATAAATTAATGTATACCAAAACGTATTGGTACTAATTTTTTTTTTTTTTTTTTGAATTCAAAGGGAGCTTTGTTTGTATTCGTAGCAGTCCAATTTTTATACCAAAGAGAATTAGGTGTTTTTTGTATATAGTGTAGTTTTTTTAACTTTCAGTACCACTTAAGTCTTGACATTTTACTTGATCTTCAAGCATCAGTCTCGCTCTCCCTTTACTACTTTAAACACTTGCCCATTCTTTGGTTTCAGAACCTAGTCCCAACCTCTTCCTCACATGAGATAACAAATAAAGTCAGATAAGAGTTTTTTTTTTTAGTACAAATATCGAAGTAAAGATACAATTACTATTCTCGAGGGTATCATCACTCAGTGTGAGCTGTTATGACTTTGACTTTTCTACAAAGTGATCTGAATTGGTACAATAAAGATCATTCAACTCTGGAAGAATAATAAATGTAGAAAACTGTCTGTTGGAGAGTAAAGAAATGGATAATAAATCGTATGTCGGCAGATCAAAATCTGTATTAATCACTACAGTATTTAAATTAAACAAAGACTAACTACTTGCCCTGTTGCTCACTAGTCTTGCTATAGATTTATGAACTTTAATATTGATGTATACAATATTTCAAAAAGCAGTGGTTCAAGTACATTGAGAAACAACATTAATGATCGATTATTACACGCAAAAAAGTTGAGAAAGAAAAAAAAATTCTAGTTATTTAATATTTCTCCAAGGCACCATCATCCACTCAATGTGAAGTAGCTGTCATAGTGTCATGCGTGTATAACTAGCATTAATATCTATATATAATAGCAAAATAATTTTTTTGAACTACTGATGTAACTATTTTTTTGTAGAAAAAAAAAATAGCAAATTTAATGGTTGATATTATTTTGATTTGAAAATTTAATAGCTAGGATTTGATTGTTGATATCATCTTCTAAATATTAAAAAATATAGATGTAATCTAATAAGATACATAATTAAAATATTACAACTTTATACTTAAAACATTGCAATTTTATGAACTATTGTGACTTTTCATTTTGGTTGCTAAAAAATATCAATCTAATGGTTAACAATATTTGTTTCCAGATTTAACGGTAAAGATTAAATTTATTATGTCTGCCTAACATATACATATTGAATAATTATTGCAACTGGTAATATGAATATTTGCAACCATTTCGATTACTAACCATTGTAATTGCTGGGCGTATAATTACATTTTTAGGTGACTAACCATTGCACCAGTTGATGATCAATTATTGCACCTTAATCAACTATTGTAATCTTTGGAAGTGACCTTTGGTTTTCTATAAAAAGAGTTGTGGACATTGGCAAAATCACAACAAAAACAGAAAACAAACTGAAGCAAAGAAAATTAGAAAGAAAGTAAGAGAGAGTTTCATTATTCCCAAAGATCATAAAAAATTTGAAAAATCACATATCACCATTTGAATTGTGTTTTTATCCTACAAGGGTTTTTTGTCTAACTCAAAGCTTGATAAGGGTCGAAATATTTTTTAAAGAAAGTGCCATTGTGCAAGGTTCAATCATCCTCTAAATTTACAATTTTATCATTCAGTTTCAAGTAACCAACAAGTTTATCATTGTAACTTTTCACTTTAAACTATATTTTCATTTTGAACAAAAAGTATTATTAAATGTAGAACTTTTTTAAACATTTTTATTATTATTTATAGATAACAGAAGATGTCAATATTTCAAAAACATAAATCAAATAGTTTTATAATGCGTCCGGAAATTGAATACGAAAATAATGAAAATATAAATATTGGGATGCCAGAATTTTATAATGAACGAGGTATTAATCTTAATTGCTATTTTAATGGGTTTAACTTTTAGTTATGTTATTATAAATTATTATTATTATTTTTATTTTATTTTAGGATGTCCATTAAAAATTAAAGATGCAAGTATTTACACTTCTTTTATTATATATATAGATTATTATTATAATAATATAGTATATAATCTTAATAACATAAAATTTAATATTAAATTTACTATTATTTCACAATGTGTAAATAGGCTAATGGATGTTAAAAGATCTGAAGCAATTGGTAGATAAAGTTATAATGCTCTATTCTCTAATGATTTGTTAAAATAAACTTTAGTCAGTAATTAATAATTAATTTAAAATATTTTCTTAAGTGAGTTTTATTTTCTGGAATAATAGGTTTAAAAAATAAAAATATTGCCACCTTCCAGAAGAAAAAAAAAATTAAAGGTATTTACATATTTGTTATATAATTAATTAATGAAAATTAAAATTTATTATAATAATATTATGAAATATTTGGCAGGCAAGAAAAAAAAAGTTATAAAAATTAGGACATAATAAATTAATGAGGTGTGAATATTGTAATGCTTTATTATGGCTTGTTGAGAGCATAGAAAAAGATCGAATTACAAAACGTCATTTATTTATTATTTATTGTAAACAAGGTCATATAAATTTACCTAATATACAAGAGCCTTCTTTTGTGCTAAAAACCTTTTATGTGATCCTACGTTTAAGAAAAACATTAGAGTTTTTAATTCAATGCTCTCTATGTGTTCTATGGATTCTGAAATAGATTATTCAATTTTTAATTCTGGTGGTCCATTTTGTTTTAAAGTACATGGTGAAAATTATCATAGTATTAGATCTTTTTTACCAATTGATGGTGAAAAGCCTAAATTTTTGCAGATGTATATATTTGATACCTCTAATTAATTACAAAATCGATTATCAATTATGAATCGAGAGGGTAAAAATTCATTAGATGAAAAAAAAATATCATCCTTAATTAATATGCTTGATAAAAATAAAACTTTAGCTAAAGGTTTTAGAAAAGCTAGAGATAGATATGAAAGTGGTCATATTTGTGAAATGAAAATTCATATGATAGCATATGATAAAAGTAAAAGATAATATAATCTGCCATCAACTAATGAGGTAGCAGGTTTAATAATCGGTGATTTTTCTAAAACTATTGGCGAATGAGATGTTCTTCTTCAACATAAATCAGGCAATTTCCAAAAAATCTTGGCAACTCATCCTCTTTATATAGCTTTGCAATATCCATTATTATTTCCTTATGGAGAAGTTGGGTTTTTCAAAGGAATATCATATTTTCAAAGGTCATCATCCGATCACAATAATGGCTATGTTAAAATGACAGAATATTATATCGTATACATAACATAAACATCGAAGCATCCACTATTCTAAAAAGTGGTAGATTATTTCATCAATATATTGTAGATGCTTTTACGTCTATCGAGGCAAGCTGTCTGACATTTATTAAACTTAATCAAAAGGCAATAAGAGCTGATGTATATAATAATGTAAATGACGTCATATCAAAAGGAGATCATGATCCACGTTGTCTTAGTAAAAGAATTATATTTCTATCATCAATTACTGAAAGTCCAAGATATATGGTAGAAAATATCAAGATGCAATGGCACTTTGTCGTTGTTTTGGAAATCTTGATTTTTTTATTATTATGACTGCTAATTCTAAATGGAATGAAATAAATGAATATTTAGAAATTACTGGTGATACATCGGTCAATGAGAGGCCTGATATTGAATCATGAATTTTTTTATTTAAAATTAGATGAGTTAATGGTTTTAATTAAAAAGAATTTTTTTTTTGACTAATAAATAGAGGTACATATATTTATGTTTGGGTTTTAAAATTATTTAGATAAAATCTAATTATTTATATACTGATTTTATTTTCTGCAGTAGTTTATATAATTGAGTTTCAAAAAAGGGGTCTTCCCTATGCACATATTCTTATATTGTTAAAATGTGGACGTGATATTGCTTCCTCAATTGATATTGATAAATAAGTTACTGTTGAAGTGTCTGATAGAGTAATTGTTTCGAAGGTTATGAATTAGTAGAACAACATATGATGTATGGAACATGTGGACTTAATAGACCAAATAATTCTTGTGTGGAGAATCGTGTTTGCACTAAAAAATATCCCCGGCCATTTTGTATTTCATCATGTATTGATGAAAAATGATACATTATATATAGGCGTAAAGGTATAATGTCTAGCTATATTATGAAATGTGATATTAAATTAGATAATCAATATGTTGTTCCCCATAATTTAGAGCTATTAAGGCTTTTTGAACACATATTAATGTTGAATTTTACAATAAAACAAGTGCAATTAAATATTTATTCAAGTATATTACAAAAGGCATTGATAAAGCTACAATTGTATTGGAGAACAATGTCATTAACAGTAATACTAATTCTGACAGAGTTAAGTACGATATAAATGAGATTGAAAATTATCTTGATTGTCGATATGTATCCACTTGTGAATCAATGTGGCTAATTTTTAAATTTGAGATACATCATCAACATCATCCAGTCCAGAGACTAAGTATACACCTTCCTGGTCAGCAACTTGTGCTTTTTAATAATTCAAGTGATTTAAATAGTGTTCCTACTAATTATGAAAGCAGACCAAGTATATGTTTATGGCTTATTTAGAGATGAACAAATCAGATCCTGATGCCAGAAAGTTATCATATGTTCAATTTCCGTCAAGGTATGTTTGAAATAAATCATATCACACATGGACAAAAAAAAAAAGATGGTCAATCAATTGGAAGATTATGTAATGTTCATCCTTCGTCTGGTGAACTATATTATCTTAGAATTCTAATTAATTACCTAAAAAGACCTACAAGTTTTGAAGATATGTTAACTGAATATAAATGATTTCAAGAATCATGTGTTGCTCATGGATTATTCGAAGGAGATGAAGAATGGCATGAGGTTAACAAATACGATGATACAGAAACAGCTTTACTGACAACTTTCAATAAAGATGTAAAAAAGATGTTAAACATATCAGCTACAGATTTGGTTACTTATTATGTAAGTATGATATTTGTATTATCAATACTCAAATAATTATTTAATAAGTACAATATTTTGAGTTAAAAATTGTAATAAAAATTGCAGGAAAAAATGTACAATGACACATCAGATGAAGCAATTATTTCATTTATATCAGAAAAACTTATTGCAGAAAAATTCAAATTTGATTTGAAAGTTACATCATTTAATTTCACATCGACTTCAGCTGGATTAACAGTAATTAGTGTCTCTAGTGATATTATAAATATAAAAAGGTATAATAAATATAACAAATGTAACTAATATAATATTAGATATAAGAATAAATTTTAATAATAATTTATTACAGCAATTTTTGACAACAAAAAGTATTTTACATCAAAAAGATATAAAAGAAGATAATATTGCATTGAAGTAACCAAAAGAAGAAAAAATAAAATTGAAGATTCAAACTGTAAAGATAATTTTGCTCTAACAATACAAAAAAAGATAAAAAGAATAATTAAAAACAAAAACATAGATACAAAAAAAAGGCGACAACCTTGCTGATGTGGAACAAAAGACAATAATACCAAAAAAAGCATAAAAAAAAGAAAGAATATAATTGATGATAATGTTATCAGTTCTTAATACAATATGTAAATATTAAATTATACATCTTGTTTATATAATTTTAGTTATATATTTTTAATAAAATTATGTCAGTGATGATTTATATTCATAATAAATAATTTAATCTTATTTTATATTTTATTATTCTAATTTATAATTGTCAAATTAATTAAATTGTAATTATAATATATAATAAAATAACAACTTTAAAATTATTTCTTATAATATTTAAAAAAAAATTCTAATTTTAATTATACAGTTATATATTTTAGTAAAGATTTTAAATGTCTGTGCGTTGACGCGCGGGTTTATTTCCTAGTATTAGTAATGTAGTATTGGCCCATTATCACACAAAACAAAAGTGCAATTACCAAAACATTAATCTCATACTCACCATCTCTAATAACCACATCCGCCATGGATGAGGTGCTTATATCAAGACACGAACGTCATAGTTTATCCTACGCTTACAATCATGATGGCTTGAATTGCGACGCTTGCGATGGATCGTATCGTGCTGGCAGCTATTGCGGTGTATGCAAGTTTACCATTCACATGAGGTGTGTTTTTCTGTTGTATATAAAAGACAAAGCACTGAAGCACCCATCTCATGTTGGACATCGTCTTAAGCTTCTCACAACGGGTGCTCCTGAGCACACCGACCCGAGATGCCATCTTTGCTGTAAAAACACTAAACGCATTCTTTTTCGCTGTTCCACTTGTAAACTCAATCTGGACATCGATTGCATGGTTGATGCCATGTGCGGTCAAGCCGTCAAGCACATGTGAATATGCCGTGGCACCCTCATCCTCTACTCAGACTTAGTTTCGGACATCTTATAGTATGCGAAGCTTGTCATCGGATACTAGGAGATGGATATTTTTGTCCTCGTTGTAGGATGGCGGTTCATGAAAGATGCGTCTCAGTATTTGAATCACCAGAGATCACTCACCCTTCTCATGTCAGACACCCTCTCAAGCTTCTCACCGACGGAGCTCCAAACTACACAGACCTCAAGTGTCATATATGCGGAAACCACTCGGATAACTTGCTTTACCATTGTGATATCTGCAAATTCAACTTGGATCTTTACTGCGCGGTTAGATTTCCCAAACCAGTCGCTCTCACGGAGACGAAGGTCCATGAGCATACTCTCACACTCATGCCAAAGTTGATCTCCTTCGTTTGTGATGCTTGCGGCATGACGAAAGGCGAAGGTGCTCCTTACGTCTGTCTTCAGTGTGATTCTATGATATTCCATCAAAAGTGTGCTCGTTTGCCACGTGTCATCAACGTCAATCGCCATCATCACCGCGTTACTTACACATATCCTCTTGGCCATAGGGACCGGAGATGTGGGGTTTGTTTGGAAGCGATTGATTGGTCATATGGGGCCTATTCGTGTTCCCATTGTCCTGATCATGCTTTTCATTCAACATGTGCAACAAGGGCTGACGTGTGGGATGGGGAAGAACTTGATGGAGTAGCCGAAGAGGTTGAAGATATCGAGCCGTTCAAGGTGAATGACGACAACACCATAACTCATTTCTCTCATGGATTTAACCTGAGCCCCCTCGACAAAGACGGTGCTGCTTTGGAGAAAAGCAACTTGTGTGGAGCATGTGTTCGTTCCATCGGTTCTAATGCATTCTACAAATGTTGGACTTCAGATTGCAGTTTCATCCTCCACGAAAAGTGTGCTAACCTTCCTAAGAAGAGACAGACATTTTTTAAGCCCAAAACCTCTCTTTCTTGCACCCTATTCACGAGATAAATGCCACGCTTGTCGGCAACCTTTCTGCGAGGACGGATTCATGTATCGTGATGGACACGGTGGTAACTTTGACTTAATATGCAGTTCGATAACTGCTCCTTTTACCCATGGAAGTCATCCTCATCCCTTGTTCTACCTCAAACTAGCTAGATATGGCGATCTCAAGAAATGCCAAGGTTGCGGCAGGAATGCGCAAGGAGCCGCCCTAGGTTGTATCAAATGCGACTTCTATTTGGACTTCCGTTGCGCCACTCTACCAACAAAGGTAGGGCTTCCCAGGTACGATGATCATCCACTCACTCTTTGCTACGATGAAGAGGCAAGCGGCAAATACTGGCGTGATATCTGCGAAACAGAAACGAATCCAGAGACTTGGTACTACACCTGTTGTGACTGCGGAGTCACTCTGCATGTTTTATGTGTGCTTGGGGATATCAGGTACGCCAAATACGGAGGGAAGTTCGATGACCAAGTTGAATTGCTTCCTAACGATACATCTTCACGACCATTTTGCAGCAACTGTCATCGTCGTTGCCCAGGTAACTTCATTCTCAACGAGAGTGAGGACGACCAACTCTTTTGTTCTTTGTATTGCTTTGCGCAGACTATTGATACTGAATATTATTGGAGTGAACTGAGATGCCCTCCATGGGCATTGAAGCCCAATACTTTTTGAGATTCATCTATTAGAGATTGTCGTTTGTGTGAGCTATCAACTGGCTGTTGTTGTGAGTTGGTGACTACTCACTATATAATAAACCGATTGCCTCCTCAAGATTTGATGTTTCTGCGATGTTAGGGTACAACCTCATTTTCTTGTTGTATATATCATCAAGTTCACAATCAATACCGGGGAAATGTAAATTACGTGAAACAAGTTGACAACTCGTAAGAAAACCATGTAAGAGCTACATGAAAGCACATGTCCGAGAACAAAGCTAGTGGAGCAAAACAAAGAGAGTACAAGTTTACTAGAGTGAGTGAGAGACGTTTTTCCTTTATCTAAAGAATGATGTTACCGGTGAAGCCGTGAAGAAGCATTGTTGTGAGCAGATGCTTCAAAATAAGCTTTCTCTGCATCATCCAATCTGTCCTGGAACATCGTCCACTCTCTTCTGCACCTTTCCCTCACCTGAGATAACATATCAAGTCAGATAGATAAGAGTATCATATCTTAAGAGTACAAATCCGATAGGATCCTGATCTATCAATCGATTACGAGAATAGTTTGGTTCATTCATTCGTGTATCGATGTTTACCCCTTCCCATGGTTGTTTCCCTCGCTCTGGTTGTCCCTGTGATATTCAGCGGAGAAGTTGTGTTATATAATTTCTAAAGCAAAAAAATTAGTTTAGTAACGCATAAAATGAAAGGACGAAGGATTTAAGAGCATACTTGGTTCCCCAGTGATGGAACGCCTTGATGAATAATCCACTGAGCATCTACAACTCCAATTGTCTCGTGCGCGTTCTATTATTTGCAAGATTAATGAGCATATCCATGACAAATATATCGAAATGATCAAAAAGGTTTGGCCGAAGGAAGTGGAGTTGCAGACCTGAACACATTTTCGAACCGCAAAGTCCAGACCCCATCCATGAACCAAATCGTTCTGCAGTTATAAGGTACACTTAGAATTCGCTGAAGAGAAAAGTTTCAGAGTTACTCAAACAAAAGAGGATTTGAAGTTCAGGTCTTTTGCATACCTGAATCATGTGCCATACACAGCGCCATGCCTTCCGGGAGAAAACAGGAGCCATAATCTCAACGAATCTGATTGTGGTTTACATAAGCATGAATGATGAAACTATTAACTCTCTAGTCTCTACGCAAATCATCTTGCATAGTTAATCATTTATGAAGTACTACAGAAAGTATAATTGATAGGTAAGTAAAGTAGCATACGCTGCACAAGGGGGCAAATTTGGATCACTGCACCAGCCATTCCTCTCATCAGCATGCCTGCAAGAAAACATGAGAGGTGATATGGAGAAAGTGCAAGCCGTTTAATATGATCAGAGAGATGGTAGAAAAAGGAACTTAGGAACTCTTTATTATATATACTATCCTCACTTGTGGACTTCAGTGTCGTCTCTTTTCTTTGTCATCTCCCATGTGAGCCCTTCATACGGCTCTAACCCAGGCTGTGAGATTTCCAAACCATGTTTCTTCACCACCGCCAGATATCTGTCAGAGAATTTTGAAGTTCATAATCTAAAATGGCCATTTTAAGGAAGCCAAAGCTTCAGAAACATACTTTTCCGAATCAAAGTGTTCCACGCCAAGATCCTCGTCCCAAATGAAGATGTATTCATAGGGGGCAACTATGTCAGGATGAAGAAATCGCTTGGCGTACCACCTTCAGGGAAAAATCATAGATTTTTTAGTGAATCTGTCAGTACATTGAAACTCCTACTCGAAAGAAGAGAGGAGTTCCTACTTAGGAGATCAGCTCGCTAACCATTTCGTTTGTTTCTGGATGCTCACATGAATGGCTCGCTTGGACCACTCAAACTCTTCCCATTCACTGGCCCGGCCATCATAGTGAAACAGCATTATAGTGAAGCTATCTGAGAACTGAGAAATGCAAAGTTAAGGAACGAGAAAAGCACTAGGAAAACAAAAAAAAAGTTCGAGAGGCAGGATACCTTCTTCAGTGCAGCGTCTATATTTTTCCTCTGATCATAACCAACAGTAAACGTTACTAGATACCGCTGCTTGATTGCTAAATCCTGCATGCCATACCAACCGAAATGTGACATGAATCTTGAAGCCATGCCGATATAATACAAGCCAGTAGAATCAAATTTATGAACCTCATTAGGGTCACCCCACAATCGACGAAGGTACAGATCTGATTCAGGTGTGACTATATCGGGTGGTAGCCTCTCAGCACCACGAGGGTTAGTAGGAACCCATATCTGCAATAGAATCAAAAGTTTTTAACATCGATTTCTGATCAAAACATAGAAAGTCTAGGTAGGCATCGAAGCCTAACCTTACTGTCGTTATAGTTATAGGGAGGATCAGGGATGTCTTTCTTGAGTTCGAGGCCCTTTGTGGAAGACCAAGAACCAAACAGTCTTTGCCTGGATAAGTCTGAGTATTTATCCTCAATGTACGCAAGATCGATGGATGGAAACAATGTGGACGGAAGATTCATCTAACCATTTTGAAGAAACAAGAAGATAAAAAAAAAACTAGCAAAGATACACACAAGACAAAAGTTTAAGCTGAATGTCTTTATTCGTACCTTGGTTAAGGTTAGCGTTGGAAAGGTAATACCCATAAGGAAACCAACTACGACACCGAAAAAGGATGTTAATAGAAGCCTCATCATTTGACTCGGTCTTCTCATAGTTCCACTGCATTGAAATGTACAGAAATGTACATGGTTTGAGACTTTCATACAGATAAGGATTGAAATAGAAACACTTTTACCAATTCACGTAGATACTTGATTAAATTAGTTCACTGCGCCTATATATTGACTAAAACATGTAAAACAAAAGCACTCTACCACAGTATGTACCTACAGGTTGTTATCTGAAACTGTACTGTCTATGCAGGCGTTAAGTTGCGATACTAGGGACTACACATGTTCATTCCTTCAGTTCTGACGAAACTGAATCTTTGATGCCTCTAAGAACAAAACAAACAAAAAGAGAACAGCAACGTAAGACGACAACATGATCAACTTAAGAACAATCCTTCAGGATCTCAGGGAAAGAAAAAAAAAACGAGCTTTGTAAAGCCAACACTCAATAACGTGAACAATCATAGAGCGGAGATTCGATATCCTTAACCGATTCACAATAGCATCTTTCTTAAGAAAAGCTTTTCTCAAGCAGAATCATAATGCAATTACACCGTTTCAATGTATAGAAACCAATTGTATCTCGTTTCCATTGCGCAGTCAAAATTATCAAATTCCGTAATCCAAATTTTCTATCTACGACAACAATCTACAGATTCCCCCGATAAACACTAATCCACAAATTCGAAGAACATGTGATCATATACCGGAATTAGAAAGGATAAGAGGAAAACAGTTTTGGGTCCTGTATGACTATTGTCTATTGGGGACACAGAGAAAACACCAAATTCGCAATCCGACAAAACACAGAACTCATAAAAGCGTCGCATCACCATTCGTAACGGAGCAAAACGGGTTCTGCTTAAAACGTTTCGAGATCTTCAGCTCCGAAACCTGAAATGGTCCACGCTTTGTCGAAATTACTGCAGGAAACGGCAAAATCGGCAGCTTCTAAACTCAAAATTTGGTAATTCTTTTGACGAAAATTGTCTCTTGCAAAGTCGGTTAAGTTAATCCAAAACACTCTCGTACAGTCGGAAGTTTTACTTCGTATCGATTATTTAAGGCCCATAAAAGCCTATTTTATCTAAATTGGGCCTTTCATTCAGACCCATTTAAGTTAAGGCATGAGATACACGTGGCAGAAGGAGTTAGCGGCAAAAACTTCTTTTAGGCTATCGACATGGCAGCTAAACAGATAGATTATGATAATCACAGATTAAGAAGAACAAGATTTATTTATAATATTTAAAAGAAAAAGAAATCAAGAGTACTTATTTATTTATATTATTTAAAGGAATAATTTCACTCAATATCAATAGTTGCATAACAAAAATCATTTAGAGATCAAATCAATAAAATACTTAATCATTTATTCAGCCTATTATAACTTCATGCATCTCTAACATTCTCTGCAGAAATCAGAATACACACATTAATTTATAGATAATTTTATAGATTTATGGCACACTCATTAACTAAGATATAAAATCTGGACACTAGAAGTTACAAATCTAGGTTATTTGCATATCTATAGATAGAACTACATATTTGTGTTTGGAGGAATCAAAAGATAATTAAAATATGATAAACTAAAGTTGTTTAGATTATTAGTTTTTTTAATCCAAATTTAGATTATTAGTTATATAACTAATTTATAGAACGACAACACCATATAATAATATATACATATTGATGTATATTTATATATAAATATAGAAAAGTAATATCTTATATAGCATTGTATATATTAAATTACAAAACTAATTTTTTTCTTGACATTACTATTAGAATATACGTAAGAAAATATTAAACATATACTCCCTCTTCATATTCCCTCTGTTTCAAAATAAGTGTCGTTTTAACACTTTTTGTTATAAAAAGTGTCATTCTCGGATGTCAATACAACTTTTAACAAAACATTCCTTTTTTAACCTCAACTTAAACTGATCACATATTAAAAAATAAATTATGAATAAATGTCAAGAGACACTTTTTGTCGAACACAATAATTATCACTGTTTGTCGGTGTAATATTCAGATCAAACGAACAAGTTTTTTTATTTGTTGTAGGTGAAAAGTTGAAATCAAAAGTCATAGATTAGAGATGGAGCATTTGGAAAGTTTAGATGATTTAATATATAAACTCCCAATTTTTTTAAATTTTGTTTGATTGCCTCCATTACAAAATTTGGCTCCAAATTATTTTAGTTGATCTAACGTTGTTTTAGAAACTTTTAGACAAATAGTTTGCCTTTAACATTTTAATTCATTGTAAAATTGCTTTGATCCAAGAAAGACATTAATTAAGTATTTGACTACATTAAGAACAAAGAATGATTGTTTGAGATTTATTCTTTTAATTTGTTTGAGTGTATATAAATAGAAAAGTGTAATTATCTAAACAGTTTAAGGGTATAATAGAACTTTAATCAATTTTCTTAATATGTGTAAAAAATGTCAAAAGGACACTTAAGAAAAGTGATTAAAGTTCTATTATACTCTTAAACTGTTTAGATAATTACACTTTTCTATTTATATACACTCAAACAAATTAAAAGAATAAATCTCAAACGATCATTCTTTGTTCTTTAATGTAGTCAAATACTTAATTAATGTCTTTCTTGGATCAAAGCAATTTTATAATGAATTAAAATGTTAAAGGCAAACTATTTGTCTAAAAGTTTCTAAAACAAGGTTAGATCAACTAATAGAACATAAATGTGTTACCAATAATTCATTGCAATTACCTTATCACTGGATTTATCATTCAAAATATTTAGGAAGATAAATTTTAAGCATCTCCACTACCATGTTTCAGGACTCCTTATTAAGCTTTTCTTTTTCATTAAGAAGTTTGTTTAAATCGAAAGCATGTACCACTTTAGCATCAACATCATGAATTTGAGTTTCCTCCTTAAGTGGATGTTCTCCTTCTTCGTATGGAAGTTTGTTTAGATCAAAATCATGAACAACTTTGACGTGAACATCATCTCTTTCGCACTTCACCTTGATTTTTTCCTCAACCTGCAAATTTTGTATACATTTTTTAGCCATGACTTATGGATGATTGAATATATAATTTAATCGATAAAAAAGTCAAATAATTTAATGCAGAGTTAGAACGTTAACTTAATTGGGATTGTGAAGGTTTAATTATTGTGTGTAAAAAATGTCTCTTGACATTTTTTCATAATTTAATTTTTAATATCTGATCAGTTTAAGTTGAGGTTAAAAAAGGAATGTTTTGTTAAAAGTTGTATTGAAATCTGAGAATGATACTTTTTTGTAACAAAAAAAGTGTTAAAATGACACTTATTTTGAAACGGAGAGAGTAATAAATACAATTACGACGATGAAGTATTGAGATGCAGGATCGCTAAATATGGCAAAAAGTTTTATTTAAACCAGACGTTGATATTTTCAATGACAACTACTCCTTCATATTTTTTATCGCTACGCTTTTCCTTTTAGATTTTTAGAAAATTTAAAACCTTCTATATATTTCTTTATAAGTGTATATATAAATATAGGAATTACGTATAATTTCTTATTTATGTTCATGAAAATATCATAATAACTACTTTCTAATAACTGTACATCAAAAAGTGTTCACCTTATGTTCATTTTTCTGATTTAGATTTTTGATGCTGTAATTAAAAAAAAAATATACATCAAGATTCAAGTGTAATCAAATTTAGTGTAAACTTATCTTCTAAGATAATGTCAAAAACAAAACTGATCTTATAGGTTTGAATTGTTTGACTCAAGTTATAATTTTTGTTCAAGAATGAAAGTTTGATACTGTAATAGTCTTTTTTTTGTCTGGGCCAAATAAAAAAAGTTATAGTTACTTTCCAAATCGAAATTTCAGATTTGATCTGACTTGTATCGGTGCATCCAGATGACACTCGTAACGCTCATTAACTATGATGTAAATATGGAAATACACTTGATAAACTTTCCCTTTCTACGAAACGATGCCGTACCACTCCTGAAAATGCCAATCAAAAGATCTAGCAAAACAAAAATAAAATTGGACTTGGATTTCAAATTAGTTAAGACGAGAAACTCAGATCTTTTCTTCCTTTGTTCCTGAGATTTTTTCCTCCTGTGTTTCAACATTGAGCTTTACAAAATCAAAAGCATTAAATATTATTTTTTTGTTGGAGTTTTTTCAGCAGAAATTGAAGCTTCCGTGATTGGAATTTTAATTTTTGCCTGATTTTCTGGGGTTTCTTTTTGGGGCTCGTGTCGTGGATTTTGCAAAAGCCTGAAGCACGATGTCGTCATCGCCGGACATTGCCGGAATCCTGGATAACACGAAGGAGCTTGATCGGTTAAGGAAAGAGCAAGAGGAAGTCCTTGTGGAGATCAATAAGATGCATAAGAAGCTTCAAGCTAGTAAGTGTTTTCTATTCCGAACCAATATATGGTAATCACTTCCCAAACTTGTAATGATCTGAGACTGGTTTCGATCTTCTTACCTGGACCTTGATTTCAATCAGTACTGGTTTTGTTCGATTAGTTTTGGTTTTTGATCGTTTTGAGGTTCGGATCCTGAAGTGATTAGCCAAGTTAATTATTGTAGTAACGTTATATTATTCCACAGTCGATGAACTACATTAATACATATTAGATGCTACTAAATTCGAAGTTTTTTGTACTCAAATCATTCATGGAAGCTTTGTTGTAATGTAAGAGATTGATTTAACTCTATATACATGCTTCAATGGAAAAAAATAAGACTTTAGCCAATTGAAAAGTTTTCTTTTGGACATTTGTTCTTGTGAGTCACTAACTTGTTTGAAGAATTTTGATTTTGTCGATTAAACTGAAGTTTTTTTTTTTATGCGAATGAGCTCGTCTTGAGTATAATCATACATAGTGAAGCTTATTTTCAGGTAGATAGCTCAGAGTTGATGTGACTATGCAACCGATTCTTGCTTTTGATTGTATATTGTGTGATAGATATGCACAATTAGTGGTCTCAGATGTACTTAGCCGTAAGGATTAAGGCAACCAATGGAGTCACAAACAATCTCTTTCTCTTTGTTTATGAGTTTTCGTGACCAGTAGCGTTTGAAATTCAGCTCTCTATGGAGGCTCTAATGCTCATCAACTTGGTAAATTATATGGCTGACTCGTGATTTGTGTTCAAATGCAGCGCCTGAGATAGTTGAGAAGCCTGGTGATACTTCATTGTCAAAGCTTAAAAATTTGTACATTCAAGCAAAAGAGCTTTCAGAAAGTGAAGTAACGTAAGCCAGATTCCTTCATCATTTCCTTTTCATTGTTACATTATGAGTACTTAAGTTTGGAATGAGCTAGAGAGTGATGATACAACTAAATACACCATTTTTTGTGTGCCAAATAAGTATCCTTTGAACATCTTTTTTTTTTGTGAACACTAAAATTTAAAACTTTGTGTTTAACGCAGTGTCTCAAACATTCTGCTTACTCAGTTGGATTCCCTTCTTCCATCTGGACCAACTGGTCAACAACGCAGAAAACTAGGTATACTTCGACTACCGTTTAGACCTTTGTGATAATCCAGTAATGTTTACTCGTATGGCTACATTGTTCTTGTGAGAAAACGAAGACTTGATACTCTTTTGAGTCTCAAACTTCTCCAGTGATTTGATATTATATAAGAGGGATTAAGATTTTTCCGATGCTTGTAATGATATCACATAAGTGGCAGAAGGCAACGATCAGAAGAGGAAGAGAATGAAAGGGGATTCAGATGTAACAAGAGTTTCTCCTTCAATGAGAAATCAAATTGAGGCATACGCCAGTCTAAGGGGTGAACAGGTACGACAACAGCTACTTCTTTTCCTCGAGTTGAATCACTAAAGAGCGAAAATCATCGTGACGTCTGTTGTATGTAGGTTGCTGCTAGAGTCACAGCCGATGATGCCGAGAAAGATGAATGGTTTGTGGTGAAAGTAATTCACTTCGATAGAGAAACAAAAGAGTAAGCTTTGGACCCTTCTAATAAGAATCCCACATTGGTTAGCCAAAGGAACAATACTGTCTATACATTTTCTCTGAAAGAGATATTTTGAAAACTTGTCATGAATCTGACTGTCAATAGTCAAGTATTCTTAACTCAATGGATATTCATGTTTTTGGTCTAAATAAAGCTCAAACTTTTGTCACAGAGTTGAAGTACTCGATGAAGAACCAGGAGATGATGAAGAAGGAGGTGGCCAGAGGTAATTAAGGCTCATTATGAATAACTCCGGATTTTTTTTGCAAATGGCATTTAAATAACTTGCTGATTAATCTCTTGTAATCTTTTAGGACCTATAAATTATCAATGTCGTGTATATTACCGTTTCCAAAACGGAATGATCCTTCAAACACACAAGAGTTTATACCAGGGAAACACGTCTTAGCTGTATATCCAGGAACCACGGCGCTTTACAAGGCGACTGTAATAAGTACCCCACGAAAGGTTAGTTTTTTTTTTTTAATCCCGCCCCATTTTGATCTTCGTTTCAACAATGTAAAATACAAACAAAAAGCTAACCTCTACATACTCAAACTTGCATGTTGCACATCGGGTTACAGAGGAAGTCTGACGAGTAAGTTCCTCCACACTTTTGTTCATATTCATCATTAACTAATTAAGCATTCCTGGTTATGATTTAAGAATCCAAAGTGCTCAATTATGATAAAGTTTCTGATTACACTAGGTACTTGCTAGAATTCGATGACGATGAGGAAGACGGAGCATTGCCTCAAAGAACAGTGCCTTTCCACAAAGTGGTGGCTTTACCAGAAGGCCATCGCCAGTGATTTCAGATGGGTGCATTGAAAGAAGAGACTCTTCATGTTCGTTTGTGTCTTTGAGGCCGAAGCAAAAGTTAGTGGCTGCTGTTGCCTTTGTTTGTGTTCATAGGAGATCTCTTGAAGAATAAAAGAGTTAATTTCGTATTTTGCTATTCAGTTTGGGGAGAAGCTACTCTAGTTTAAGTTAACATATGAATGTGTATATCATGTTGAGACAGAATGTTTTTTTTTTATTAGAATTATGTGTTAAAATAGTTATTAGAAGAGACTTTTTTTGCATCAGATGCTTCTTTTGTTTTGTTTTGTATGAAAACTTAATTTTCAAGTGGGTGATATAAATAAAAAGTTTGGGCATCTATTCTTATGAGCTTGATGTGGTTGTACATGATCAAACTCATAATATCGCAAAAACGATTTACATACAGTTTCTTGAAAAACGGTGCCGTTAGCAATTTAGGGCATGTTAAGTAAATTAAATAATATCGTAAGGTTAGTTTTGTCATAACACAGTAAAAGTTCAAGGTTAGGGTTTTGCTCCATATAGAAGACACGGTGTAACTTCTCTTGTCGTCGCCAACTGCTGCTTGCTGCATCTTCTACATCTGGTATTGAACATTCATCTTTCTCTTGAGTTTCAATCTTGTCTCTGTACAATTATGATTTGATTCATGACTATATCTGTTTAGATTCAGTTGATCGTTTACCTCTACTTGACAAACTATTGTATCCTTAGTCCCTGACAATTTGATACGAGTTTGAGATCTATTTGTGTTGTTGTCTGGTAACTGAGAAAATATTTTACTATGTCTTTTTTTCTTGTAGCTCTTGAAAAGCTTTAAAATTCTCCAAAGATGCAGAACGAAGAAGGTCAAAACACGGAGCTTTACGTTCCAAGGAAATGGTAAAGAGTATTAAAAATTTCTTCTTCTTTTTTGTAAGAAATCTTATTAATGTGATCAGTAAATCTGAGAGTTTTTTTTTTCATGTTCTTTTTTTTTTTGCAGCTCAGCAACTAACAGGTTGATCACATCAAAGGATCATGCTTCTGTGCAGCTCAACATTGGTCATTTAGATGCTGATGGAATCTACACCGGCCAGTCCAGTACCTTTGCTCTCTGCGGTTTTGTCCGTGCTCAGGTTTGTCAACTTCTCTACTGAACCAAATCTTGTCGAGTTTTTTACTCTTCATCAGCAATAGAATTGACCTTTAAATCATTCATTTGATGATATTTGTGATAATTTGAACTAACACTGTTTTGGAAACATTATAGGGTGATGCTGACAGTGGAATCGACAGGCTCTGGCAGAAGAAGAAGGTCGAAGCAAAACAACAGTAAGAGCAGCAACAGAGAAAAGCTTGTTTTCTAGATTTTTAAATTTTGTTGTTTATCTGGATGTGATCATGTCTCTGGTTTTTCTTCTTCTACAATGATAATGTTGGTGGTTTGAATGACGTTGCAATGCATTGAGATAGTTGGTTTTTATTTTTCCGGGAATTATTAGCAGGCTCTATGTTTATGTCTTTTATAGAAATTGAAGTCGTATCGAGCCAAAATAAATGAATGAACTAAAAGATTTGAGATTAGTCGATACCGAAAAAGGAAAGAACGCTTGGATATAATGTAATGTGTGTACTGGATTGAGAAACAGAGAACTTCTAGCGAGTATTAATAAACGAGAAGAATGAAGATGGGAGAAACTCTGGATGAAGCAGAAGGTTTTGTTGTATGATGATTGATGAATGTGTATGGCTTTGGTTTGGTTACTCTTGAGTGATTAAGACAGAAGGGTGGTGCATCCTTTTTAGCTTACTTTGAGATTTGCAGACCAGTTTGGTACTTTTGAGTTAACGTAATTGTTTGTCCCAAAGTAACGGTCTGCGAATTCTCCCATGCCTGGAATCACACGCGAGTCCTCATTGAGGGAGGCATCGATTTCCGAAGTCACAATCTTTACCATCGGATATTTCTTGCAGAGCGCATGAACACCTTGAGGTGCCTGCAGTTATTTTTTTCTTCCTGTGTTAGTAAAAACGTTGGTAATTACTTAATTAACGGACAAAAAGTTTGTTTGGTTAGGTCCTTTACTGCTATAAGGTTGAGAAAGATGATATGTGATTCTGGAACTCCCTTGCTGATAAGCAAAGATATAGCTTTCACTGCAGAGTTCCCTGTTAACATTTTTGAAAGGTTAGATGACATTTCTGCAGCAACTGACCCCAAAACTGTAACATTTGTAACGAACCTGAAGCTAGAACAGGGTCAAGAAGGAAGACATGTCGGCTTGAGATATCTTTTGGTAGCTTCTCATATATTAACTGCATGAAACAAGATTCGAATGAGAGAAATCGCTGAGCTGAGATTTCGTGAGAAAAAACGTATTCACAGACAATGGAATCAGACCTGACGACCATCGTTATTCTCTCTGTGAATTAAGATTTTACCAATCTTGATTCCGTTGCAGCAAGCTCTTAGAGCATTCTCCATGCTTTCTCCACTGTAGGTTCCGAAAACGTAAAGCTACAAAGCAGAAACACTAACCCGGAAAAAGAAACGAGACAGCATAGTAATGTAATCGATACCTTCTGATCACTGAGACGCCACACAATCTCTTGCAGAAATCGACTCCGGTGTACACTGACCCTGTTAAGTTTCAAGTGATGGAGGAAACTTGAGTTTGGACGAGAGAGAACCGGTCTCACAAAGTACAACATTACCTGTTGGAGTGGTTATCTGTTTCTCTGTGAAAGGAAGATGACCAAGTCCATGTTCCACAACCTGAGACAAACATATACAACTCCAAGTTTCAGTTTTGATCATTTTATTGAAAAACCTATTATCCAAAAGAAAACTGATGTTTTGTTTCGGTGTGTTATACCAGTCGAATCAATCGGTCAGCGTAGAAGACGAAATCGTGCTTTTTAGTGTTGATGTCGCGGATAAGAGTATGCATTCCTTTGATCTGGAATGTAGAAGAGATGATGAAGATGTTTGAGTATATCTTACAGAGATTGTGTTGGCACAGCTTCGTACGGATATGCTGCACAATGAGGTCAATTGCAACGTCGTTGTCTCCTCCTCGAGGAATGATAATATCAGCATACTTCATCGATGGCTGGATGAACTCATCGAAGCTCGGCTTCACAAACTTGGTATACTGTTCAAGAACGTTCTGGATGTTTCTTCCTCTCTCGACGGTATCACGCTGTATTCTTCTCGAGAGCCGTACATCAGCATCTGCATTTTGTGAGAGAACACTGAATCTCATCATTGTGGCCTTAAATGATTCATCTAAAAAGCTAAGGATATAAAACCTGTATCAACGAAGATCTTCATGTTCATGAGATTACGAACTTGAGGATCATTAAGAACCAGTATTCCCTCTAAGATGATTACATCAGCGGGATGAACCTGGAATTAAGATCGGGATTAAGAGATTAATGTTGTTAATTTGATGATGATTTAGTTTCAAAGCAGAATACTGATTGTAGTACCGGACTTGCAGATTCGATGCTCTGGTGGATTTTGAAATCGTAACTCGGGATGCTCACTGGTTGCCCAGATCGTAATTTCTCCATACACGAGAGCAAAACCTCCGTGTTGAATGCGTCTGTGTAGTTCGAATCAAGCCAAAACGAGTTTTTCATAACAAAGATCGAAATCGTCGATTTGTGGTTACAGAGAGAGGAATCCGATTTGTTACCAGGATGATCGAAATTGTATTCGTGAACCTTCTTCAGTTTTTCCTCACAGAGCGAATGATAAAACGAATCCTGCAAAACATTTGTTCTTCTTCAATATATCCAAGTTCACCCACAAGTGGATTCGTGACTGACTATTTGAGAGAACAGATGATAATTACGAGTGAGTATAATTACTTGGTTCACAAGGACGACCCGTTGATCGTGTAACTGAGACATTATCATATTGCAGACCGTCGTCTTCCCGGAGGCGGTTCCGCCGGCAACACCTGAATGAGCAGATCGGCGAGATTACTTACACACCGAACAGATCAGCGAAATCAATTTTGAAAATCGAAGAAGAGAATTAAATCGCTACGTAGAGAGAGAGAGAGCGAAATATGAGTGTACCGATCACGAAAGGCTGTTTAAGAGGAGCCGGAGCTGAAGGGGAGACGTTGTCAGTGATCGAGAAGTGATTTCTGAAGCCATTAGACAATTTCTCCATCTTCCTTCTTTGATCGTCTTGTGAAAAAGCTTACTCAGAAAATCAATGAAGAAAGAACACAAATCCGAAAAGTAAAGTCGCTCTTTAATAGCCTCTTCAATTGATAAATTGAAGAAAACGTATATCTCTATATACCTTATCAGGTGCTTAGGTTTGCACCTGATGTGTGTCTAGAGAAATACGCGGGAACAAAAACACGTCATCCTGATCCAAAGCGACGCCGTATTTGAAGCCATGTTCTTGTGTACAAACCAGTGCGAGAGAAACAATCTTGTAATGACAATTTGATAAACCATCACGTACGATTCGAATCAATTTTGCACAAACCAAAGTTTGAATTAATAATTTAAGGTTCTTTTCATCAGATTCGAAAGAAAGAAATTTCTGACTCTTCTGGGAGCTTCCATTAAAATCCTAAGATGGACAGAGAGCAACAATATTTCGAATGTTCCTTAAACATTGGTAAAAAGACAGAGACTGGTTACACCGCTTGATTGATATGATTGGCAAAAGCAGAGACTTGAGATTTCATTCATTCCTCCATAGCTTCACCAACTTCTGTAATCTCAACACGCTCCATCAATGGGGTGATTTTGGTGAGAAGAACCTCTGTGTCCAAATAAACCAAGAAAATGAATTGAGAAAAGAAAGCCAACCATAGAAAACTGAGTTCTGAAACTGGAATCAATCGGATAACTAGTGGACTAGTTCAGAGACGCAAGTTTCTTGGTTTCCTTGAGCCTTAGCATGTTCTGTTAAGTAAAGCGAGAGAGAGAGAGGGAGTCGCTTACCGGTTTTCTTAGTGAATGAATAGCCTTTGCTACTGACATAGGTTCTTGGGTTTGGTTCCATGTAATTCCTGAGGTATTCCTTGTTCCCCTGTTTGCCAATAACATATCAGTAACAAGTTCTTAAGCAACAAATAAAAGACAAGAGTTAATGTCTATGAGATAGTAAATTATGAGTCGCAAAATTGGAGTTTTGTAGACTAGTATCATAGCACAGCGAAGACAAACCTTTGTGATCACGCAGATGTCCACGTTGCTACCACTACCCAGGTCATTGAATATACCCGAGCATATGGCTTCAGCGACCAGCTTAATTCCTTCATCTCTCTAGAGGATTTCGTAACAAGAAATCAATCAGACAAGGAAAAAAAATGCATCTGGAAACTGAAAGATGAATGTTTTCGTATACTTACAGTTAGGCCTTCTTTATACTTAGCTTCAAACACGGACATAGCAGCAAGCGAGCCAGAACCCATCGTGGCAAATGGTAGAGTGTCAGTTGAACCATGAGGGTATATCTGTGTATAAGACAAATAGTCAAATGTGACATGAATAACCCACAAACAGAACAAAAAGAACATCTTTTATCAGAAGATAGAATCTGTCAGGAAATTTAAAACTTACGGTATGCAGATGAGGTCCGGTGATATCAACTCCCCCGAGCACAAGAGCAGCTGAGACATGACCTTGATAGCTGAATTAAAACTCGTGGAAGTTAGGTAATCTATGTTTCTTTATAACGAGTTTCTGTACGAGAAAGAACACAAAATCTACCTGAAGAGATGCTTTTTGAGAAGGGTCAAAGCAGTGATAACCCGAGAGTCTCGGCCAGTCTGGTAACGATGCAACCGCAGCTGTGAGCTGACCATATCTGGAGAGTGAGAAAGAAACCAATATAACTAAATCATCAAGTATTTCAGAGCAACGCATAATGTCAGTTAGATACGGAGAAAACATAATATCTGGCACAGCGAGGTTAGAGAGGAAACATACCAGTTACTGCTTCAGTGTCAGCAGCTGTTCCAGCACCACAGCAATAAATGTTTGGTGCCATGTAGTGTATCTTCTCACAGTTCTTATCAGCAACAATGGGCCCCTCAGTTGCTCGTGTGTCTGCTCCTAGTATCACACCATCCTATGCAAACCGCAATACCAAATTAACATTATACCAAAAGGCAATCAAAAAACGGCATTGAGAGCACAAGAACACAGCCGTCTTCAACTGTTTGACTGATGAACTCTAAACTATACGGAAAGGCAAAAATTTAATACAACGCACCACCTCACACTGGAACTAGGAAGAAAACTACTTGTGGATGAAACTTATAAAAGGATTCATTCTGAGTAAAGGAAAATGCTTTGCGAATGTAAACCCAAAAGAGTTTTACAGGATAGAACTAAACACTGAGAGCTTACTCTTAGACCTCTCAAATTCTCTAGACGTCTAGTTTTAGCTTCCACAGTTAAAAAAAAAAAAAAAAAAAACAAATGCATAGGCTAAAAAAACGATTTTGAATATTCAACTGAGTATTAGTAAAGCAATACAGACCTTGAAAATCAAACCAACGATGGTTGTTCCGGTCTTCAAAAAAGAGGGAGCTTTAAGACCCTTCTGTATAAGCATATCATTTCTCTTGCACAAATCGAAGCTGAACCCACCCTTTAGCGGAACATCTACGGCTGACTGCGACATTTTTTTTCAAATTGACCAGTCTACGATAATAGAGAAAGGTAATTTAGTATCAAACGATTACCCAGCCGAACTGTATTTTTTCGAAAGTGTCAGAAGCAATTCAGGATTTGAGCTGGATATTGGTTCATTCAGTATTAGCGAGACAGTAGAGGAAAATTAAGAATCCACAGAGTAAAATCCTAAATCGATGTTCGAATAAAAAAAAACAGTATTAGTAAATCTAAACCCTCGGATCGAGAACATAGAAGGCCGGAGAATCTAGTGGGAGTTTACCGGAATCGATAAGATATAGATTTCAAGACGAGAAAGTGTGAGAATGATTGAAGAAAAAGAGAAAGCTCAGCTTGAGAAGAGTAATTTACCTTGACGATTTTTGCTCGGAATCAATCGGAAGAGAAAAATAGAAGACGAGAGACTAAAGAGCTGAAGCACGAACAAAAAGACGAAGAGTTTTCTTCTTCCCCAATTAACCTTTAGAGATACAGAGGGCAACTTAACACATAGGGACATTTTGGTCTTTCTATATTTAACTAGAGATTCACTTTGGGCTATATAAATGGGCCCTTTCTAAATTTCAAAGTTGTACGATGGTTTCAGGTTGATCAACTTCTCTAGTCTTCAAAACTGGTTCTAAATTTTCAAAATACATTGGTTTGGAGTTAAATCATCTTTGGCAAATACGATGTTACTAATCAGTGTTATACTGTTATATAATCTCCTATACAGTGTTCTTCTTATCTTCCACATTACTCACAAAGGAGACGAAAAAGAGTCATGCAATATCATTACCGGATTTAAACCCGTCCATGTAAGACCAACTACGACATAACAAGACTGGGCTGATGTGAAAAAAGGCAAAGACAAATTAAACCAGACTATAAATTAAACCGGCCATGGTCCAGACCGGATTGAACGGTCAAACCAATCACACGATCCCGACATCTCTAACCAGAATATACAGCCTAAGGTAGCTAGCGAGAGAGCTTCTTGGCATTCTTGACTGCTCCTACATAGAAATGCAATCTCCATAGCATTATGTTGTCCTGCTGAAACACAAAAGTTTGTTCGAAATTGCTGTTAATATTCCGATTTAACTTACACGACCAGGATCTACTGATTTTAGTAATTGTCTTCTTACCGACTGATCCAGGTTGACCATAACCTCATCAGAGAGATCTTTGCCAGATGTTATCCAATGGTCTCCTACTATTTCAGCGATGCGTTCGAGATTTCTTACAGGTAGCTTCTTGATCGATTTCTGAAGATCTCGCTTTTCACCATGAGTCATAGGTCTGTTTCACAAAGAGACGATAAGTAAACCCACTAAAGAAGAATGTTTCAGTTATCTCATAAATTAGCACAAAGCATAGAGCTATTAGATAACACCTGCAAGTGGTCACTACATCGTCAAGGAGGTTCTCGAGTTCCTGCTGCATATTCTCCATCTTTCAAAGGCAAACAACAAATTTAAGTAGCTATATTATTAGATCTTTAGTTTTTGAGTGCGCTAGGAATGCTAATGTGAAAAAGATGTTCTGTACATTCAAAAGAGAAAGTTCATTACCTCTGAAAGAAGAGCATTTGAATACTGGGACGTTAAACTCCTGACATGATCAGGGTCAGACTTCAGGTATTGTATATCATCTTCCTAAAAGGAACAAATGTGAAAGAAAAAAAAAATGCAATGATGGATCTAATACGCCATAAAAAGGATTATAAAAAAGCCATGAAAGCACAAGACATACTGTTGGCCCTCCGGCTTCTTCAGGAGCAATAGACTGTAAAAGGCTTGGTGAAGAAGACGGAGATTCGTTAGTCAGCTCTGAAATCAGGTACATGCGGAATACACGTTGCTGTATCTGCAGATTCGCGAACTGCATCTATATTATATACTCTTTCATCATACTAATAATAACGATGTTTCGAAGAGTATAACTTTGATGTGAGTACCTCTTTGATTTCCAAAGTTAGATTCCCCACGCACTGCCTCAACAAGACATTCAGATTCTCTTTCTTGAGGTTTGACATCCCAGCTCCTATTGCGGTGTTGGAATGCCTCAAAGCGGCTTCTTGGTCGCGAAGCGAGAGCTTCTCTTCTTGAGACAAGAGCTCAGCTACTTGAGATCTGTAGTTACCAAAAGTGTCTGTAGGTCTGAGTCTTTGTGTTTCAGGTGAAGGAGGCGTTTCTGCTTCTCTTTTAGGCATAGCTTTGATAGACACTGCACTGTACGCACAGACCTCAAATCAATGGAAAGCAGACAATGACAGAAAACATGAAGAGAAAGAAAAAAAAAACGAATCTTTGACAAAACATCATACATGGAGACCACCACACTAATCAAAGCATCAAGAAACAAGAACTAAAAGCCAATATACTGATGAGTCTTGTTAAGCTTATTTTAGTTAAGAAGTTATGATCTCCACGGACCAATTTATTAAAGTTCCTGAATTTGGGCATTAATACAGATTTCGGGGAATCTAGCCCCTATTATAGTTAAAATCAGAGTAATACAGATTCCTGAATTTGGGCATTAATACGATATACTCAATATCGTATTCACGAAACCCTGAAGTCAATGTTACAGAATCTTCAATCCACAATTTCACAAGAAAGCTGAAAATTGCGGGATTCGTGAAAACAGCCAATCATTCAAGTATTTTAATTTGATATGTCTCCATATGATTGAAACGAAAGGTTGAAGAACACTCACCGAGAAAATCGTATAGCCGGAGATTAGTGTCGCTCAGTCGCTGAAACCGGATTACTTCGAGCAGAAAAAGGACCAATCTCCCGAATGCAGAAATATTAGATTAAAATGGAACACGTGCGTGCGTCGTGGGCCATTACAAAGTTAGACTGGGCCTTCCAAGTTATACGGACCGTTTTATGGGCCCAATATATTTAAAAACCATATTACCATCTAGTTGCACCAATTGAGCTACGACCGACTTTCACTTATCTCAATGATTTCAACATTTAGATGTGTTGTACTTGTAAAAATGCTCTTTAAATTCACATAGTTTGGATTTAATTTGAACGTCATATTACATGATAAAGATTAGCTTAATTCTAATGAAGCGTAACTAATTAGTTACCACAAAACCAAGGTGAGTACAATTCATAACTTTAAACTATATTAGAATATTACAATAGTCACGTGTTCTCCATTGTCTCTTGAGACTTGAAATTACCATCACCACATGTTCTCTCTTTTACTAACAAAAGATGAAACCAATAAAATTTTAAGACGAGTCCCGATGGACCCGGTCAACCAAAACTTCGGTCAAATCTGTAGAATCCCCTATAAATTAAATTTTACTTCCTCCTTAATTTCACCAAAAATTACTCTTTCCTTTCCCCTTTTATTTTTTTTTCACCGTCAAGAAACACAAAAACAAGAAGTAATTATATAATTAATTATCACAAAAAAAATTCACATTCACACAAGAAATGACAATGACCCTTAAGCTCTTATCTCTCGCCGTCGCCGCCTTGGCCATAACCGCGGTTTTCGCCGCCGATGCTCCAACACCAGCCGGAGCGCCGAAATCTAGCGACGACAAAAGCTCAACCAGTCATTCTCCCGCCGCCTCAGCATCCCCAAAATCATCCGCCTCCGCCCCAACCTCGCCGCCTGTGGCTTCTGCTCCGACCACTGCCAAGAAAAACTCCACCGCCACTCCAAGCCATTCCCCATCTTCAGGTGGAGGCGCCACCGCAAAGCCTCCGAAATCGTCGTCCTCCAAAACTCCAGCTTCAAGCCCCGACCCAAGCTCCGGCGATTACCCCGAAGGTCCCTCCGGCTCCTCCGACTCACCCTCCGCCTCGTCTCCGCCAGCTCCGACTCCAGACATGTCCCCGTCGTCGTCTACCGAAGATGGAAGCGCTAGCGACGGCCCTGAAGCTGAATCTCCGGCGGGAAGAGCCTCATCGCTCGAGATCTCTGTCTCCGGATCAGTTCTCGCGGCAGTTGCATGGTTCTTCTTCATATGATTTGAAGATTGCTATATATGTATGTATTTGATTTCATATTACATTTAAGACTATATTATTATACGTTTGATATCTAATTTTTGGGTTCGTTTTAAGAGGTTCGCACTCCGGTTCGACTTTTAACACGTTAAATTCGTGCATAGTATGGAGGTTAGGATTTGATGTTGTAATAAATGTTTAGCTTGTGTTATATGATTCATTGATCATGTAATCTTAGTCGTTATATCAGTTAACCATTAAAATTCTTATGGTTGAAAAGGTCTATTTTGTAATTTACATCCATTTTCTAATACAACTAATTAATCATTTGGCTACATCTTCTAAGTTCTAACGGACAACAATGCGAAAGAACAGTTGTAGATAAAAATATCGAGACAAATCAAATTCTTTAACAAAAAAGAACCATTTAACCCCCCAAAAGGTAAAATAGTAGTATAAACTAAAAATAATTAGCTTGTGAATGTGATGAATAAATTTCAATTCAAAACGTTTAGGTTAATCACAAGAACGTTCGTGCTGTTTTTTGCTTATCAAAGAAATGTACTATGTTGTACTCATGCATGCATATGAAAACAAACAACTAGTTTGAAATACCCTAACAATATTCTAAAACGAGTTTAGATAAAAAAAACAATTTATTCTAAAAATAGTTAAACCATATCGTCTTATATATAGAGAAAAATGAATAGCTCATGTACTCAATATGGGGAAAAAAACAAAAATAAAAAACCATAACCGTAAATAGCAACACAACAAATAAACAACACTTAACCAAAAACGTCCATCTCCCTACAACAAGTTTAAATTCCCAATCGCCATTTCCCCTTCACTTCAATTCTCCTTGAGGTTTAATCATCGAGAATCATCTCCGTGAACCTCACCGAGAATCATCGTACGTATATACAATTAGAAAAAAATTTACCCAAAGAAAAAGGGTTACATTCAATAAAAGAGATTTTGGGGATCAATATCAACACACACACATATATATATATACCATGGCGAGCCATTTTTTCCTCGTCTTTGGTCTCGTGATTTTAACCATCGTTAATGGAACATTAGCAGCTGAATCTGAAAAACCTCAACCTGTTGACAACAAATCAGCCGCACCGGACAACTCAACAAAGAGCTTGATAAATAGTCTTGGTCCGTCTCAAGATTATCCGGATTACGAAATCCCTAAAGAACTTGCACCCGACGGTATCGAGGTGGTGGATGATTACGTGCCCATTAGCCCCAGTGGACAAGATATTTCTAACCCTCTTGCACAGCCCGAAGCAGATATGCATGTCAAATCCTCGAAATCTGGCTCCGCCTCGAGATCTTATTCAACCCTTTTGGCTGCTGCTGTCTCTGCGGCGGGAGGAGCCAGCTTATTTTTCTTTTGAAACGGAGGAGATCATATGATGTCGTTGGATCAACTTCATAGAGCGTATACAACGTGAGATATTTGTGTAACGTCAAATATGATTGTGGGTTGTGTTTTCTAATGTTATAAACTTGCGTCCAATCATGTTTTATACGTATATACGACCCTTTTGGCATTCAAACGGTTAACCATTGTTTATAAATTATAGTAATATAAGTCATTGATAATAAAAATAAAGAAAGAAAGAAAAATTACTAAGTGTAACGTTGCAATTTTTCATTAGAAATAATTTGTTTTATAGACAGAACTTACCCTGAAATTTAAAAAATCACAAGTTCATATTTTCCTATAAAATTAATGGACCTAAAAAGCGTGCTCTTTCAAGTTTGATTTCACGTGTGGCCGACAACTTTATGGCCTTAGTGGCTTTTTCTTTACGTCAACTCAAAAGATCAAAAGACATTTCCTTCTTCTTGATTGGCGGAACAAAATCTGTCTAGACAAAACTTTACCATTATCTAATAATGGATTGATCATGTTTACATTAATGGTAAATTTTTCCTCATATCAGTAGAAACAATCTCACCGCACCATCCATCCTTTCTTGTTACAAAATAACATTATAATGATTTATTTGATAGTTTAACCGACAGACCACATAGCTATCCAAAAGGGAAAGATCAGAATCTGAATTCGAACACTAAATTAGCATGCTTGCTCTCCAATCCAAAGATATCAACTGACCCGAAAAAAAATTCTTGATTTAAGCAATAAGAAAAAACAAAACGGTGTTTTTTTAGCTTGGAAATTAGATTTGATATAAAATTTGAAAATCATCTCTCGCAAATGCCTAGAGACATAGGAGAGGCATTACACTGAAAATGAGACTCTTACCATTCGTTAAACATATGAACCATTGCGTAAACAATGATCCTTTAATATTTTTCTCTCTCTCTCTTAACAATTTCATTATATTATATCATCATTATACTGATTTACATCAACAACGTCGACCTCGCCGACAATTTAGAGTGCCAGCGGTCGTGGTGATGGAACCCACAAGAGACGATGGCCTCGCACTCAGGCTCGAAGCTCTCGCATAAGTGGACGAAGCTCCAGCACCAGACTGTCGGAAATAAGCTCCGTTCAACAACATATCCCCTTCCGACCTCCAATTCCAGTCTCTCCATTGGCTTTCGGGTGCATCTTCATGTTTTGTAACCTATTGTTTAAAACATATAAATAAACACACGTAAATATATACATAAATATCACATTTCATATTTTAAGTCGTATATAGTTGCACTCTAATACAGAATTACAAACCATTATTAAGCTATATGCTCGGGTCAAATAATTCATTTTAATTTCTTAAACTATATAATATTAAAAAAAAACTATATAATATTGTAAAGTTATGAAAAATTCACAGCAACGTACCTCTTTATTAAATCGGGTGTTAGGAGCGAGAAATCTATTGCCTTGGCTGTATATCGTCGGAGATGCACTCCCACCGATTGCATACATTTCCCAGTGAGTATAATCATTGTTCACCACATGGAAATATCCATGCCTGCACCTGTTTATCATAACCAAAACCATCAACATTAGTAACATAAACTAAATAAAAATCAAGTAATTGTATGTACATACATATAGTTAAATGCACACTCAAATATGCCTTACATGAAACTAATTTCTCTAACCATTTGAAACTAGAATTATCAGTATATAACGAATGGTCGACATCCCTTTTCTTTTTTGGGGGGTATCATTTATTTCGATTAATATCTCATCTAATAAAAAGAAATCTTTTATATAGCGGTGTGCTCGATCGGTGGTGGTTTAAAAAGTCTCATTCTTCTTGTGTTGACTGTTTTTGCATTTTCTAAAGTCAAGCTTTCACATGCAAACTCTTTATGCGCGTGCTTCGCACTTCGCACGCAAGCCTTCTATAGATATCTATCTACATGTGACTATGTGTGTGTCAGTGTGTGCGCAATAGGGATAAAAATGTAAATATGTTTACCGTGGCATCCTTTGAACAAGCCCTTCACCGAAATGGTTAAACGCAATGGTGACTTGCATGTTCTTGTCCTCTGTATAACTATCGCTATGCCCTAAAAGCATGACCTTGTCATGATGCGTCATGTGGTTGTTCGATATGGTTATAGCCGTCGAACCATGTATGGCGTCAATGAGACCATCGTCGCAGTTAGACAACGAGCAATGGTCAATCCACACGTGTTTCCCTCCAAATATCGCCACCGCATCTCCATCGGATGGGATCCACCAACCAGTGTGACGTGGTCCATCTCTAATCATGCCTCCTATAAACCCAAAAGTATATTAGCATGTTAATTATATAGACTTATTTACTAAAAGAACAGTCTGAATATTGTCTCACCTGGTCCTGGTTTGCAGTCATGGATGTTAATGCCATGTATGATGATATTTGTTGCATAATGGATCTTAATGCAAGGTCCATCGGTTATGTGAACACTTGAGCCTCTACCATCAATGGTCTTGAAAGATGTGATGATGAGTTCTTTCTTGAGCCTAATGACCATATCTCTCTTGAAAATGATCCATAACGGTTCTTCTTGTGTGACCGCATGTCTTAGAGTTCCGGGTCTAGGGTTGACCGGATCATCATTGGTCGGATCTGTAACCACGTATATTCGGCCATTACGGCCTCCAATAGCGTTTTTGCCAAACCCGATAGCACAATCGGCTAACCGTTGGCGGTTTGTCTCCCAATTTGGATCGCACCGCCAACAATCATCAATCGGGTTACCGGTTCTGCAAGATAGGTAGGCCAGGCTCCTCCTCGACGCATTGAATACACTTCTACAAAACATATACAAGTGTATAGAAAAAGTATTAATTTTAGAATCGGTCCAATTAAATGTGAACATACTATGGTCGGTGGGGAAAACACTAGGCACTAGCTAGCTAGGAAAAACAAGAACTAGCTTACCTATCTATTGTTAGATCAATGTCAAGGCTACTTTTTTCTTTCTCTTAAATGATTTTCTTGATTTAGGATGAATCAAATGAAAATGCACATAAGTCAGTAGCATACGAAAAGTTCTTGAATGGGAAACTATGATGTGAACCAAAATTAAGTTTAGTTTTTCTTAATTCTAAAACAAAGTTAATCAAAATCCTGTTTTTTGGGGGATTTGTAAAATCTGTAAATGTGAGTGAGGTGAACCATAGTAAACCAAAATTAAGGTTAGTATTTCGGTTAAGGATATTTCTTGATTTTAAAACAAAAATAATCAAAATCCTGTTTTTTTTTTTCTTTTGGGATTTGTAAATCTGTAAATGTGAGTGAGGTGAACCATAGTAAACCAAAATTAAGGTTAGTATTTCGGTTAAGGATATTTCTTGATTTTAAAACAAAAATAATCAAAATCCTGTTTTTTTTTTTCTTTTGGGATTTGTAAATCTGTAAATGTGAGTGAGCCATAGTGAGTGAGCGAAAAAAGAATGAGAGACGTTTTCACATCGAATGAAAGACGATTTTTGGAATCTAACTGCTACATTTTATATATAACAGATTTGAGTTTACTATATTCTAATTTTTCATAATTTCATTCAAACGTACCTATTAACTTCGTCGACTACTAGATTCGGATCTTGAGCATGCGGCAACGGATTCGAAGAAAATGCAATCGTGTTACCGATTAATAGGAGAAGTATGAAAGTGTAAACAACATGATTATTAGCATACGAAATCATTATTGTAATCAGAAACGAGAGAAAAAATATTATAAAACAGAAGTTTCTGATTCGTGTTTGTGTTTGTGTTGAAGTTTCTTATTAACGAAAAGTATATAAAGAGGGAGAGAGTCCCGGCCTCCGGGAGTGAAGGCGTGATTTATTTTAATTATTATTGTGAGATACAATATAGTTTTTTTAAATACATTAACTATGGGACCTACGTTATCGTAATTTCAGGTGAAGGATAACAAACGGTTAATGTTGTGAAACCGTTAATTGGGCCTAGGAGTCAAAAGTGTTTGCTTAAAGTCAACCTTTTTGACTGCGAACGATGCCGTTTACAGGTTCGTTCCCCTCCCATTTGCACTCAACGAAACAAAATCAGTAATCAGAAGTAGTTTTGTGTGTTTAAACGAAATGATTGTCGTTGTAAAAGTAAAACCTAAAAACCGTTAATTGAGCATGGCAGTCAAAAGTAATTGCTTAAAGTCAACCTTTTTGACATGGAGTACGATGCCATTTCTTGTTTTTTTTTTTATATAAATTCCCCTTACATCATTACATTAAAAAAACTACAGTATGTGTTCATGACATCATAGGTGTTGTGATGATGATTCTTAACAGAATATGAAAACGTTTATTTAGACTCGAATTTAAGATTTTGTCATTTGCATTTAATAAAACCTTGAATTCAAGATGGGCCCTAACTAAAAACCTTGATAAGAAGAAAGCTTTACCCAGTTCCAATACGTATGTAAGCCCAATAAGAAGACAGATTTGCATGCTGTATATATATACTAGTACTGAAGTTTAGCATGAGATTTGATGTATCACAGTTTTAATAAGAAAAGCATTTCATCATTTTCTTCTGGAAGTTACAATTTGTCATTTTATTCTGCAATTATTCTAAAGTTTGAAACCGTGCATCGTAGATGACAAAAGAAGTAATCTCACAGCGGAATTTTGCTGGACAAACACATGAGACAGCTACCTGTTACTGCCATTTGCAAATTAAAATAATCTGCCATTAATGTATTATACCGCATTATTATAAAACTGCCATTTCTTCCCTCGTTTTAGATAATTACAAAATGACAAAAAGAAGAATCGTTGGAAAACGAATCAACAAGTGGACAATCATTAAACTTCCGTTTAGTTTAACACTAAAATGCCTGTTGTATCATCTCTAAAACAGAGCAGCTCTTTTGCTTCAAACATTAATCATCTCTAATCTAACTACAAAGGAATGTGAGTATATAAATATTCATAATGCTTTTGAAACGCAAAAATCTCTAACCTAGTAATTTGCAAAGGAAATATTTAATAAAAATATTAGAGGAAAATAATTTCAATCAAATAACTTGGACTATTTTTCTATTTTGCCAGAGTAAATTTGATTGTAAAACTTTTAATAGCTTACTCAAGTAATTATTAAATTCAGAAACCAAGTAATATATACTTCGGAACCAAGAGTTTTCCATGCAAACGAGTCAAGAGACTTTAATTGTTCTCATAAGCTAGATATTTAGCTTTTAAAGAAAACAATTGTTTATACGCTAAATGACCTTACTTCTTTTCAATCACACTAAAATGATCTTACCAGTTATTTGCAAAATTGATTTTTATGTGGTATTTCCATTTGCAAAATACTTACAAATGAGATGGATAGTTGTACTTTCATGCTGTTTTCTCACAATATTATGCTAGATTCTTTTTAGTCACATTATTGCGTAAGATATCACACAATTTATAGAAGATTCCCGCTACTATTCAAATCATCTGCGAAAAAAGGACGTCATGTAATTACAATTTTATCACCTATTTTCTGCAACTAATGTCGAAAATTATGTCATCTTATAATATAACGAATAAAAAACCAAATATTTTATTTTTTTCATTCCGGACCAAAAAAGTAGCCGCCACCACAGTGCTCGTGTCTTTGTTTTACTTTTACCATCCGAAAAAAATTAAACATATATTTAAGCTCAATAGTGATGGTTTAAAAAAAAACAAAAAATTAACTGCAAATTTCGGCGTTTTCATGGCGTCTCTTCTTTGATCTTATTTCGCTTGACCCCTATCTGTAAGATTAGATATTCGCTAATGCGTTAAGCTCAAGCATCAACCAAACAAAAACTTAGAGCAGATAAGTAGAAAAACATCTTTCTTTGCTTCTTCTTCTTCTTCCTCGTAAGACTTTCGGACAAAGAGGTCAGCTTTGGTTCTCGTGTTTTGATTTTTAATTGATTTGATCTAATTTTGTATCTTCATCGAGATGAGAAAACAGTTTCTTTAACCGCAAATCTCTGCACTCAAATCTGTGAAACCCATGTGAGAAAGATATTTCATTTTGTTTGTTTATAGTAGTAATTTTAAAAGATTCGTGTTACAGAGAGAGAATCAACAGAAGTAAACTCATTTTATTGTGTTTTTCTTCTCCCCAGCTCTTGTATTACTTCGTTTGAGCTTAATTGAGTCATTTTCTCTGCTTCCAGGACTCCAAATCAACACCAAAACTGCAAATTTTTATACATATCAGTAAGGCGTTGACTGATTCTTTGAGATGGGTTTGTGTTAAATTCGTGGGTCAGTCGAAAGATCCAATTTAAATGGAGCCCCCAAAGGGATTTCGTGCTTCTCTGTTGCAGTTCTTACTATTCCTTCCTTATTTCATTGGATTGCTGTTTCTGGGTGTCATCAAAGGTACGAATCTGAAAGTTTTATTTTTTTTAACATTGGTTCTATGTTTTCGCACTTTATCTCTTGATTCTTCTACTGGGTGTCATTTAAAGTCTGATCTTTCGGTGGATTTCTACCTCTTTTAGCTCAAATTTCAGTATGTTCAGACAGATTTCATGAGGGTTCTTCTAATAAGGACATAACTCACCAGAGTGTTTGACTTTAGTTGGCTCACTTGATTATTCTTCATGCTGGAAACTATAGAGCTGATTAAGTTTTTGAAAGTTCAAAGTCAAACCATTTTGATTTTGTTTAAGCTCAATAAGGTTCCATCAAAGGTCAATTCTTGCTTCCCACACTTTGTGAAAATGTATGAATGGAGGAGTTCTTTCATTTCAAGTCAAATTCAACACCTAATGCATAGAGTTGTTCTTATCAAAGTTCAGTATAATGGAACAGTTTTCTGATCATAAAGTCTCTTTCTTTGTTGCTTAGGTATCATTTTGTGCCCAATCGTATGCCTCGTTGTGACTATAGGCAACTCCCTTGTCATACTAAGTCTTTTGCCCGTCCACATAGTTTGGACTTTCTATTCAATAGTGAGGTAACTAACTCCAACTGCTTAAAACTTCCATTTCCTTTACAATCCCTGTGCTACCTCTCTCGACGTTAAAGACTATTTTGTTTGATTCTTGTCAGTGCCAAACAAATAGGACCGATCTTGAAGTTCTTTCTATGCTTATGTCTTCCTGCCGCTATCATTCTCTGGCCAATTCTTGGTATTTTAGGGAGTGTTCTTGGAGGAGCTCTATATGGTTTCCTCTCACCGATTTTCGCCACCTTTGATGCTGTTGGCGAAGGCAAGCCTTACCCGTTTTTCCATTGCTTTTATGATGGAACTTGGAGCAGCGTCGAACGCAGCTTCACTATTGTCCGCGACTTTAAAGATGTTTGCTTTCACTCCTACTTCTCACTCATGGATGAGCTTAAAATATGTTGCCCGGATAGCAAATATTATGAGATAAGGTATGTTTATATGCTCATTCTTGAGTTAATCTATCTTTCAATCTCGCTTACTTACAATCTGTATATATTTCTCCAGGGTACTTCAGCTTCCAGGGGCTTTGGTAGCTTCGGCTCTCGGGGTTCTTGTTGATTTCCCGGTGATCTCACTCGTAGCCATATGCAAAAGCCCTTACATGCTGTTCAAAGGATGGCACCGTTTGTTTCATGATCTCATTGGACGGGAAGGTCCATTCCTGGAGACAATGTGTGTCCCCATCGCAGGCCTCGCGATCTTACTCTGGCCTTTGGCTGTCACTGGCGCGGTTCTTGGATCAGTCGTCTCAAGTATCTTCCTCGGTGCTTATGCAGGAGTGGTCTCGTATCAGGAATCATCGTTTTACTATGGACTCTGCTTTATAGTTGCCTCTGTGTCCATTTACGACGAGTACAGCACCGATATACTTGACATGCATGAAGGATCTTGCTTTCCAAGGCCAAAGTATCGAAGAAAGGAAGAGGAACCAACAGCCTTCTCAGGTCCTATACCAAGAATAGGCTCTGCCAAGAACACGGCTTCAGCAAGATCAGGATCAGTGAGAGTCCCTATGATTGATATTAAGCCTCTCGACGTAAGCACAAGCTACTGAACCCGATTGGAAAATAAAAATCGAGACTTTTTTAACGTTTTTGACTCTTTGATGTCTCTTGTGAAATCTTGCAGCTTTTGGATGGTCTCTTTGTGGAATGTAGGAAGTTTGGAGAAGTTTTGGCGAGTAAAGGGCTGATAAATTCAAAAGATATCGAAGAGGCGAGGTCTTTTAAGCACAGCCAAGTGATCAGTGTTGGCTTACCAGCTTATGGACTTCTTTACGAGGTTCTACGCTCCGTCAAAGCCAATTCTTCCGGCTTGTTACTCGGTAAAGTTTCACTCATTTCTTTCTTACATACTTTCACTTTGATTGTGAATCATCAAGACGCAACATTTAGCTGACTGCGTTTCTGTGTAGCTGACGGTGTAACTGAGCTAACTACCAAGAACAGACCGAAAGACGCTTTCTTTGATTGGTTTCTGCATCCGTTTTTGATACTAAAGGAGCAAATGAAAGCTACAAACTTGTCTGACGAAGAAGAAGAGTATCTCGGAAGATTGGTTCTGCTGTATGGAGATACGGAGAGGCTAAAGAACTCGTATGCCGGTTCTACTTCTCCTACTCTTACCGAGCGTAGAAGAGCCGAACTTGACGCCTTTGCTCGCAGGTTAAAAAAAATCCGCCAAAAAGTTTCCAACTTTTTTCGATTTGAGTTTTGAAACTTTCTTTTTGTTTCGTGTGTTTGTTAGGATTCAAGGGCTAACGAAAACGGTGTCAAGGTATCCAACATACCGTCGACATTTTGTGGGTTTAGTGAAGAAACTATCGGAGGATTTGGACCAGAACCACCAAGAATCGATAACAGAAGCGCCTGCTCCGGTTAAGATATTTTCTCGGATATTCAGCAAGAGTCAGAGATCTTTCAGAAGAAAGGGAAGTATCAATGGTTCCGATCAAGAATCGCATAAAGGTGTCTCAAGGGCTGTAGATATCGTTTAAACATGGGACTTGTGGATATTTGGATAGCTAAAAAGCCTTTTGCTCTTTGCAAGATTAAAAATGTTGTTCCTTGTAAAGATTTTTCAGAGAGATTGTTTTGATTTATAGAACTGTATGTTTTCGGTTAAGCAACTGTTAATTTTGGAAGGTTCCCTTGTACTACAAACGTTGAATTACTAAAAACATCATTAATTGTAATCTTCTTACTATCAATCTGCTAAGCCACTTAAGGTCTACGTAAGGAAGAAGAAGCGAGTGATAGAAGAAGAAACAGAGTCGAAAGATGCTGAGCGGGAATAAGAAGAGCTTTGACTCAGATGACGTGGATTTGTTTGTTGCATTTTATAATTCATTGTATATAAAGAATAGGGAATACATTTTACGGGTTTTCATCGAGAACTTGGAAAAACAGGGGTCACAGGAGATAGAATTCTCTGTGAAATCAGACGATCATCGAGAGCTTGTTCTCGTGATTGTTTTGGGTTGATCGTCATCGGAGAGTCTCCGTTACGTATCAATCGTGTATTCGTATGTTGAGTGAATAAAAGGATACTTTTCTCTTAACAATTGGTGCGGTGAGCAAACGAATCTTCGCGACGGCAAAAATGGCGGATATCAAAGACGTGACAGAGGTGATGCAAGGAAATTTGGTGGAGTTGAATCAACAGATGACGGCAGTTCGTGGGGGTTGGGAACGGCTGACAGAAGCTAACTCCGAAATCAAAGGCCGATTAAACTCCATGGATAAGCGCTTTGAGACGATCGATAAAAGCATGATGTTGATGTCGCAAACCCTAGCTCGGATTGAGGCGAATCAATTTTCCGAGAAAGCGGCAGGGAAAGCAGTTGCGACGTCGTCCGGCACCGTGAATGAGGTTAGTCCATCTCAGACTGAGAACAATCCGGTGAACACACAGTTAGGTTATCGGGACATTAGTAATGTACTAGAGAATAGATCGGGTTTGCTGAAGAAGATAGAGTTACCGATCCTTGATGGTACAAGCCCGTACGGTTGGATAACGATGGCTGAAAGGTTCTTCCGTTTGGGAAATTATTCCGATGTGGACCGTATGGATCTGTTGTCAGTGAGTTTACAAGGACCAGCTCTGAATTGGTTTAACAGAGAGATGGAGATCAATCCTTTCAACGACTGGACACAGTTTAAGAAAAGACTGATTGCTAGATTCTGCTTAAAGGTGGAGGAGAATCCAGGAAAACGGTTGTTCAGCATGAAACAAACAGGATCCATCGTGGATTATGTCAATGAGTTTGAAGAATTGTCCACGATAGTCAAAGACGTTGATGAAGCAAACCTTGAGCATGTATTCTACATTGGTTTGAGACCAGAAATGCAAGAGGTGGTTAAAATGAAGAAACCTCAGGGTCTCACAGCTCATTTTGAGGCGGTTATCTCTATGGATGATAGCGTTTTCTGTAAATCTATGGCAGATACAGCTAACACGTCGGGGTCAAAACGGGTTTCCACCTTTGTTCCATTAAAAAGCTCATCGGTTTACAACTCTCAGCGAGCTTGGCACTCTTCAACTACACTACCTGATACTTCGAAAGGAAACTCTCAAGTACCAGAGCAGAGTACAGGCGTGAAGAGTCAATTAAGTGGGAAACCACCATGGAGAAACCAAACGAGTGGACGGCCTCAAAACAAATTAAAGCTAAGTCCTGAAGAGTATGCTGAAAAACGAAGGCTCGGATTGTGTTTTTACTGCCCTGAGAAGTTTTCAAGAACCCATAAATGTCAGAATATGGAGTTACAAGTGTACACCGTGGTAAATGGGGTTGAGATTCCACTCGCTGAACCCGAGTGGAGCATTACACTAGAGGAGGAGAAAAGCGAGATTACAGAGCTGATGGAGTTATCTCTGTTTTCATTCTTGGGCTTAGACTCGCCATGCACAACAAAGCTGTGGGGGACAATTGACAAAACAGAGGTTGTTGTGATGTTAGACAGTGGAGCTTCACACAACTTCATAGACCCTTCGTTGTTAACTAAGACAAATCTTTCGCCAATACGGGACAAGAGACTTGAGATCTTGTTAGGAACGGGGATCAGGGTGAATGCATCAGGAGTGTGTAAGGATGTTCAATTCAATCTTCAATCAGTGGATTATGAGGCTGATTTTATTCTGTTGGAGTTGGGAAAGGTTGATATGATATTGGGAGTGAAGTGGCTACGTACATTGGGCAAATGTGAAGTTGATTGGGATAATCACGAATATTCCTTTGTATATAAAGGTCAGAGAGTGACTTTACGAGGAGATATAGCATTAATGCAAGGAGAAAATGCTTTGAAAGCCATCGAAACAACGGATTACGCTCAACATTGTGGGTTTGATATAGAGTTGTTTCACACATCACCAAGTGTAGACACTCTTATGATTCCCGAGCAAATTCAGTTGTTGTTGGCAGAGTTTCAGAACATCTTTGCTGAACCTACACAGCTACCACCCCTGCGAAATAGAGAACACGCCATCAATCTAAAAGCAGGAGCTGGACCAATAAGTGTTCGTCCGTACCGTTACCCTCATGCCTACAAAGAGGAGATGGAGAAACTTGTAACGCAAATGCTCGAAGCGAGTACGATTAGGCCAAGTCGTAGTCCCTATTCTAGTCCGGTTTTGCTAGTAAAGAAGAAAGATGCAAGCTGGAGGTTCTGCATTGATTACAGAGCACTGAATAAGGTGACAATACCAGATAAATTTCCCATACCGATCATTGATCAATTATTAGATGAACTTCATGGAGCACAAATCTTTTCAAAGTTAGATCTTCGATCGGGTTATCATCAGATACGAATGTTGGAAGGGGACATCGAGAAAACTGCTTTCAGAACAGTAAATGGCCATTATGAGTTTCTGGTTATGCCCTTCGGGCTAACCAATGCACCTGCAACTTTTCAAGCCTTGATGAATGAATTATTCAGGCCTTTCTTGGGTCGTTTTATCTTGGTATTCTTCGACGATATTCTGGTTTTCAGTCCGTCGTTAGAAACTCATTTGGAACATCTAAGAACAGTTATGGAGATATTTGTTGAACATAAACTGTTCGCCAATAAGAAGAAGTGCCTTTTCGGTCAACCACAGGTGGAGTATTTGGGTCATGTAATATCTCGAGATGGAGTAGCCACAGACCCAGCTAAGACAGAGGCGATGAAGAAGTGGCCTGCACCAAAAACGGTTAAAGAGCTGCGTGGATTCTTAGGGTTGACCGGGTACTACAGAAAATTTGTTAAAGGGTATGGTACAATTGCTCGTCCCTTAACAGAATTGTTAAAGACAGATCAGTTCGAGTGGTCAGAACGAGCTTAAAAAGCATTTGAGATTTTAAAAGAAGTTATGCTTACAGCTCCGGTGCTAGCATTACCTAATTTTGAGGAAAGCTTCGTTTTAGAATCTGATGCTTCAGGGTACGGATTGGGAGCTGTGTTGATGCAGGGGCAAAGACCAGTTGCATACTTCAGTTCTGGTTTATCCGACAGAGATCAAGTGAGACCCATCTATGAAAGAGAGCTCATGGCTATCGTGTTAGCAATACAGAAGTGGCGACATTATTTGTTGGGAAGAAAGTTCATAGTTCACACAGATCAGAAAAGCTTGAAATTCTTATTGGAGCAACGAGAAGTATCCTTAGAGTACCAGCGCTGGCTTACAAAATTACTGGGGTACGATTTTGATATCATTTACAAGCCAGGAGTAGAAAATAAAGCTGCAGACGGGTTGTCTCGCATTGTAAGAGAAAAATCAAATTTACATGCCCTGGAGTTGTCAGCTTTAACAGCTCCAACAAGTTTGCACCTGCAGGACATTCTCAAAGATATCGAAAAGGATGAGAAAATACAGGAATTGCTTGTAAGAGTGAATGCTGGTTCTGAAACACGAAAAGGCTATTCTGTGGTGAAAGGGCAGTTGATGTACAAGAACAGATTGGTCATTCCCAGAAACTCTAAACATATCCCTCAAATTTTGCAGGAGTACCATAATGGTTTGGTGGGAGGGCACTCGGGAGTTTTGAAAACTCTCAGAAGAGTGAAGAATCTGTTCTATTGGAGGAAAATGAGTAAGGACATTCAGAAGTATGTGGCTGAATGTGATGTATGTCAAAGACATAAATACTCAACATTGTCCCCTGCTGGTCTGTTACAACCGTTACCGATTCCTGATAAGATATGGGAAGCGATTTCAATGGACTTTATTGAAGGCTTACCATTGTCTCTTGGAGCTAATGTGATTTTTGTTGTGGTCGACCGACTGAGTAAATATGCTCACTTTATCAAGCTTAAGCATCCCTTTACTGCAGCAGATGTGGCACACAAATTCACTCAAGAGATAGTAAGACTTCATGGGTTTCCTCTATCGATTGTATCTGACAGAGATAAGATCTTCTTGAGTTCTTTTTGGAGAGAGCTGTTTCGATTAGCAGGGACACAGCTAAAGTACAGTACAGCTTTTCACCCTCAAACGGACGGGCAAACTGAGGTTCTCAATCGCTGCCTAGAAACATACCTTCGTTGTTTCGCGTCTTCACATCCTAAGTCGTGGAGCAAGTTTCTGACTTGGGCTGAATTTTGGTACAATTCGAGTTATCATACTGCCATTGGAACAACTCCGTTTAAGGTGGTTTATGGGCGAGATCCTCCAGATTTACTGAGATTTGAAGAAGGTTCAACGGCTAATTTCGAGTTAGAAACGATGCTGAAAGAACGTGATGCTATATTGAACCGCCTTAAGGATAATCTTGTCATCGCTCAGGCTAGGATGAAAGACAATGCTGATAAACATCGCCGAGAGCTGGAATTTGTTGTTGGTGACAGAGTCTTCCTCAAACTTCGTCCGTACAGGCAACAATCAGTGTCGAAGCGTTGGTGTCAAAAGTTAGCAGCAAAGTACTACGGACCGTTTGAAGTTATAGCCAAGATTGGAGCAGTTGCTTACAGGCTTAAACTTCCTCAAGATTCAAAAATTCATAATGTTTTTCATGTTTCTTAGTTAAAGCCAGTTCTGGGAGTTAATCACGAGGTGGTTCCCTTGCCAGAATCGTTACACAATGAACCAGATGTGGTTATTGAACCTGAAAGCATTGAAGATACTCGTTATGACAATGAGGGTCACTTAGAAGCTTTGGTTAAGTGGACTGGCCTTGAAGAACATGAACGCTCATGGGTTACTGCAGTGGATTTGATGAAGCAATTCCCACATTTAGCGCTTGAGGACAAGCTTCGTTTTGCCGAGGGGGGTATTGCTAAGCCACTTAAGGTCTACGTAAGAAAGAAGAAGCGAGTGATAGAAGAAGAAACAGAGTCGAAAGATGCTGAGCGGGAATAAGAAGAGCTTTGACTCAGATGACGTGGATTTGTTTGTTGCATTTTATAATTCATTGTATATAAAGAATAGGGAATACATTTTACGGGTTTTCATCGAGAACTTGGAAAAACAGGGGTCACAGGAGATAGAATTCTCTGTGAAATCAGACGATCATCGAGAGCTTGTTCTCGTGATTGTTTTGGATTGATCGTCATCGGAGAGTCTCCGTTACGTATCAATCGTGTATTCGTGTGTTGAGTGAATAAAAAGATACTTTTCTCTTAACACAATCATTATTTTTACTAAACTTGTGAATGTCTCACGTCTAATATTATGTTACTCTACTATCAATCAACTATGTTTGTTTCTTCAAAACTTTGTTTCACATCATACGATGTTGCATGCAAGACATCTCACCAAATTTGTTCTCTTCCTCTTCTTGGCCCTTTGACAAAAATGAGTTACTTTGAGAAACTGCACAAAGTGTTCCTCCTCTCTCAGCAAACGGGACGCAGGTCTTTTCGTCTCGTGCTTCTCTTTTTCAATGGATGAAGGGATCCAATAACATAATGCCACGTGTAGATACTTCTACACCCTCCTCGAAACGAGCACGCGCCTTTGAAAATATCCAGTGTTGTGTTCGCCACGATTAACCAAAGTCGGTATCCATAATGAACGGTCTCAATGTCTCGAAACGTTACTTGTTCAAAAGATCTACGGCTCTTCTACGTAGATGAAGCTGAGCCTCACATCTACAAATATGCACACGTAGGCAATCTCGTGTGTGTGTGTGTATATATATAAATATTTATATCCCCCTAATATTCAATTTTGGCTAATTTCGGGTTCTTAGAAATTAATTATATAGTGGAAAAATATAAACACTAGAATTAATTTTTCAGGCATTTTCAATCGTGTTTCGCGAAAAAATGGCGTCCGGTTTAATCGGAAGATTGGTTGGAACGAAGACGTCGAGGTTAACCACGGCGGCGAGGTTGATCCCGGCGCGGTGTACGGCTTCTGGAACGGAGGCGGAATCAAAGGCCGCGTCTGGTGGCGGCGGAGGATCGAAATTGAAGACTTTTCAGATCTACCGGTGGAATCCGGATAACCCTGGTAAGCCTCAGCTTCAGGATTACCAGATCGATCTCAAGGACTGTGGCCCGATGGTTCTGGACGCCTTGATTAAGATCAAAAACGAGATGGACCCGTCGCTCACTTTCCGTCGATCGTGCCGGGAAGGGATCTGTGGTTCGTGCGCCATGAACATTGACGGGTGCAACGGGCTCGCGTGCTTGACGAAGATTCAAGACGGAGCTTCGGAGACAACAATCACGCCGTTGCCTCACATGTTTGTGATCAAGGATCTGGTGGTGGACATGACCAATTTCTACAACCAGTACAAGAGTATCGAGCCGTGGCTGAAGAGGAAGAACCCGCCGTCTGAGCCCGGGAAGGAGATTCTACAGAGCAAGAAGGATAGGGCTAAGCTTGATGGGATGTACGAGTGTATTCTGTGCGCTTGCTGTAGCACATCCTGCCCCAGTTACTGGTGGAACCCTGAGTCTTACCTTGGCCCAGCCGCTTTGCTACATGCCAACAGGTAACCGAAAAATGAAGATTGTATTGCTGATTGTTTGGAGAATTGCTTGTTTCTAATTGTAGGACTAGGAACTTTCAATCTTGGAATCTGTTTCATTAGTCAAAGTTTTGATTTTTCGATGTGAGTTTGTAACAAGAGACTACTTTGTTGACATGTGCAGGTGGATAAGCGACAGTCGTGACGAGTACACTAAGGAAAGGCTTGAAGCTGTTGACGATGAGTTCAAGCTTTACCGTTGCCACACAATCTTGAACTGTGCTCGTGCCTGTCCAAAGGGTTTGAATCCAGGCAAACAGATCGCACACATCAAGCAACTTCAGCGCTAAACAGCTTTTTAAGCATGCATGCGGCAAAGCATTGGGAAACTCATACGTTTGAAGCTAATAATAATCTTCACAAAACCTCCAGGATTTTCAATTCATTCTTGTATTGTTGTTGTTGCCAAATATTAGCGCCTGGAGAAACTCTTTTGCAAGTCCTCCCCAAGTAGATCGAGCTTTGTGGTTGTATCTTGCTGAAAAAAATCTCTCTTTTAAAAAGTAATAAAACTCAGGGAAACTTAAACCTCATCTACTTATCATCTACTCTGTTTGTGTTCCATCTGCATTGTCTTTTTTAAAATCATTTCATGTACTTGGGTTTACACATGAACACAGCGTGATATACTATATCATTAGCCTAGTCATAGAAAAAGATCACTTGTCCAACTTCCTTAACCTATGATTGACTGCATAAGTATAACTGCAAGAACTAGCACAAACAAGAAAGATGTCAGCGAAAACACTAGCTCTGTTCTTTGTCTCTTTGGTCATTATTGGCACAGCAACTGATACTGTTCCGATAACCAAACAGTTTCAGTTCTTCACGAGTTCTCAGGAAGATGAGAAGTCTCTGGTTTTTACTGTGCAAGGTACTTTTGCTTTGAATACAATTTCCAGAAACAAAGACTAGTCGAGGGAACTTTAGAGAATGCTCACGTACTTGTACTTTTACATGCTTTTTGGTGCTCTTGTTGTGCAGGATGCAACAACGATTGCGAAACAGCTTGCTGTGACTGCAACATAGAGGAACAGCCTCCGGTCTGTGTTCGGTGTTGCCAGATTTGAGCCTTGGAGTCCCCACTATGTTCATGTATATGTGACAAAGGAAATGTAAAAGATTCTAACACCAAGTCCGGATGTAAAATTTTGCTGTTATCGGTGATACAGAGGAAGCTAATGTATTCTTACCAGAAAAAAACAGAGTGATCAATCTATGGATTTATAGACTCAGGTCCTAACACCCTGAAACCACCAACTTTTGCAGCCGGTTTATCGAATAATATTATGAACAGATCCAAATATGTAAAAATTGAACTGAGTTTAGAGTGTTAACCAATCTACATTAGTACATTACACATCAAACACATCGTGCATCATCTTCTTAAACGACAACGTAAGAAGAAATAACTTTGTGTCGCTCATAGTCTTTGGATCATTAGATAAAACATGTGGCTGAGAATGTTGTTGCCTTCTCAATCCATGCAGTTGTGTATCAGCATTCTTGGAAATTTGAACCTACTCATTCTTGGCTTTGACTCATTTCTATTTTCAAGTTTCTTTCTCAGGCTTTCTCTGTCACTGAATTTGTCATTTTGGTGATAATTTATTCAATTTGTTACAGCTCGATTTAGATCTTGATGACTTGTGTCAAGTATAATTGTATAAACTTTTATGTCAAAAACCTCAAATTCCTAATTCATCACTCTGTTATCAGTTCTGTGACCTGTTTCGTTCTTCATAATTGCAAAATAAATAAATTCTCAGTTTTTTTAATATTTGCACGTTATCTGTAACAACAACTCATTAACTTGACCCACAAACTACTCTTGTTGGATGTTTACGTTTAGACTTTTTGTGCATGTTCCTTCCTCCATTAAAAGCTCTCGTCTTATATATCCTTCAAGCTAACTTCCAATTCAAAATCCTTTCTCTTTCTTCTTTCTGTAAAATCGACGGTTGAGATGAGGCGAGAAGGTCGGCAACATGGTATAGTCAGGACTTACCGGATTCTTCCACCGCCGCTTAACCCAAGACTGGTCAACTCTTCGACTTCACCCTCAACCTCTGCATTATTCGCCAAATTGCCATCCAAACCGGCCAAAGCTCACCGGAAAGTGTGGTCTGGCCAGGTGCATTGGCTGAGATCAAACGACATCGCTTCATCAAGCTACAAACTGCTGACGTGGCGGGTATTAACCGGACCAGGATCCGTTTTGAGTCTCCCGGGCTTATCGGATCTTAATGGTGACGACAAAGGAGAAGAAGCTGAAGTTGAAACTATGAAGAGAGAGAATGAACATAATAGCGACAAAGAAGATGGTGGGTCTCATGATGATGAGTATGATGATGATGAAAGTATGAGTTTTTACAATGTGGGGAAGATGATGATGGAACATGTGTTAGATGACGATGAAGAAGATGGTTGGTGTTTGGTCTGAAAAAGAAACAAGTGATGATGTCTCTCTCACGTGGATCAGCTTTTTCTTTTTTTTTTTGCTTTTGAAAAATTGAAGTGTATGTGAATTGATTTTAAATATTACTCTTATCTTTTATGTAAAGTTAATTCCAATATCAACAATGGCCAAATTCAAGATTAAGATCAAATAAAGAAACTGGAATTGTTCTTCATTACATAGTAGACAGAAAACAAAGATTTAACAAAAGAAGAAGCTATTTCCAGTATTTTTTTTTTTTTCCCCTATTGCACTCAAGACTCTTTTTTATAAACTGGTGAAAAAGGAGCATAATCGGTGCCATCTACGTAACGAAACTGTTGTGTTTTTATCAACTAAAAGCTTGAGGTGAACGATCTCGAGCTTTGGACCCGAAATCGATCTCTTTATTCTCTTCCCATTGGCCATATTGCAGACTTGTGTAACGGTTTTCTATTTTCCAAAGAGTTTCTTCAAAGCTGTTTTCTTTATGGCTCCCTTATGATCATTCTCTTACAGTCTTTGGCTTCAAACAAAAACACAGAAACTGCTTCTTCTGTTTCTGTTCCTCCGTCTTTCTCTGCGCAACACGCAACCATAACATAAGAAACATCATCTTTTAAATGTTCCCATGAGAATCGATTTCAATTTACAACTAAAAATTTAACCTTTTTCCTGCTCTGATTCTGATCTTGAGTCTTAGCAGTACCCATGAAACAGCTGTTGGTATAAACAAAGAAAGAACATTATCAAAACCAGGAAAACAAACAAAAAAATCAACACAATTCAATAAAGAAAGGAAACACAAAGAGTCTGACTTACTTCAAGAAACTGAATCTCTGGCGATGAACCGGGTTCTCTGGACTTTGAGTTATTGGTCTTTCGCTGCATTAACGTTTATACATAATAAAAACAATCAGAAAAAGACTGATGATATTTGCAGCCAAGATCTGTGTTGCATAGAGAGAAATCACAAACCTTCTTTTCTCTGATAAGCCAATCTCCATCTCTGTATCAATAGATTTTGGAGGGATTGTTTTCTCTAGAGACAACCTAAACACCGGTTTATTCTTGGTTATCGATCTCCTTTCTTTCTTCTTCTCACCAACAGACCAATCCTCCTTCAACAACTCCTCCTCTTGTTTCTTCTCCTTATCAGCATCACCACCAATCAAACCAGTCTCTTTCTCTTCCACTTCATTCACGACCAAAGAAACATCCACAACATCCGGCTTCTTATCAGAGACAGCATCATCGATCTGAACGCTTTTCCTCTCGGATTCTTCGTCCTGTTGCAGATTCAGCGGAGGCTGTGTTTCCAAAGTGTGAAGCAAAACTTCAGCAGGCGTTACGGTTGGTTGTTCCTCCGTTGCTGCTTTCTTGGCTTCGGCTATTCTCTTGTAATGAGCTTCGAAGAAAGCCTTCTTCTGCGCAACAGATCCTGGACGCGAGTATTTCTCTGCTTCTTCTACATACTTCTTGTGTGAAAAGCTTGACCATTTTCCCCATTCGAGATTCTCTGTCATGAATTTCCCAAATGAGATTGATTGGCTAAGCGCATGGATCGTGTTATCCTGCAAAAATCCAAACAACACAAACCATTTTTTATAACATAACAATCAACAAATCAATCAGAGCTTTGTGCTCATATCCAAAGTTACAAACTTTGAGATGAATTTTTCTTGTTTGGTTGATTCTACAAGAGTCCAACAATTTTTTTCACAGTTTAGCTTGGAAACTAAATTTGTTCTTCATCTGTGTCTAATCAAAACAAAAACTTTTCTGTTTGATTTTCGCGCAAAATTTTCTGAAGGTCAAATTTTTCTTTGTTGGGATTCACCAAAACTTATAATAATAATAAAAAGCCCAGTTTCCGTTGATATCCCGGAGAAATTCTCGTTACAATCACAAAAATAAGAGAGCTTTTAAAAACCAGAGGAAAGAATAAACCGAAGAACAAATAAAAAACTAACCTCATGAGAATCGTTACGGGTGATAGGAGCTGCGAACGAATACGAATGAACCAGAACAGCAGATTCACCCATCTCAGCTTCAGATTGAAAAAGAGGAAAACAGAAATTCTACACCCAGAAAATAGAAAAAAGAAAAGAAAAGCTACAAGCTTTTTTAATTTTCAGCTCCGGAAAATGTTCTCTAGAGAGTGTTTTTCTCGTCAACCAAACGTCTCTTGAATTCAAAATTTTGAAAGAGAGAAATATTTCAATGTCGTTGAAAGGAACTCAGATTTTCTCTCGAGCTAAACACATGGTGGGGAAGATCTGAAGAATATATTTAGATCTGGGTCCCACGAACAAGGAGAAGATAAAATCAAACATAAAATAATGGTAAAATAATTGAGAATTTGGTTTTTTGAGGATAGGATTAAAAACGGGATTAATTAAAATTATATAAACTTGAAGAAATGATTTTTTTTTTTTTTATGAGGTCGTTGAATTGAAGTGGTTGAGAATTGAAGCAAAAGGGAAAAATGATTTTTGATTTTCTTGTGGGGAAGGAAAAAAACTGAGAAATTCAGGAAACTCGGTCTTCGCAACCGATTTTCGAGTTCTTTAAGATTTATATTTTTTATTTATTTATTACAAAACGTTTTTAAAGCTATTTTTAGAATGTTTTATTTAATTAAAGGATCAAAAAAGAAAAATCAAAGGGATTATTATTTGGTTTCTGCGAAAATGGGGAAAAATTAAACCCAGGATTTTTTTGTATATATAAAACGAACGTTACTTTATGTTTAAATGAATGTTTGTAATGAGAAGAACATGTTACTAGGTGTTAGAATGTCTTTAAGGCAAGTTGTTTCTTTACAGATTTTTTAAGATATTTTTTCGTCAGCCATTTTAAAAAATTTAAAATACATATATAAACTCTGAAATTAGAGCTTTAAATTTAGGTGATTTGATGATGTTGAAAAAATACATTATCGATTTTAAAACACTATACCGGCCTTCTAGTATAGTGTTTGAACAAAGCGTTTCAAATTGGTGGGTTTCCAAGAAATTTTCTTTTTCAACAATTTTGTATTTCGTCGAGATAAGAAAATGCAGACTTCACAAGTACAACAAAATTCACAATGTATCGAAATGGTAACACTGATACTGACTTTTCACAATGAAATGATAATACTGAATTTTCACAAAATAACATGTTTTTTTTTATATGTTTTGCTTCGAAAATGATGTATACAATAACATAGTGTTAATGATTATGAAGTTTTGTTATAAAATATCAATGTACGCCTAGAAACATTTATTTAAAACTGTAACTTATAATTTTCGCTGGATCCTTTGGCTAATAAGTAGATGAAGTGAGAGGTATCAACGTTGGTGTGTAGAACCGTTTTCGAATATTTTGTAACACCAAAGAAAACAGCTTTAAATTGCAAGTAATGTTTCTTCTCTTTGGTAGTTAGTACAATACAACTCTTCAACCATCACAGAAAGCAACACTATTCCTTCCTAGTTTCTTGTCCTTTCGCCTTGTAATTGTATAAACTTTAAAAATCTAATTTATTTTTAAAAAGTATATTATACATTTATACACATACACATTATCAATTAAAAATATGCGTTGACAAAAAATGTAAATTATGCAAGAAAATATAAATGTAGAAAATGTCTGCTCCCTGAAAAAATATTAAAATAGTTGTGACATAAGAAAACGATTTGACAATGAAACTTTTGATATCAAAAGAGCTTTTGATGTACACTATTAATATAAAAAAATACTGCGGATTTTCTTAAAATGAAATAAAATAGTATATGCTATGAGACTTGAAGATTAAAAAAGAAATATAATTATTGTTTCTGTATTTTTAGTGTATTTGACGTTTTGCAGAATATTCGTGGTTTTCTAATCACGTCTACGGAGAGTGGATTTTAATAATGAGGTCACACGACCCACACGCCTAATACGGTCTGAATGTCTCACACGTGCAAGCATCTGGGAACATGTGATGCGATGCGAAAAGATAACGCCATCCGTAAACTATTTTCTTGGACCAATTAATTTGTTCAATGTTTTGTAAAGTCGACACTAACTAATGAATAAATGTTGGGTTTAGATTATAAATTTATCAGCGTTATATAATTTGTTGAATAAATTTGAATCTATAATTTAAACCCAACAAAATATATAACATAAATTGTAACTTTTTGTATTCTATATTATTTTTAAAAAATGACATTTACTATCAATAAATTGAGATACAGTCAAACCTTTATAAATTAATAATGTTGAGATTCTCAAAATTTATTAATTTATAGAGTTATTAATTTATAGAGATATTTTTTGTTTCTATTCTTAATATTCATTAAAAAATAAAAATAAAACAATATTTTCAATAATATAAAATTTATTCAAAAAATGTTATAATAATAAATTTAGAAGATAAATCAAACAAAAATTATAAACTTAAAACAATAATATTATCATATTTTACTATATTATATTATTTATATATACCTAAATGTATAATTATTAATTTATATTATTATTATAACTATATTTTTACATAAAACTTTTTTAAAAAATATTATTTTATTATCTTATTGAATTTTGTCAATTTTTACATTAGTTCAATTGAAACCAATAGAATTTATTAATTTATAGTGATTATTAATTTATGAAGTATTAATTTATAAAGGTTGACTGTACTTTAGATTCAACTATTTTCTTTTGAATAATTTGTTTTGTTTTTCCACAAATGAGAAAATTTGTAAAAGCAAAACTATTCTGATCACAATACACAAGGGTTCAAAAGAGATTACAATCTATTTAATATTTTCTCTACAAATATTAGTTTTGAAAGCAACTGAATAAAGGCAACCTACAACAGCAAAAAAAACAACAGCCGTAACTCGGAAACGAAGACAAATAGATTCCACGTTTCTGCACAACGAAGGATTCTATCAAGCACTTTTGATCAGAATCATCTCCTTCTCGGAGGAGGTTCACGGCTGAGATTATGCTTTCGAAGAGTCTTGATATAGTTTCTCATGAGACCAAACTTATTGCTCCCAAGCTCGTAGAAATAATCCCATGGATATATCCCTGTTCTATGCAAGTCATCAAACACTAACCTGAATCCTCAACAAAGTTATAAGTGAAAAAAAAAAACACATAAGCTTCTGTATCATTACGGTGGTGAACTTATAAATGACCTTGCCGGGATTTGTAGAGTACCTTACCCCGTAGTTTCCAACCGGTTCTGCAGACATGATTCCTACATACCGCCTTCCAGATATCACCTGATCGAGAGAAACCAAATTTCTTTAGGCCCGAACATTAGACAAAGCAAGACTCAATGGCCATAGTATCAAGAGTAAAAAGCTTAAAATGCATTTTTGTTTTCCCTAAGCCATCTAGAATCTATGTTTGATTAGTTACACAATCGATGGACTTAGTAACCAGAAGACAAATGAATAATTAGCAAGACTCATTCGTCTAATACATAAAGATTGCATTTTTAATGAGAAAACCTGTACATATTCCTTTAGAAGTGGGAATTAGTACCCATAAAAACAACAACATCATAACCAGAGGAATCATATCATTGCAGTGATTAGACTAATACCTAAGACCGCATCTTTTTCAAAACCCGACAACGATCAGTCACTCGAGCAGAAAATCTAGTAGTCATAAGACAGAGACAGCAGCATATTATTGTCTCAATCCTAAGTTCTAGTATATGTTGTTACAAGAACAACGGACTAGCGGTCAACGTTGTTCCACTGAATGGTTATGCAAAAGCCAAAGAGCCAATCCATCTAGAGCCAAGTATAAGTTGGAGTAAAGAACAACAAGCTAGTGGCCATAATCTAGCTGGTCCAAAAACAATAAGCCAAATAAACTTAAATCAGCATCCAATGATGATAATGTAGCCGTCATTGGCAGCTATCACATTATTGCAACGAGCATGTCTAAAAGATTGAGCTAAGACAAGATATCAAAAGTCTATATACTCCACATTTAAAGATTTGTTAACTAAAAAAACATGTGACTTGCATAAAATTTGACCAATTACCTTTTCACCACCTATTGATCTGACTTTGCCATCAGCTGCTGGACTATGAACTCTCAGAAACTCTGATGAAAAATTGAACTTGGTGCCATTTGCATACTCTACCTCAACCTTCAAAAGGATAATCGACGAATTAGATCATAGATTATGTAAACCAAAACAATATCGAATCCATGGGTCTGAAAAAGAGTCCAATTTTCACTACCGAAACTTAGACTTCAAGACCCGAAAATTTCTGATCGCTGACCTTTAAAGCGGAGGATTAAAGAAAAAAACAGCAAAGCTTACGTTTTTAGGAGATAAAATAGAAAATCCTGAGAGTTTTGGAACAGCTACATCACTTGTACCCTGGATTCGTCGGCTTATCAGTCTCGTAATCGCCCACATTTCTTGTTCCGGCGATCGCCGGAGACGATGATTTTTCGCCCCAATCATCTCACATTGCTAAAAGCCTTCAACGTACTTTATTGGGCCCAAATAAAAACCCATTGGGCATATTTGAATTACCCATTGGGCATATTTGAATTATCAGTTTTTATCGAAAACTGAAACGACGACGTAGAGGAAAGCTAAATTCTGGTCCTACTTTAGTCAAAGCTACCTAAACAGGATCACGTCCTAGTCCAAAAATCAAAGCAAAAAAAAAAATAAAAAAAAAATAAAAAGTGACTTGATTCATAGAAGTTGTAAAGATATTACGATTTACGACGTGAAAATATATAACACGCAAAGTATCCGATTCTTAATTTTCTTTCAATTTATGCCTAAAAAAAAAAAACTTAATTACCGGACAAGTTAATAATACTGAGATTTTCTGAAACTCATCAATGTCAAAGAAAAGCTGTAAAGATATCATGACGTGAAAATATATTACGCAAGGTATCCGAATCTTAATTTTATTAGAATTACTGTACCTTTTTATAATATTCATTACCGAACGAGAATAAATAAGTAAATTTATCTGAAACTCTCAATCGGCAAAGATATTGTTGAATGTAAAAGAAAAATAAAAACCGTCAACGAAAGTAAATTGATTCGTTACCTTTAAAAAGCAACTAAATTTGATCGGAGACCAGTAATTTTAGTGAGCCGTCTTTTTTTTCTTTTTTTCTTATCGTTCTCCAAGTTCATGACATTCCTTGATTATTATTCTTCAGGCAAAAACAAAATTCCTCATTGAAGAACAACACAAAACAAAGAACACAGTATTCTTCTGCTAATCATCAACCTAAATCCTCGCGGGCCAGAAAAGAGGAAGAGAAGACGAGACCGAAACATTTTTTACAGAAAACAAAAGTTAGATCATTGTGTTTTCTCCAATCATCGACGGCCGGCGCCGGCGAATTCGGCGGCGTAGGAGATGAAAAGTCGTAGGAAACTCGGTAGTGTTTGCGGCGGCGAAGTCGTTCTCTCGTGGAAGACGTTCTTCTGGTTCGTCATTCTGTTTGTCTTCTCCTTCGTTCTCTTCTCTACCATGTTCGTCTTTAAAGGTAAATTTATGACCCGAGCGGTTTTCTGTTTTCAAATTCGAACGGTTTCTCTATTCAATTTTATTCACCAGCAAACTTAAATTGAATTTACAATTAGCAGGGAAGTTTCGTCCGGTGGTACGTTCGTCGACGATAAGCTTCTCAACGGCCAGGGCGGTTCTCGGCGATTCTGTAACGCCGTCTCCGGCGGTTACAATCCGTGAAGCGGTGAAATTACCTGAGCAGACACTAGTATTCCTAAAATACCCTCAGTCTCTTCGGTTATTTACCAAAGCCGACCTCGTTTGCGTTTTCTCCTCCGGCGGCGATTCATCGAAGCTACGGAAGGAGCAACCGACGGCAGTCGACAGCGACAAATTCGGCGGTCAGATCGTACGGTGTCCTGAAACGCCACGTGGGTACACCATATCGCTTGCCGTTTCGAGATGGATGACGGATGATCACCTCCCTGCTGGGCCCACTCACCGGTGGGATTGGCTGGTTTACGACGCCCTCATCGACCACGATAACTCCACAGTGGTGTTTGTCAAGGGGCTAAATCTACGGCCAGGAAAAGTTGCTGACGTGTCGAGATACGAGTGCGTGTACGGCTGGGATTTCGCGAAACACAATCGGTTAATAAGAGCAAACGTAATCTCAGCGGCACAAGAGATCGTACGGTGTAAAACACCATTAGCTGTGTTGGACGGCCCGAAATCAGTCCATGGGCCGGTTAAAGTCTCGGTTAGAATCAAAGGAGGGACCGGAATGCTCCCATCGATCGCTCGACCGGATCGCGGTCCGGGTCGGAGCACTCACTCGCCGCGAAGGAAACCGTTCGGGATGTGCGTTTGCACCATGACGCGAAACGCAGCCGCGGTTCTAAGAGAATGGGTGATGTACCACGCCGGAATCGGCGTTCAACGGTGGTTCATATACGACAACAACAGCGACGACGATATGATTGCCGAGATCAAAGACCTCGAAAGCCGAGGTTACAACATTTCGAGACATTTCTGGCCGTGGATTAAGACTCAGGAAGCCGGATTTTCCAGTTGTGCGATTCGAGCACGGAGCGATTGCGATTGGGTCGCGTTTATCGACGTAGACGAGTTCTTCTACATCCCTTCCGGTCAAACTCTAACTAGCGTCATCAGAAATTACACTGCCTCCAATGAGATCGGTGAGATTCGAACCCCGTGCCACAGTTTCGGGCCATCGGGTCTGAAAAGTCGGCCTCGCGGCGGAGTCACGGCGGGATACACTTGCCGTGTTGTATTGCCGGAGAGACACAAGAGCATACTCCGGCCAGAATCGATGAACGCAACGCTTATCAACGTGATCCACCATTTTCACCTGAAAGATGGATTCACATTTGCTGACGTGGATAAAGATGTTATGGTAATCAACCACTACAAATATCAGGTTTGGGAGGTTTTCAAGGAGAAGTTTTACAGGAGAGTCGCGACTTACGTGGCGGATTGGCAAAACGAGGAGAACGTCGGGTCGAGAGACCGGGCGCCCGGTTTGGGAACCCGACCCATTGAGCCACCTGATTGGGCCGAAAGATTCTGTGAGGTTACAGATACTGGGCTTAGAGATCAGGTGTTGGAAAACTTCAAGGATAATAAAACCCAGCGTTTAATATGGGAAGGAGAGGACGAGGAACGAAGTTAGACTTGAGAGTTGAAATAAGATCGTTGGCCCATAATAGGATAGCTCGAAAGACTAAAAAATACAGCTTAATAAAGCCCATTAGTTATAGTTTTGCACATTCTCTTTTTGAATTTCATTCGTGGGAGATATTTTGGACTCGCGGATTTTTAGTTGTAATTTTGGTCGAACAGTGAAATAAAAAAGGTAGTTCCAACAAAAAAGGTGAAGTAAATAAAATATGGAAGATAAACATCAAAAACAGAAAGAAATCAAATATTCAAGAGGCCCAAACAAAGGCCCAAGTAAAAAGTAGGTGTTGCGAGGAAATTAAGAAAATTTAAAAAGAAATCCGACCGTTGAAAGAAACATTATCTTCGCTTCTCTCTCTCTTTCCTCTTGCCCGGAGCGTTCTCAGGAGGAATCAAGAGGAAACTCGAACCCTTAATCCAGAGATGGTGAATGAAACACCAGCCAGAGTTACTCATCGATCCGGAGATGGATCGAAGGAAGCAGCGGTCGGGAGGGAGAAGAACGGTGTGAACGCAGACATTTTCATCAGCCCGAGATTCAAATCGGCGGCGGCTTTGGCCGGTTGGGACGAGGAGGATCTGATATTCGCTAGCTTCGTTGTAGAAGATACCCCTGAAAGAAGTTCTTCGAAGCGAAGGAGACGATCCAATTTGCTGTTCAAAACATCCCCACCTTCTTCGGGTTCAAGAAGGTAACCAAATTTTGATTTTCTTTAGGGTTCTTCAGATTCGATTATAACAATACATCTTCTGTTTTCTCTTCCTGTAATTCCGGGAAATGGGTTTCTGAAATTCGTTCAATTTTTATTTGTTTCTGGGATTTCAGGAAGCAGCGGATTAAGCAAAGTCCTATTCCGTTACCAGTTGTTGATCTTGATAAAGTAATCAGGCGTGAAGGTACTTTCGTTAATTGATCTTTCCTCTTTCATATCGATTATCGAAAAATTGGTTTGTTGGAGACATTAGGATCCATGAAATTAGACTCAAAGATAGTTTCTCTGAAGTTTTTTTACTTTCTGATTTGTTGTGGCTGTAGAAGAAAAATCTGCGGAGAAGAAAAAGAACAGAGAGACTAAAATAGATACACAAGAAGAGAAGAAAATAGAAAAGGATGAGAAGATATTGTCAGAGCAGAAGAACTCAACTTCTGTTGTGCTTCCTTGCATCGATAAGCTTCGAGACGAGTTGTCTTGTGCGGTATGAATACTGTTTTGTTTTTTTCCATTATATTTCGCAATTCCTTGATTTAGGTTCTTAAACTTGAAGTTTTGCTTTGTTGATTGATTCTGCAGATTTGTCTTGAGATTTGCTTTGAGCCAAGTACTACAACTTGTGGACACAGGTAGGTTTATTTCACTACGACATACATACACATCATTGAATTAGCTTTGTTTGTTGAGTTTGGTACTGAACTGTTCAATTTTGGGGTCTCTGTAGCTTCTGCAAGAAGTGTTTGCGATCCGCGGCGGATAAGTGTGGAAGAAAATGCCCTAAATGCAGGCAACTAATAGGGTAAACAGAATCAAACTTGGTGAGTTTCAGATCAAAAGATTAGAAATTTATCTAAACAAATGCGATTTATCTATGCAGAAATGGAAGGTATTGTACGGTCAATACGGTTCTATGGAACACAATCCAGCTTCTGTTCCCTAAAGAAGTCGAAGCACAGAGAGCTGCTGCTGCTGCATCTGCTAAGTCCATAGGCAAGGAAACGCCGAGTCCTAGAAACCCTAGTCAAAGGCTTAGAAGCAGAAACAGAGAAACGGCGTTTCAAGCTAGGTTGCAAAGAGAGGATCTTTCGAGATTGCTTGTATCCGAAGAAAGATACGAGAGAAGCGAGAGAAGGAGTATGAGGTTGGACCAAGATAGGGATGCTGCATTCGCGTTGAGGTTGCAGCGACAGGAGTTCGCGTCTGCGTTTGGCGTTACGACGGCAGCTGCAGCAACTTCTTCTTCTTCTTCTTCTTCTTCTTCTTCATCGGCTTCTAATCTGTCGCTAGCAAGAGCTAACCTGCGAGCTATGGCCTCAAGAGCTGTTCGTAGGCAAGTTTAGGTTACTGTTAACACAAAACAATTCGTTTTACCCACATTGTACTTTATATATTTTTCATTCACCCTCTGAAATTTCTAAAATTGACAGAAGGAATGAATGAATATGCAAATTTTATTTTTAAAATTGTTTCGACCATATGCAAAATAATTTGGCTCCACGTCCTTCTTCCTAAACCACTTGGCCTTAAAATATATTTCACAATTTATTAAATTTCGTGACATACACAATACCTCATGTCCGTCGAATGTCGTCATAATGGGCAAGGCAAGTTTTATAAGATCAACTTTCGCACTGATCTAACGAGAGTTTGGGTCGTTTGTCTTTAAAATCCAAATTCTCAATTCTGCACCAAATTAATGATCTATTGACTGACCAATTCAACTATTCGAGATTTCTCAAAAACAAAGTAAAAAAAAAAAAAAAAAAAATCGTGAAAGTCAACAATCAAATACTAAAAAGAATTGCTGCCTTGAGCAAGCTGGAGATTAAAAAGGACAAAAAATATATTTTCAAGAATTTGTTTTTCAGAAATTCTAAATTCTCTATATAAACCCACTTTAAACAATCTCATTTTCACAACAAAAACGCATACGAGTATTTTCCTCAGTCCTCACATTCATCAACCTTACTAAAATACGCCTATTTTTCAAATAACAGCATTCGACAAAGATGATGAAGAAGATTTTTGCTCAGATCACTGTGGCTTGTCTTGTGTTGACGATGATTGCGATGGTCTCCGCTCAGGAGCACGAAGACCACCACGAAGGCGATGGCCACGACCACGCATCGGCACCTGGACCTTCTTCTAAGAAACCAAGCTCCGCCGTCATTGTTGCCGCCGACATGTTTACCGGTTTGGTCGCAGCCACCGTAGCTCTGGTGGTTGGCTTCATCTACTGAGTTTAATAACTCGTTATTTGGTTTTCATGGCTTTTGTGAATTATGGCTAACTTATCTTCTTTTGTTGGTGCCATATTTGTGTCTCTCTCTCTTAATTTTTTTTCAAATTTTCCTTTGTGTGGTTGTTCGAATCATAAACAAATGTCTGGTGACGTGTGTTTGTTTACGTTCGTTATAAAATCAGAAAGCTGATTTTGGAACGTGAAATATGATTTTGGAAAGCTGATTTCATATGATGTTGCAAAATATTTAAAAACATATCCCCAAAAGAATTTATTCTATTTATGGTTTTAGACGAGCTAATTCTTTCATTACCGCATCATTTTTGGCTATCAGTATCAACACTTTTTAATCCATAAAAATGGATTTTTTTCTTCTTCTTTTAAATCCAAATTCTCGTTTCTGCACCAAATTAAATAATCTATTGACTGACCAATTCTCATAACAATTCGAGATTTACAAAAACAAACAAAAAGTATGTTCAAGCCTAATAACAATCGTGAAAGTCACCAATCAAAAACTAAAAAGAATTGCTGCAAGCTGGAAATTAAAAAGGACAAAAAAAAATATTTTCAAGAATTTGTTTTTCATGAGAAATCTTCATTTTAAATTCTCTATATATAAACCCACTTTAAACAATCTATTAAGGGAAAGAGTATCAATCATATCTCTTTACAATCCCTGCAATCGCTCTCCTTGATCTCTGTAATCACTTGTGTAATACCTCTAGAACTCTCTGCAACTAGTATATATTTGTACATTGTACACATTCAATAATATACAAGAATCATCTCTTCTCTATACAATCTCATTTTCACAACAAAAACACATCCGATCCTATTATTCTCTCACGACGAACATGATGAAGAAGATTATTATTCAGATCACTGTGGCTTGTCTTGTGTTGGCCATGATTGCGATGGTCTCGGCTCAGAACAATGCACCAGCGCCTGGACCTTCGGCTAAGAAATCAAGCTCCACCGTCATTGTTGCCGATTATATAATTACTGGTTTGGTCGCAGCCACCGTAGCTCTGGTGGTTGGCTTCATCTACTGAGTTAACAACTCGTTATTTCAGGATTTTCATGACTTTTGTGAATTATGGCTAATTTATCTTCTTTTGTTAGTGCCATATTTGTCCCTTTCTCTCTCTCTCTCTCTCTCTCTCTTAATTTTTTTCATTTTTTCCTAATAATAAACAAATGTCTGGTGATGTGCGTTTGTTTATGTTCGTTATAAAGATGATTTGAATAAAGTTTTCATTACATTACAATGTCTTCTTCATAACCAAACTCATGGTGGTGTAGTGATTAAAAGATTCACTTAATTAGTTGAGAAAAATTAAACGAATGTGCAAATTATGCTTCATGAATTAGCTTAGTTAATTATAATAACTGGATTCTTATTTTTTGCTATAAAAACTTAGTTTCGAATCTTATGTTTACAAATGATCTTCAATACAAAGAAACATCTTGCTTTTCAATTTTAAATAGTTCATTCATATAGTAATGATGATTGTATAACACACGTAGAATATAAGACAATATGTCAGGCTGAACTCTAGGAAAACTGAAACGAACTCTAACCTAAGTGAAATGTCTTTCGATTTGATAGTTATATATATTTTTAAGAAAATTGAACCGAGTAAATTTTTAATAAATCGAAATGCCGTACGTTGTGGAAGGAAGCTGTAATTAGGGATAAAGCGTTTTCTTGTTTTACTTGCTAATCAGAGACAAACTGTTAGAGAAACTTTTATTATATTTATGTCTCGACCATATACAAAATAATTTGGCTCCACGTCTTTCTTTTTTCAAAACACTCCTTTTTCCCTTAACGTTTGATATATATATTTTTTTGTTTGAAAAGTTTTTGACAAATTTAACATTGCATGGCTTACCTGTTCATCGAATGTCGTCATGATTGCAACACAAGCTTTTTTTTTTCCTTTTTAAATATGAATTTGAATCAATACAACAATAACACTCAAGTCTTTCCATAAATTGACACATCAGATTTTTTAATCTTTGAAAAGCTGACACCTCAGCTATTTTACAAACCAATCAAATTAAAACATTAATACAACTCATGTACTTATTTTAATTTTTAAATTTAAACCCATTAAAAAACCCAAATATATTTTTTGTTAATAATTTGTTTTATTTTCTAACAAATCAAAGCTCAAATAATAAATAACAAAAAAAATCTTTGTTTTATTTTTTACCAAATCTAAGCCCAAATAATAAATAACAGCAAATAAAAATAAATAAATCTTTGTTTTATTTATTTGCCAAACTCAAACCCAAATAATAATTAACAGTAAATAAATAAATAAAAATTTAGCTATTTGTTTGTTCGACATAAACGTATAGGATTGAAAAAGTGTAGGCTCAGCATCAACTATGTTTCCATAACAACAACATAAAAAGCCTTATGTTATAAAAAGCTCACACATCAGCAAAAATTTGAACCAATAAAATATAACAATAATACATATCATTAACACACTAATAAAATCAGTTTACTATTTTACAGAACCATTAAAAAGCCCAAAAGTTTACAAAAAAATGAAAGTCGAAAGCAAATGAGAAAAAACTCAGACCACCATAACTTGGAGATTCGCATTTCTATTGGTTACTGAGAACAAATTTTTATTGGTTTAACGGGAATAGGGAATTCATTGGTTTCGGTAGGAAAATGTGATTTTCAGTTTTGTTAGGAAAACATAATTTCTTGGTTATGGCGGAAAATGAATTATCGGGTTTGGCGAAAAAATGTGAATTTTTGGTTTGGTGAAAAAACAAAAAGAAAAATTATTTTGACCCGAAAACAAAATAACTTAGTTTTGACAAGAAAATGCGAGGGAAATGCAACTTTTCAATTGACAAAAATACGATTTCTTGGTTTTGATAGAAAATGATAATTTTCTGCTTTTGATGGATAATGTGATTTCTTGATTTTTGCGGGAAAATGTGATTTTTTAGTTTTCGTGGGAACTTGTAATTTGACGATTTTGGCAGAAAATGCAATTTCTCAGTTTGATGGGAAAACAAAATTTCTTGATTTTGGAAGGAATAAGCAATTTCTCGGTTTTTATGGGAAATACAAATTTTCAGTTTTTGACATATAATGTGATTTTTTGGTTTTCGCGGTAAAATGCGATTTCTTAGTTTTCGCGGAAAAGATAATGCAATTTTTGGTTTTCGCGAGAAATTATAGTTTATCAGTTTTGGTAGGAAGGCTTGATTTTTGGTTTGATGATTATTTTTTTTGGCGAGAATTGACAATTTCTCGGTTTTCATGGGAAAATGATTTTTTTTTGTCTTGGTGAAAAAAATTTGATTTCTCTGTTTTGACGGGAAAACACTGGTTCTCACAGGAATATGTGATTTTTTTTTGTTTTTGCGGAAAAATGCAATTTCTTTGTTTTGGTGTGAAAATGAAATTTCAGATTTGACGAGAAAATGAATGTTTTTGATTTTGGCGGGAATAGGTGAAATAATTTTTTTTTTGTCGGAAAGTACAATTTCTCAGTTTTTTTTTTTAAATGACAATTTGCTTTATATAATTTCAAAGGAGGATCAAGTGGCAATTTAGTGGAGATAACAAATTACATTTGCTATTAGTATAAAAGTACTTAAAAATGTATTATTTTATTCTTACATATACATTTATAGATAGTTAGCTAAACAAATTTGATAGTAGATTATAATTTTGAAAAATAAAAAAATTTAAAGATATATAATGTTTATTCATATTTAAAACATATAAATACATAACTTAAGCTAATAAAAAATAAATATAATACTCATTTACATTATAAAAATAATTTTGTTATATTAAAAATATATACAAAATCTAGAAATATATTCTGCCGCGTAGCGCGGATATATACTTAGTATTATTAAAAGATGAAGAGCATTGGATTTTACAAGAAGCTTAACCAGATGAAGTTTTATATTATGGCAACATAAGTTTTACATAGTAGAGATAGATATTCGAGCCTTCCACTGTCCACACGTCATAGTTTAAAAACAGATAAAAATAATCGTAAAAGTCAATGATCACATACTATAAAGAATTGTCGAAAAAATTAAGGACTAAAAAATAAAACCCACAGAAGCAATATGGTTTCGAAATTCTCTATATAAAGCGCACTTTCACCAATCTTCTTTTCACAACCAAAACATATCCGAATCCTTCTCTTATCTAATCAAACCTTTAAAAAAAGAAAACAACAACGTTCGACACAATGATGAAGAAGATATTTGTT